TATTCAGATCAGCATCATTCCACATAAACATGTTGTTTACCCCGTTATTTGGTTCAATTGTAGAAACCAACGTACTTTCAAGACCATGAAGAGCCAACGCCTCTGCGAATATCTCTACTATTTTTCTATCTCTTGAGAATATTTCCATGTAGCAATACCTAGAATCGGTAACATTTTTCTTCGTGTTGTAGCGATATCTAATACAGCCAACGCCAGCAATTTAGTTCAGAAATACGATAAATAACGGTCTCAACGGCAAGGAGAAAACAAATGTACCAGCCAAGTTGTCAATGGTGCTGTAAAACCTGGATAAGGGAGACCAAGATTCTTCGCGTCCTCCACTAGCTTTCTGTTTCCGAAAGACCAGTATACACCAATCGTAAATCCAGTTTTGAATCATCTAACAGACTTTCACTTGTCAGAAGGGATTCATTAATATCACCAATATGAGCAACTCTACTCGAAGCAACGCTTAGAGGTACTTGCAGGGCAAAGAAAGCGATACAAGAACGAAAAAGCCGTGCTTCGAGACTCAAAGTCAGTTAAACCAACCTTTGACGCATTTACACCATCGACACCAAACACTCCTACGAATGCTACTGTATCTAAATTTGAGTCGATGGTGTTGTAAAAGTTTGCAGAAAATTGATTTGAACTTGATGTGCATGTAGTGCTTTCGGCCTGATCATAGAAGTCTTCAATTGCTTCACTGTCATTGAGAAAAGCGTCTCCATCTTCTTCATTAGTCTCCACAAAGTCAACAGAGGGACCATCATTCTGTTCCGATTCAGCGATGCTGTCAGAGCCACCTTCTATTTCCTAATCACTAACATCTCCCTTTTCATCTTCAATTTCATAATTGCTCCCTTCACTCTGCTCAAAGTCAAAGAGGCTCAAGGACAAGAATCACATAAAGAAATTTCAGAAATTTGTTCATGCAACCTGCATGAACGTTCTCGTTTGATAACACCAAACGGGATCCACTTTCAAGGCTGAATGTTTCCAAATTGTGCTTGTCTTCTAAAGGTCTTGTTTGAGGAATCTCTGGATGTGGTGTCAAGAGTGCTGGTGATAATGTTACCGGTAATGCTGGTGATGAGAGTCTATCGTTATTCTAATCAGCTAATGGTGCTATTAAAGGTGATAAATTGTTATTATTTTGATGAGTCGCAAGGTCTAAAGCGGGTCTCGCTATATATTAATACTATGGATGCAACTTTTTAATGGATTTACTATATCCTTAACAATTTGAACAAAGCAAAACCATTCGATAGCTCTACGTTTAGTCCACAATGTTAGGAATATTTGAAGAAGACTAAAAGGCAATGACCTAAACAAAGGAGTCTCTTTTGTAGCGCATCAATCAAACCAAGACTAGCTTTCAGTTTTGTCATGCCATCAGTAATCTGATGGGCCAGGTCTACCAATCCAAAGGGCGTCATTGTTTGAATCATTCAATACCAATTCTTATAGCGTATTATGGTTCCTCTTTATATATTTGGCTCCATTCAAATAATAGCGTGCTGCTAAACAAACAACAGGCAACCTGCTCTGTCAATGAGAAAAAGATCATATATCAGTGTTCAAGAGATGCACCAAGATGAGTATTTTAGCTCAAATATAAGTATAATAGTTGTATTTACTCCTGGCAAATGATCTTTAAGATGGTGCTATAATAATAAGGGTATGTCATCTTTGAAACCGAGTACTATATATTGTGATTGTTCTTGTAAGCATCCGTTTGTTGCATGAGTGCCTGTATGAGGGAATGGTAACTGTGTATTTGACTCTCCTAGGATATCCCTCATTTGTATTCAAAGGATCAATGGATAAACGGAAAGAAAGCATAGCAGCGCCACCTCTTATAATACTCAAATACATGAAAAATGGGTGCGTTTGAGTCGTGTTTTCTCGTGGTAGAAGAAGTTTTAGGCTACCAGAGTAGCACCAAACAATTGCTGTTGTTTAGTGCTTGCTTTCTGGCACCTTCGCCAACTTTTTTCGGGTTTGTCGAAAATCGACCTCAAACCATAAGGGGTACCTCATGGTTTTCATCGAAAATTGCCCTTCGGGGTCGCTGTTAGAGTGGTTTTTGCACCTGAAGCGTTTCAGTCGTGAGCTGCTCAATCGAGACACAAGGGTGTCCGCGCGGAGAGATAGCCATTAAAACTATCTTCACTGAAGTTACAATCTTGAAGTCTATCCGGTCTGGTTTCGCCTGGTAGTTTGTGTTGGGACAAACATCTCCCTCCGTCTATAGGTGTTATGTAGTTATTATCACTCTAGTTTTCTCTTGCAAGTCACTTTGTTCACATACACTTGTCTCGTATTTTGATACATTTAAAGCCTTTATTGGGCGCCAGATTACTAATAAAGTCTTTAATATTATCCACCAAAAAAAAAAAAAAGTTTTCATCGAAAATTAAATGATCGCGTTTTTAACCTCCAAAATGAAGACTTCTATTATGGCATACGAGCCTTTCAGCACTTCGGGTGGTTTCCTGACCTACGCTTCGCTTCGGTGGAAACCAACCTACGTTCAAACGGCTCGCGCTGCCGCGGGCCTTTGGCTAATATCCCAAAATTAATATAGCTAAAATGTTAGAAGAGGAACCCTGATTGTTGATTGATATGTAATCACTAATCGTATGAGTGTTTATGCTTCGGATGGTTCTCACCGAAGCGTAGCAAAGGTAGAGAACCAACCTGCGCAGCGGCAGCTCGTGCTACTGATTGCTCTTGCGTATTTTATCAAAATACTGCTACTTTCATTTTGACCCTCCACTTACACATAGTAACCCTTCATATTATCTGTGGATCTGATTCTTATGTGATGTTCTACATCCATATACACGTAGCTACTTCATATACGGGCAAGCAGCATACTGGTATTCCCACTTTTTAGTCCTTAGTGTCCCTAATACAGCAAAATATGAGTGCATTTGAGCTGCATTTTCTTGCGTTCAAGGCCGTTTTAGATCGTCAGAATAGCCCCAAATGGTTGCTTTCATATGGCAGTTACTTTCTGACACTTTTGCTCGACTTTTTGGGGACCAAAAAAACATGGTCAAAAATCGACCAAAAAGCATGAGGTATCCCTCATGGTTTTCATCGAAAATCAAACGACCGCATTTTTCATCTTGATAATGGAGACTTTTACTATGGTATATCTTGAATCAAAATGTTTCTATCAATCCAAAGCAACCTCTGAAATTATCTTTGTGGGACTTTGATATGTAAAATTTCGACATTTTGGCCATAAATCTCTTTTCATATTTTTACAAATCATTCAATAAGTGAATTCAAAACATCTATTTTACTTAGTACCATTGGAAGCGCCTTGAAAAGTACTCCAGGAAAGCTTAAGGAAGCATGGGGTGATTATCATACTTCACTTAGTCGAATCTGCAAAAATAGCTCGATCGAGTCCAAAATTATCAAAATATGTCCAATCTGGAACAGACTATGATTCTGGGTTTGAATTAATTTTGGCTGGTAGGGCCAGCTGGAAAACTCATGCCCTTTTCATAAGGCAATACAGTAGTAAATGCCCTTGAAGCGTATAGAAAGTAGGTGGCAGGTCATAGCACTATCGTTTATGATGATATTTTATTGCCTTCTATATCGTTCATAATGATATTTTATTGCATTCTATATTTAATAACGTTAGTCTGGACATTGACAATGCATGGGTTGCATAAAATGTCTGCAGTAAGTAATGAAATCTCTGAGGCTCTGAGACGTCGCTCAAATAAAACATTGACAGCACTGAGCAGAGGAAAGAGGGTAGAAATTACAGTGGTTTTTGTTGATTGATTGTAAAATCATTATTCTCATATGAGCCAGGTCTGATAGATGCCTTGAAACTCAGGTTCCATATTAGGATTGTAAAGTGCAAAAGTACTGAACATTTATTATGTTATGATATGAGCCAGGTCTGATAGATGCCTTGAAACTCAGGTTCCATATTAGGATTGTAAAGTGCAAAAGTACTGAACATTTATTATGTTATGATATGAGCCAGGTCTGATAGATGCCTTGAAACTCAGGTTCCATATTAGGATTGTAAAGTGCAAAAGTACTGAACATTTATTATGTTATGATATGAGCCAGGTCTGATAGATGCCTTGAAACTCAGGTTCCATATTAGGATTGTAAAGTGCAAAAGTACTGAACATTTATTATGTTATGATATGAGCCAGGTCTGATAGATGCCTTGAAACTCAGGTTCCATATTAGGATTGTAAAGTGCAAAAGTACTGAACATTTATTATGTTATGATGATATGAGCCAGGTCTGATAGATGCCTTGAAACTCAGGTTCCATATTAGGATTGTAAAGTGCAAAAGTACTGAACATTTATTATGTTATGATGATATGAGCCAGGTCTGATAGATGCCTTGAAACTCAGGTTCCATATTAGGATTGTAAAGTGCAAAAGTACTGAACATTTATTATGTTATGATGATATTAATTCAAAATGACTGTATCGGTCCAAAGCAGCCCCTAAAACTTTGTTTGTGAGATTTTTACATGTAAAATCTCGACCTTTTCGTAGAAAACGTCATTTCATATTCTCAATTATAGCTCAATAAGCTTCTTCAAAACATCTATTTACTTGGCATCATTGGATCCGCCTCAAAGAGTACTCCAAGAATGCATTAGAAAGCATGGCATGACCATCACGCTTTGCATAGTAGAATTTAAAAGAATAGGTCGAATCCTGTCCAAAAAGCTAAAAAGTAAACAAATCAGAGCAGAATATATAGCGGACATTGAATTAATTTGTGGCTGCCTGCTTGCTGGCAAGATCAATGCCACTCTGATGATGAAGGCTCATAAGAGGAGGATTCCGAAGTAGAAAAGAAATAGTATAGTTTGTTCATTTCACTATTGCCTTTTTATTTCGATTGTTTGCAAATATTCATATCAGATAGCTTTTATTGTTAAAAGTTGTTCATTGGAGAATCGTTGTTCGACATGCTAAATTGTTTTATAAATCAAATCTTGGATTTATTATTATTTCGACTGGGTAAAGATCCAAATGTAGGTGAAGCGTCTCTGGCCAACTCATCATCAGTCCAAGGTATCAAATCAAAATCATCTGCTTCCTCAGAATTAGCTTCATCACCGCCATCCTCGCTGCCACTGACGCTGTTGCTAGGCAAAACAGGGCTTTTGTTGTCCTTGCTGCTTCCATTCTCCTTGGATCTGAGACAGGCAAACAAGCTATCTGAATCTGGCTTTTCTTGGGCAGACTTATTATTATCGCCCTCCACCACAACAAATGATTTTTGACGTTGACGATTGTTCCATTGCAGACAAGATTGAACAGAAGAAAACCAATCATTGCTAGAATCACAAGAGCAAAAGGTCCTGACAGGGTAGGGAGACATGGTGATCTTGACATGATCGCCCTCTATTCAATGGCAAAGTTGAGTAAACGCACAGTAAAGGTTGTATATATTACGCTTACGTTTTAATTCTGTTCTGTTTCTGCCATCAAAACTACAGTATGCAGAATGTCTTGAGCCAAAGGGAACGACGATACGAATCACCATCTCACTGGGTAGAAGCATGGGTCTGAAACTGAGTGTGTGAGGGCAAATAGGGGTTACCAATGTACATTGCATATCGGGATGAGTGAGAGAGCCGCTTGCAGAGAGCTATATATCAAAAAAAGTGAGTATTCTTCTTAATTGGCTGGAAAGGTCAACTCACCGAGTAAGCAGTGGATCCTGTGGCAGTAGCAATACACAGACCGTCAGCTTGTACAGTAGTAAGGTGACGCTCATCACCGAATAATTCAAGCATAGAGATATTGGAGCTTGGACCACGATCCACGACAATTTCATTCAGAACGTGATAGGTTTGCTTAGGAACAGTTGAATAGCACATGACTTTTTCATCCGTCAAATCGATAATCCCCTTATCCCTTTTTGACTCTTGTTCAAATGCTTTCCTCATCCAAGCTGTCTCCATCAACTCCCATTTACTTTGATTGTCGGCCAAGGAAGCCTCGTTGGGGTCCTCGCTGGTAGGCAAAGTCTGAGTCCATACTATGTCACTCTGCGACCCTCTTCTTGCACGCATTAAACAGTAGGGGTCTTGTCTGTAGCGATACACCGTACAACTTAAACGCATGCGATTGGTATGCTTCAAATTCCCCTTGAATAAGTTTTCCAGTTCGTCTTTGTAGGTGGTGAATAAGAATGGAGCCAAGAATCCCAACGAACCGAGATGGAATGGCATAATGGGAGGCACTGCCGACTGAAATATGGTGGATGTGAACAAAATAGTGCCATCTCCACCGAGCTGCATGTCTGCATTGTGAGCGCCGTGCTGTCTGTGTGTCCTTGATACCACTTACAGTAATAATGAGATGAAATAACTCGGGCTGCTTGTAACAAAGTTTAGGTGTCCAAAACTTCAAATGTGTTCCATACACGGGACACTTTTCAACCAGTTTATCGTACGCAAATCGTTTTGAATTCATCAAGTGAGCATCCACATAGCTAAAAAAAAAAAAAAAAAAAAAAAGACAGAAATTAGCCAACAATTATAGGTGTATTCGCTTATGTGGCTATATTTACACTATAAACGGATTCTTCTTTCCAAATCGCGGTGTAAAGATGAGCCATTCTGCTAGTTGACGCGTAAAGGCAACAAGTCTGTTGTCTCTTGCCTTGGTAATGACCAGGATTGTATTCTTTTTTGGGTCCCAAGTATCCATCGTGTGAGATAAAGCTATTGCACATGAGTAATGGGCAATCCCAAAAGACGACGGATGCATTACCTTGTTTTTTATTGGGAGAGCTACTGACAGTGGATTCCGCATCAGCTTCTCTTTTGGTACCACCTGAATTATTCTTGTCTGGTCGCATTGATTGTTATTACAAAGCAGAATTATTGGAAAAGTGAAAAGAAAGAAAATCAGCATTTTATTGCATTGGTCATATTGTAGCCGTAAAACTGGTAGTTTGCATGTTTCAAAATGACAGGCATTTGCCAGTCAATGTCCTCGGGCAGTGTCTGACTGTCTTGCAACACGTCGTACACAAGAGCCTTGTTTCAATTCCATACTGTGTTCTCGTTTTATGCATAAACAGAGCTTTGATGGTCCATCGTATCCAAGCACTGCATATTTGTGAGGCGCTCAATGAACGCAAATAGCGACTCAAGTTTATGCAACATTTGATCTCATTACTATGCACGCATCCATATCGTATTATGCATCTTGTCGTTATCTGGATAAAGCCATCACAAGTCCCCTGATGTAGAGAAGAGAGGTCGATGAGCATTTACTGAAAAACTACATCCACGCCTTACTGCAACAAATTAATGTAGATCAACATCCATCAAAGAATCTCTGGATCGTATTAAAATGTCATGGTATTGCCAACAGCAACCATCAGGACAACCGTCAAGCTAATTCTACTACAATCATAATCCTTCAATTGATGTGCTTTTTTTTTATTGTTTTTAGTGAATTTAATATACATTGGAGTTATATCATTGTTGTATGATGTTGGAAAAAACATTTCTATTTCTTTTTTAGCGTGAGTTGAGAGAGGGAGAGGGTCGTTGTGGGCGAGACTGGCGTGTTGTTTTGATGTTGATTGAATGTATGAATAATTGATATAGAAAACGAAAACTTATTTGGCCTCTTCCTTTGTCTCTTCAGAAGTGGCAGGAGCCTCATCGCCGTTCTCAGCAGCAGCAGCAGCAGCCTTGGCAGCCAAAGCGGCAGCTCTTTCAGCCTTCTTCTTTTCCTTCTTGTCCTTCTTGGGGTTGACCTTTTCAGCAGGCTTAGCAACAGGGTAGGCCAACTCACACAACTTTTGGAGTTCAGGATCCTCAAATGCCTTACGAACAGGATCCAGTAATTCGTTGATAGCAGCAATGACACCAGCCTTCAAATCTCCAGGATGAACCACCTTGTCAGCGAAATCCTTCTCCAAAGCCTCATAGTTATCGTATACCATGTTACCGCCGTATTGCTCGGGACGAATGGCAGTGAAAGTAGCCTTGTTACCGTTCAAGGTCTTGAGAGGGAAATAGACAGACTTGACAAAAGACAAGATGCCGTTTTCCTCAATATTGCCTTCCTCACAAAACGCCTTTTTGATCTTCTTTGACACATCCTTGGCACTGTCCAAGAAATCAATCTTGGAGTCAGGGTCAGAAGCAGACATTTTGGAGCCGGTCAAACCAGGCACCATAGGGTTCATCAAGTGAGAACGCTTCTTGTAACCCAATTGAGGCATGTACTTTTCAGCCAAAATGAAAATCTTACGTTGATCAACACCACCAAATTGAGCATCGACCTTCAAGTACTCTTCATCAAGAGCTTGCATACCAGGGTACAACAAACCTGACAAGAGAGGAGAGGCAACTTGCTTGACGACTTCAGCACCGGCACGCTTGGCATCGTGTTCGGTGACAAGAGCACACAAACGGAAGTTGTCCATGGTGTATTCCTTTGATAACTCGTAAGATGAACCAATGACAAACTTGAGCTTCTCAATAGGGACACCGAGAGAGGTCAAGACAGTCTTGATCATTTGCTCGTAGTATTTGACACGATGTTGGACGAGTTCGAGTGGTGCCTTCATGTTGTCGAGGAAAGCGTGAAGATCAGCCAAGAGAATGGTCATCTATTGCCAATGTGTGTCAATGCCAACCTACACTCAAACTCACAAGTCGTTGCATTTTTACCTCAACACCAGCAGACAAGAAATCAGCAATCTTGGTCATAGGCACAAAGTAACCAATGTGAGGTCTACCAGTGGGAGCAGTACCCCAATACATCTTAAGATCACGTTCAGCGAGAACCTTCTTCATTTCATCAGCACCGAGAACCTCTTGGAGGTTACGAGTGATGAGGTCGTACTTTTGCTCAGGAGTGAGAGACATGATGTGCTATTGTGTTGTAAAAAGGGGGAAAAAAAGGGGATGCGTAAAGAGCAATGTTGAAAAAATATGAGTCATGAACGGTGCTACACAAGCCACAGTACTTGAGGAAGCCAATCACTATTTTACTAGACAAGTGTTTCATTCTTTCACTCTGCTTTGTTGCTACAAGTGTATGTGAGATGGACATGCCTGCAAACAAGAATTGCATCGGCAATACATAGATCTACTAGAATTATCCCTCCAAATGACGTATCGACATGGAAACGCATGTCAATTCAACAAAATACCACTTTTTGACTGATTCTCGATCCATCACAGGCTCAATGTAAGATAGTCTGCAACCGTAACTCTGAAATGCATTAAGCTTTCCAAAAGCAACAACTACAGCAGTAGATCAATATACGTCCATTGAGCTCCTTTCATCTCTTCTTACATAAGCCGCCCTACCATCCTTTAAACCAACAATTTCTCTGTTGTATCGTTGTATCCCACCACTGTCACCGCGAAATCCGATCTGAATACCTCTTACCCTATGTTTTTCATATTAAAAACCATCCGCAAACAAAAGTGATCATTGAAGAGGTTGTGAGTTTTAATGAATTTTGGATTAAAAAATTGATGATATAATTTTTTTCTAGAAATGTTGCTTAACGGAGACGACGAGCTTCACGTTCAGATTCCAAAAGACAGAGGATATCGTTTTCACGAACGGGACCCTTGACGTTACGGATGATGGAACGGTTAGTATCATCCATGAATTCAACGCGGACTTGGGTGACACCACCACGAGAACCGGTACGGCCGAGAACCTTAGTAACTCTAGCGAGCTTGACAGGAGTCTTAGAGGAGTCCTGGTGAATAAACATGGTTAATAGTGAGTCTAAAGCATTAGGATAATTAACAGCATGAGCATTGAAAACGACTGTATTCTAGCTGATTCGAGCTATATGGATCAACATGCCATATACATCCATCTGTTTCCATCTGTTTGCATCACATCCATCACATCCATTGCTGATCCATCCATTCAATCGTATCGAAATCCAGTTGCATGCCGTCGTTTTCAATGTCGCTTGGTGTACATACCATAGTTATTAATTATAGAAAAGGAAAGAATCCCACTTGATTCGTATTCTATTCAATGTGATGTGCCTCCCCCCCCTCCCCTCCCGCCTCTGCTCCAGTCTATCTTCCTCTCTTGAATCTACCGGGCGACCCAATGTTTTTTGCTCAGCGACCACCGAGATAGTGTGGTGTCTCTCCACCTATTACATGTCTTGATATGCTTACCATCACCTCGCTACGTCACTAGAATGTACAAAACAATTTTTTCCTTGTTATGTATGTCTTTTTCCCCCCCTTCATCGGTTAATTCACTCATCTTATCCCTCTTTTTAGAACTTGAAATTACCATTGCCAAGCAGCACATTAAGCTCATTTCTGTATCCAACAAGAAAAACACCCAAGAAGAGAGAGCAATTGACGCGTTTTTTATCCTTGACACACATACGTTTATGGAATCCAGTTCAATCACCATAATAACCATGGATAACAATACCACAACTACCGAAGAAAATGCCAGACAAAGCTCCAAATTATCGCTAGGCTCATCGCCGTCTGTCCTGAGCGCAGATGAGCAATTGGAAGGCGATGGTCCTCTCACTCCAATTGATAAAATGCAAGACGACGTCGAGGATGATGACGACGATTTGTCTGCCTTGAACAGTATATTGCAAGCTGGTTCGCCTGGCTCTTTGTCTGATGAGGAAGAGGAGGAAGACGATGAAGAAAGAGTATCTGAAGGTGACGATGAGGACGAGGAAGAGGAAGAAGACGAAGACGACTTGCATACTGAGCAGGACTCTGCCTCTCCACTGTCGTCTGTGCCCGATGACTTTCCCTTATCAAGGTCGGCATCTCCTGATCTACCGCTGGTGGAAAAACTGCAGCAAGACGAAACTGAAGCTGATGGCGAAGATGAAGATGAAGAGGAGGACGAGGAAGAAGAGGAGGACGAGACGACCGGCAATACCAATGCTACTACTACTCATATCAGTACCAAGGACCAAGACGATAACGACGAGGATGATAACGACGAAGAGCAGGTAGTAGAAAAAGCCATGCCCAAAATCAACAATCGAAAGCTTTCAATGACGGGCAACCTGAACAACACGAAGCGTCGGAAGGAAGATACCAAAAAGAAGGCAGAACCCAAAGACGAGAGTGATTCTGAGCATGGTCCTAGTCCCTCCAAGAAAGCAAAGCCATCTGAAGCCTCCTCTACAGCCAAGGAGAGCAGCAAAAACACCGATACAAGCAGCAGTAGTGAGGATACCATTGTGATGAATAATACCAAGAAGCGCCGTGCCTCTCGATCTACACTAGAGATATTTGAAGCACCTCGCACTCGCAGAAGACAAAGCCGACAGGATGAATTAATTGCGAAAACTGAAATAGAGCAAGTGATAGAAAAAGCGACAACCACCACTCAAATCGATGAAACAGCCACAGAATCCATAAACAAGGATGCCAAATCAGAAGAGAAACAGGTTTCCGCTGAAGCAACCAGTAATGAACATGACAAAGATGCCGATAGTTTTGATAAACAAGAAGAGCATAAACAAGAGCCTGTTACACCTGAGCAAGATGAGCCAACGGAGGGCGAAGAAGCTGAACACGGCGAGGATACAGAGGAGCAAAGAGGGAACCACGAAGCTCAAGGTACGAGAACGAAAATGACACGAAAAACGCCAGTACTAAATGCAAGATGTAGACAATGATGATCATGATTACCAGCACAGACACCAAGAAGCACTGGATGCATTGACTCATATAGAAATCGAATTTGCTAGATTACGAGACAAGTAAGTTAGTGTAGAGTATGATCAGAGACATACAAAACTGACACGGTGGGCAGAATGTATCAAGAGAAAATGGCAGAATTACACGACGAAGCTCGCATGATTGCAAATGGCACACATCCCGAATTGGTGACATTACTAGCAGAAATTGAGGAGAAGAAAGGCAAACGCATCCATAGTGCAGAGGCATGGAGAAAATACCAGCATGATAATTTCAGGCAGCAATTTGAAGGATTAGAATACCAAGCCAACATCCATTTCATAGTAAGTAAAGGCACTTTTGTTGGCATAGCAAGTGGTCACTGTGTCTTACCCTCATTTTAGTCACAGAAGAATGCGCTACGACGTGATCTGCTAAGCAAGATCAATGGTAAACGATGGAACATGGAAGACGAACGCACAAAGTTAAATGACCCTGCCAGAGGTACAGTTACACACATGACAGTATTGCTAGGCCAGACACGAATTGACATTTGACGTAGGCGAGCGTGTATTCCCGGATGGTCGAGAGTTAGTAGCACACAAACGAGAACAAAAAGAGGAGACAGGTGAATTGCAAGACATCAAAGAGGCCGTTGGATTCCCTATGGCGCCCAATCCATCTGGCCTTAGTATACAAGATGTGGACGATGATTTGAAGCTGTTGGGCATCAAACACTCGTAACTCATCACCTACTATTTTTCTAATATCTATACCCTTTTCCCTCTGTACCATATTGTCTATTTTATAATTCCATTGCTTTCTCTTTTCATCTCCTCAAGAAAATCAAGGTACAAAATTCTATTATTTCATCCACACACGTGTTAATTCACTCAAAACTACACTGCTAATAAACATTTTTTTTGATACAAATATATAAATAAACAGCCTTGTTTGTCTTCTTTCTTCTTTTTCACTTTTTCACACTTTTTTTTTTGATTTCTATAGAGCAACATCAGGGAAACAAAATTAGAGTTGCATAAATTCCAGCCCATTATATGACAACAAATTTACATAAATTATCTTTGCCCAAGAGTCTGACATCTTCAACTGACAGCGATGCTTTCTCAAAAGATCTTTTACGTCAATTTGATAAGAAGAGATCAAGATTACACTTTGAATTAGGCTTTACATCTCAAGTAAGTGTGGATATGTCCAGGGGGGGGGGGGGATAAAACAATGTTTCTTCATCGTGGAGAAAATCCAATTAAGGTAATTTGACATTTTAACTTGCTAGGCACCATCACCGGAATCGTCCATTATCACTACACCAGCGACGAATGATTACCAATACGAGGAGCCAGTTCAACTAGATCAGCAAGAGGAGGAGGAGGAGGAGGAGGAGGAGATGGCAGCCGCTGGAAGGACAACAGAGGATTCCATTAGACAACGATCGACAGCAAGCAAGCGATCTTCATCGGCTAGTGATTTATTGCGTAGATCCTCTGCCTACCTCAAATCAAAGTTTGATTTAATAAAAAAGAACAAATCCCATGATGATTACCTTGAGCATCATCATTACCATCACCACGACAACACGCCCATCGATATAGCAGACAAACCCACAAAATTATTTATGAAGACGACTATATCCATTCCATCTACCACTGCCGCTAAGCCTAATCCCACTATTGCATCTAATCCGCCTACTATAACTCAATATCCACCAAAGCCGCTTGTGTATTCCCCTATTGAACCTATTCCCCGTTTGCAGCACGAATCAAAAACATTGCTACATCGTATATCTATGCCATTAATGCGTGTCTATAACCAAGACAATGCATCTCTCACTCGCAACAAGTCCATTACCTCACTTGTCAATCGTAGACGCAAGTCCGAGCCAGATCAACATACCAAAAGAAAGCTAAAGAGACAATAATAATGAAAATCCTATGTGTATATGTCATTTCTATAATAAAATCCATCCTAAATCTTTTTTTCATTTCAATTGATATAACAAAACCCTCTTGCGAAGGTTTCCAAAAATTGACTAGAAGACCAAAACAATCCTCTAGACGTATATAAATTACATGGTAATTTGTTTGTGGGTTCGGCATTTATCCATCAGTAGGAACCTCATTTGGATAAGCATCTCCCCTTTGAAAAGGACAAGGGAAAAAAAGAAACCAACATGAAAATTTTGACTTTTTATACGTCTCTCGATCATTGAGACTGCTTATGAGCGATGGCTTCAGGGCAGGAAGATGGGATCAGTTGAGTAGTAACTGTCTGATCTGCCTAATGCGATAGAAAGAACTGATATTGATAGAGGCCATCGTCATGAGAATGAGCCATCATTGGAACCTGCCATCCATTGACAATAGTGCTTGACTGCATCAAAGAAACATGCCATGGGCTCAGTCCTGCACCAAATCAAGCTTTCATACTTGATCTCGGTAATAATTATAATGTCTGATTGTAGCATACACATACATGTAATGTAAGATGCTGTAATGCTTAATACTCGGACGCTTACAAGTGGATCCAGTCGGTCAATCCCTTCACAGATCAGACAGCAATAGCAAATGTTATTGGTTTTATTCAACTTTTTCTGATTTGTTCACATTAAGCTGGTTGTTCACATTTAACTTGAAGCCATGGATGATGCAAGATACTCTTAATTGATAGTCGTTTTTGAGGGTTATTCTTTAGCATTCCATCCAACAGGTCCAAGCAGGAATGGGAACAGTTCGGTTCTTTAGCTGGCCGCCTCCAATTACCGGATATAACTTGCGTTGAATTGGCAAATGGCACCTGGCCGTAAAGCAAGGTAAACAACAAGATGCCTAATGACCAAACTTCAGCAGGCTCTGGTTTGTAGTTGAGGCCCAACAGTATCTCAGGAGATGCAAAGGTTATAGTGCCATGGAACTTGTTCATTGTAAATTGATCGCGATCAGGGAGATCAGAAGGTATTTGAATAGCCGAGCCAAAATCCACCAATTTCACCTGTCAAATCACCATGCTTTTAGTATTTGGGTTTGCTTCGCACCTTGTGAGATTACCTGAAAGTTGGAGTCGACAACGATGTTCTCATCTTTAATATCACGGTGGTATATGCCCAGGTCGCTGAGATCGCTCATGCATTGCACAAGCTGTCTGATAATGTTTTGAGTCTGCGATTCGCTCAGTTTTGTATGGCTTTCAATGCATTCGAATAGATCACTGGAATTTCTTCGTCGCATAGGATAGTCTTGACACAGCGATGGAGGAGTTACTGAAAAGGTATCGCTTTCACAGCTGCTGTCTTCGCTGTTACTGTCGTCTGAAGCTTGGTGAGAAGAAGGCCATTCGCAACCATAGAGTTCCATGATTAGGTAATGATACATTTCATCCTGATAGCTATCAATGTATTCAATGACTGTAGGATGCTTGATTTGCTTGAGAATGGAGACCTCGCTTGGTATGTCGTCCGGGCCATTGAACTGAGCAGGCAGCTTATGTTTGTATATAAACTTTACCGCCACGCTCTTCTGTGTTTCACGATGAATAGCAGACATGACAAACCCGTAACCACCGCTTCCAATTTGGTCTTGGAGCTGATACAAACGAACCACCTGCTGATTCAATTGATATCCATTCACCAATGGCAGGAACATGGGTGATTTATCATTGATATCTTGGTTCATTGTTACAACAGTACTTGACCTAGAATATGGGAAGAGCGAAAGAAATGCATGAAATGAGAGTGTGTCAGTAACAGAATTATTTCAGCGATCGAACCCCTCCTTCTTCTCAACACTTGCATGTTGACATGCTATTATTTTGCCGACAGTAATGGCAAACGTGATAGTAGAAAATGAAAAAAAAAAGATCAAGTAGTGCCCATCTTGATTTATATATACTGTATATGGTAAAATACGCATTTGAGCCCTTTTCAGGGATACATTGAATTGTTTCATTTTAAGCTTTTTCTTTCCTTGTTCATTTGCATAAAGAGGGCTTATACTGGAACAGACTCAATGGCCTATTGGCTGCATACTGAACGTTTTCAATACATGGCCATTGGACTTGTTGATCTAACAAGAAGGGGTTTCATTCAAATCAACGCACTTTTTTAACAGTTCTAGATGAAACGAGTTTTTGGATAAAAGGCAAAATGGTATTTGTATGCAGTATGATGGCTTCGGGCCCTGCGATCACAGTGTCATGCCATATGTTGCTCGAGTAAGTTTTTTTTTTTTTTTTTTTTTTTTTTTGGTCAAGATGTGAATTGATTACGGGTTCAATGTGCATGATGAATTAGTCAGATAAGCAAATGCTAGAATCACTCTAGTAAATTGTCGATAAAAGCGCTTTGTGTCTTTGAAATCCATAGGCAGATAAACATTGTATCCACGTCGTTTGATCCAAGAGGTGAATAGGCATTTAAAATCTCTGCTTTCATAACCGTCATTTGGTCTTTTAAGCCTTATTGAAAGGGACCAAGCCAAGAACAGCGCATCATGTCGGTAGACAGCTTATAAGCTATTGAGAGTGTCATTATTCACGACCTGTGGAGGCACCCAACAAAGTAGCTTTCAGCTAGACAGACGAGCAAGCATAAGATCGCTCGGCAGCTGGAAAAAACGATACAGCTGATAGGCCATGTCGAAGGGGCAGTAAAACTTGATGCAGAGATCGCAATTTTTCATCCGATCAAATGACACAATGCATAGTGAATTGTCGGTAAATGGTTGCATATTAAATGCATGCTTTATGATGCGGTTGTTTGCACTGGTTGTGATCTAGCATGTGAAATCACTCAACTTGGCTTATACTAACTTTCTTCAATGCCAGTGAACTATGCATTTTAATAGACACATTTGCTATAAGTTGAATGGTCATGCATTGCCACCATGTAGTCCAAGATGGAGCATCGAGCCGCTCTCCTTGAGGCATTGCCATCTCAAATGCATGGCGAATAGAGTATATAAGGACTAGCAGATCTATCTCTACGCTCGATGTCGGTGTCACACTGTGGGTTTTCGCCAAAGACATTTTAAATTAGATATTATAACATTTTGGTATATCAAGTATATATTAAACAACCAATCATTAGTTAGTAAAATAAAGATTATATCAGGTCCAGGAGGAGGGGAGGAGGTTTCTCTTTCAGCATCCTTTTTGCTTACACTGATATCAAACTAAGCCTATTTTTGGGACAATGTGAAAGAAAATTCAGGTTTTATGCAGCATTTGTAGAATATAATCGCCATATTTTGATAATGGAATTGTCATATCATTTGCTGCTGCTGATGCTCTTAATAATAAGATGGCAACATAAAGCTGGTCATAAGTAAATACAGGACTTGTGTAAGATCTACAACGACTTTTTCGAGATAATGTCATTGCAAAAGACAACTTCATGAGGCAAAGCTCTCAAAAAAAAGCATTTGCGCTAAGCAATTGTCCTTTCAATTCCATGATCCCCATTTAATCAGCATCGCAATCATCATTGTCATCGTCAGAGAGGCATTTGGGTCAGCCAGCAGCAATGCCGCCGCCAAAGCTGATTCAAACTCAGATTTTTTTGTGTTCATGATTGGACAGATTTCGTCCTTTTTCGACCTCTTTAAACTTTTTGTGATATTCGACTATATAAAGTGTGATGATCACCCTACGCTTCCTAACACATCCTTGAAGTACTTTTCAAGGCGCTTCTAATGGAACTAATTGTAATAGGTGTTTTGACTGAACCTATTGAACAATTTGGTAAAATATGAAATGAGGTTTTTAGCAAAAATAGCCATATTTTGCATATGAAAGCCTCATAAAAATGGTTTCAGAAGTTGTTTTGGGTCGAGAGAAACATTTTGATTCAATATACACTATAGTAAACGTCTTCATTTTTAAGGTGAAAAATGCGATCGTTTGATTTTCGTAAAAAACCATGAGGTACCCCTTATGCTTTTTGGTCGATTTTTGGCCATGTTTTTTGGGTTCTCAAAAAGTTGAGTAAAGGTGTCAGGAAGTTACTACTACTCGAGTACAATTGTTTGGCGTCATTCCGGCGGCTCATAAAGGTCTATATGTCAAGATATGAAGGCTTGAAAGCTGTCAAATCTGGTTATGTATTGCTTTATAGAGTTTATTTAGGCTGCATAATTCACATCTTGGGTAGCTGAAATTTTCTGGAAGGGTAATTCTGTAGCTTGAGCAATTTTTAATTCGAATAGGAGGCATATTGGTTTTGGTAAAGCTGATTTATGCAAATTTTGATGCGATTTGTTGCTGGTAAGCCTATTAACAATGGAAATGAAAACCCGAATTTGCTACTTGAATACTATGGTTTTGCACCTTCGCCTTGCTATGGTAAAACCCTCTTATAGGTCAATGTTACCAAATGTTGAATTAGATGCAAACTCGCTACGCTCGTTTCCAGTATATATATATATATATATGTATGATGAGCTTCCTGGGGTTTTTAAACACAATCATAGTTGTTCTTGTCATGAGCAAGTGCTGTAGAGCCTCAGGAGGTTGATTAGAGTTGATTGCTTTGAAATTCTTGTTGTAAGTGATCTAGTGCTGCAATCAAATTGTCGTTGTCGTTGTCGTTAAGTTTTTCTTTTAAAGAAATAAAACTTGTAATGAAACATTGAAATTTTTACAAAGCACTGCTTGAGCTGATACTTTAGAAAGCTCAAAAACCAAACGGCGCTGAGTGTCATTTGACATGCTGTAAAGGGAGTAGAAGTTTGACAATGAAAGAGATAGAAGTGGCGAAGCAAAGTAAACTTGAGATACTTGCAGCGACCTGGTAAGCAACACATTGCTGATCACCGCCTGCTGGTCTTGTTCTTACCCACATACTTGAATTGTGGGCACAGTACAAACATCGTAAGGGTTTGGTTTCACCGATGACATTGACAAGATATACTTTGTCAACTCATCTAATGAATATCAAACCCTTCCGTTAAATGCATGAAACATGGGCAATAAGTGCATCTTGGGGATATATCAAGCATGAGCGTGTCGTCTATGATAAAATCGTTTTTCTCTTGCTAGTTGTGCTCAATATGAAGAGAAAGAATAAATGCTGGAGCGTTATCACATCTCGCGCCTTTGCGTGCTTGATCATGCTATTATTAATCGTACAGTATACCACGTTTGGTCCTGTTTTACAAACGATATTAATCTATTCCTACAACCTCAGGCAATGGCTCCTGTAGTAATTGCTGTAGATCTTACGTTTCTCACTGGCAAGTAAAAGCATATACTCAACAAGCATACATCTAACGCACACTGCTGACACATTAGACTTCATCAACAGTATGAGGATGGGAGATTTCTATGCGTATCTGACATTTATTGGTATTATTAGTGTCTGGAGTCTTTATGGGCTGATCTGTACTTTGATGGTATGTATTCCTCAGTGCTGAAGATGCCCATTGATTGTGCTCATGCAAACCAACTGATTAGGGCTCACTGGGCGGTGTGACAGTCTACATGATTGGCCTTCTTGTTGGCATTGTAGCTGCTATGATTGTGGGTTTTATTCATATCATGCTGCTATTCATCAATTACAGGCCTGTCTTGATGAACTCGTGCCTCCAAAGAGATCCATCGAGGCTGTTTTGGTGGTCTCTGGGTTTTGAAGATACTACTGAAATGAAGCAAATCTATGCTAATTGTCAGAGTCAATGGGCGACATTTGCAACTGAAAGAATAGTGTCCTATGTGCTTTACAGCATCCTATCAGTAGGTGTTTCTCCAAGTATTTTGTTTCATAAATACTCATGCGTACATGTAGAGCGTGTGCGCCTTTTTTGTCGTTTCCTATCAGCGCCAAATGATCGAGAGAGACAGGCAAGCAAAGGGCGTCATTGCAAGCCATTCAGACAGTGGTTGGTCTGACGATGAGGACGATGGTTATAGTGAAAGGAGAAAGCTGAGAGGTCATTCGATTACTTATCATGATGCATCGTTCCCCTCATCTCCCAATGAAAAGACAAAGGCAGCTAGCACGACAAGCCCTGCCAATACGGCACCCAGCACACCTGATAATGGAACTGCCAGTGTATTGTCTGCTGACATGTACCAACAACGGCAGCGCTTGTTTGATGAAATTGCCAAGCGCAAGAAGGCTAGAAAGAACTTGAAGCGTAAATCGATTACCAGTAATCCCACGCGCAGTTCGGTTCTCGTTGTGCACCCCTTGGATCTATCTCAAGATCCAGAGGCATACACACCTCCTCCCATGCCTTCAGCGGAACCAGGAAAAGAAGAGCCATCTTGGAACAGATACAACGAGAAAGAAAGCACGATTCGAGAGGATGAAGAAGCCATTGAGCGCCAAAAACGACTGAATGCGCTGTCTGCAGAACGAATGGAATACGAGATGTATCGATCTGACGAAGTCTCTTCTACATCATCAAGCGTAGTTCACAAACCTCACGAACTAGACGATGATGACGATGAAGGAGATGCAGCTGTTGCTAAAAAATCGCATCGAAAGCGTCCTACATCAGGACGATGGTCTCAAGTGTATGCAGATAACAGCGTCTCTAAGCCATTAACCACGTTGAACCAAGCCAACGAGGAGGAGGAAGAGCAAGAGGAGGATCACGAGAATCAACAGCTTATGGACCCTGAAAACCAGGAATCATTGAATAAATAATAAAGCGCGAATAATTTAATTGAAATTGTTCTTCATCTCTCTAAATGTGTTGAGCACCTCCACTGGATCCGATTTGCCTGTCATCATCTGTAGCGATTGTTCGTTTACCCGTAAAAATGGATTGTAGAGCTTTTCCTGTCCAATGGTAGATGGAACTGTGATTAGTTTGTCTTGACACCAGTTCCATTTGGCTATCAGTGCTTCATTTTGAGGATCGATGGTCAACGCAAACTAAAGGTTGCAAGTCGATAAGTACTCGGTCCATAACACACGCGCCCACGATCCAGCTTACCTTCAAATTGGTCTTTGTATACTCATGCCCACAGTAAACCCATGTCTCATCAGGCAGTTTGGTCAATACATGGAACAAGATTCGATACATATCACGAGCATCTCCTTCAAAGAATTTGCCAACACCACCTACAAACAACGTGCTATAGACAAACTCAACAACTGTGTTTCCCTCCTATACATACATCAGCAAACCACACTTACTCGCCTGTAAAGACAGCCTTTTCGCCTGTTGCTGGATCCACCACATAGTAACATACATGTCCCTTGGTATGGCAAGGTGTGTGCAGTGGAGTGACAGTCAGGGATCCCAATTTGAACTCTTCATGATCCTTGCAAACATAGTTGATCTCTGGAATACGAGCATCTGCACCATACACAGCTAATCCTGGCTTTTTGGCTAAAAAAAAAAAATTCGTTGTGTTACTCGATACCCGACATTTCAGCCAATTCGTTGCTCTACCTATTAATTCAATGTTTCCACCGGCATGATCCCAATGATGATGCGTTGTGAATACGCTGTAACCCGAGTCATTACGCTGCTGTTTCCGTTGCTTTTGGCCATCTCTCAAAGGACTTACCTTGATAATTTGGAGCCTGTTTGACTAATGACATTTAGGATTTTAATTGGCTCAACAGGGTCAATGACAGCAGCCTCTTTGGTTTTGTCGTCAATAAGGATGTAGGAATAGTTATCCTCAAGCACGCTGATGGGGATGATCTTCATGGTTTTTTTTTGCTCAAGAAAGAATGAAAAGCTAAGAAAAGAAGAAAAAAAAAGAGAAAAAAGGGGGTTCTAAAGTGGAGATTGTTTAAATATCAACAGGATTTTCCATGTATGTTTCTCAACAGAAGCTTCTCGTTTTCCTGCCAGAGCACAAATAGGAAAAAAGTCCGCCTACATGATGATGGATGTTTATACGAATGGATGCGATCAACCAAAAGATTTATTTCATTAAATATCGTATCTGTGTATCTTTGTGTGTGTGTGTGTGTGTGTGTGTGTGTGTGTGTGTGTTTGTGAGTGTGGGTTGTGGGTGCGTGTGCGCTGGTGTGTTGAATATGTTTTTATATATACTATCTTCTATTCCAATTCTTCTTGAGTTGATGATTTGCTTATTCCTCATCTTGGCCGGCACGAGCCTATAATGTAGTTCAATCAACACATGTCCATTCAACATTACATCTGCAAAGCACTTACACCACGAGGACGAATATCACCTTCACGAGCACCAAACTCCTCAGTCAAACCATTGTAAGGGTAAGTACGAGGGACCTACAATCATCACAGTGAGACATTTGGCCTTGTCATCCTATCTAAACATGCCAACTTACAGCGACCTTGTCAGGGTAAAACTTGTAAACGGTAGCGGCAACACCAGCAAAGACGGCAGCAAAGAGAGCGAATTGACTAGCAGCCTTGTAGGGGCTGTAAGTGTGAAGATCAGGAGCCCAAACACCCATGATTTCATCTTCTTCGTGAAGCTAGATATCGAAACAAAGTGTTGAGTCTACATGTGTATATCGAGAGAGGTTCAAATCTTACAGTCTCACCAAAGTTACGCTTGTCTTGAGGATCATCCCAACCAAAGGGGCCTCTGGTTTGTGCACTGATGCGAGGCAAGTTGGGATAATCACCAATTTGAGGATCGGATACAACTTCACCGGTGCTCAAGGTGGATTGAGGACGGACTGAAGTGATGGCAATAGGTTGACGGGTTGTGTTCATAATGAGACGCATGTTCAATGCGTGTTGTGTAGCTGCACGGAAAGCCATTTTGTTGTTTCGATGGTGAAAAGAGTGGGGTGTGTGTGCTGTTAATTATCAAAAAGACAAAACAATGAAATTTTTATTTTGTGGTAGTAGGACTATGACATTCTAGCTTGCCCCACAGTCGCCCCCCCCTTCTACCCTCGCAACCCTCCAACTAGGTTTGAATTTGATGGATTGCTCTGTGATGACATCAGTTACGAGCACTGGCTCACACATCCAGCTATAGAAACCCAGTGCCATCATCCGCTCAAATCATGGATGGACATTGCTCGCATGTTTGCTATTCCCAGAAAGCGCTCTTATCGAATGATCCATTGCTCATCATGCCCACAATGCTATTTGGATTCCAAGTAAGCATCAAGTATCAGGGGTAAATAATCAACACCTTGGCTCCACATTTGTACATTGCCAGACTATCTTATTTATTGGTATTTTCAACGTTCAAATCATCTTATGCCTTCAACACTCGCTTGACTAAAGCCTCGATTCCTTGGTTGTTCTTGATAGCGTCTTCCAAGCTCTTGAGCGCATACTTGGCCAGCATATCCACCTCGACATTGACACGATCACCCACCTTCTTTGAGGTCATGATGACATGAGCTTGAGTATGAGCAATCATCATGATGGAGAATGTACGTTCATCGTCATCCACATCACACACAGTCAACGAAGTACCATCCAAACAAATGAATCCCTTTGGAATCACATATCTCATCTTATCCTTATCCACTTGCTCCATTTGAAAGGTGTACCAGATGGAATTTCCTTCAGGCTTGATGCTGATAATCTTGACAGTGTTGTCGACATGGCCCTGCACCATATGACCACCAAATCTCTTGTTTGAATCCATAGCACGCTCCAAATTGACTTTGTCTCCCACCTTCAAATCGCCTACGTTTTACATTAAGCACATGGACAAAAGTAGAGCGAATGAGTCCTACCTAAATTGGTGCATCTCAGAGTCTCGGGAGCAACGCCCACCTTGAAGGAATCAGAGTCAAACTCGGTAGCTGTCAAACAGGTACCTATTCATGTACAGTGTTGGTGCACAGGTGGCTATAATCGAGTAGATACTATACCATTGATGGCAATACTATCGCCGAGGTGACAATCAGTCAATATGTCAGCAGCATCAGATACTGTGATGGTCCAGCCATTGCCACCAGATTCAGAGTTATCTTGCTCCTGAATATTGGAGACAGTGCCCATAATTTCAACAAGACCAGTGAACATTTTTGATTATATACGAAAAAGAGCAAACAACAACAAAAAAAAAAAAAAAAAAAAAAAAGAGAAAGCTTATATGATTTCGATTTGTCATGGAAATATAAGCGATATGACAAATCTTGGTTTTATGACTGCGCAAACACAGCTGCCAAATTGCATACAGATCAAATGCTGATGAGCAATGGTTATGTTTATTAGGTGTATGAACAATAGTGATGATAAGCTATGATATCTATTCAGCAAAGCGAATGTCTTTTTCTTTGATAGGAGGTATATCTGCCGCAACTTCTTGAATCTCGTCGCTATCAGCATCGCCAATTGCCCTGGATGTTGTAGCGCCGAGTTGCTTTTCAGCAGCAACTTCCTCTTCGACTTGCACCATGGCTGCTGTAGATGCCTGCTTCTTGTCCTGAGGACGAACAATGAATTTACCAGGTTCGCCAGTAAAGAAAAACACATATGGACAGCATGCGGCCAGAAACGCGCCCATGACAACACACATGTTGAAGAAGCCAATCCTGCCATACAAAAATCCGCCCAGCAAGGGACCTACAAGACCACCTAGACCAAAGGCAATGTTGAACAAAGCATAGCTCATGCCTTGTCCTGAATCACCGTCATCAGGGTTGAGATGGTCAACAACATAAGCTAGCTCTGGTAAAACAGGCGTGATGAATGCAAATGCGGTAAAGCCTTGAATGGCGAATATCACAATCAACGGCACAATGCCGCCAGCGGTAGAGTTGCTTGGAATGCCAATGAGAAACATGGTAATGGCGCATACCACAAGCGTAGTGAAACAAACGACTTTGGGACCATATCTGTCACTGATGATACCTGCTAATGGAGTAGCAACGAATGTTGGAATCACTTGAGCCAGAAACACAAGACCAATCTGACTGGCATTGTATCCCCATTCAGTAGATAATCGAACAGTGAGAGTAGGCTCAAAGACATTGTAGACGCAGCCGTTGGCAAACGCGAGCAACAAACTAGCAATCAAACGGTGCTGGCTTAAAAGTTGAAGCACAGTAACATTGTGCTTGCTCTTCTTCTTGATGCTACTGCTGTCATCGTCTCCCGGTGTGGGGTTGACAAGCGTCGATGGGACAATCGTGGGTGCATTCACAACAGGCTCTTTTTGGAACCATTCAGCAGGGCGATTTCTTCGTTCCACCAAAAAGACACGCAAGATGAAATCAATGCCGGCCAAACAAATACACAGTATAAAAGGGGCTTTATAGCCAGCTGATTGATACAAGGCTATGAGATCAGTGTTAGCTTTTCCATCTTCATTTTGTGATCTACAAAGCACAGCATACCACCTAGAGGATGAAGCAAATGTGAGCATTGAATGCCATGATGAAATTTTGCAGAAAATGCTTACCGCCAATAGGACTACCGCAAACAAGGCCAACAGAATGGAACAGCAACACTCGGCCCATCTACAAATAACATGTATGCGTTAGTGTAACCTATTGACATTAGACCAACACTGGATAAATGGTTTTACCTGTGTACCGAGCTCTTCTAGTGCAAATGTATCAGCGATTAAACACATACCAAGCGTCCAGACACAGGCATCTGAGAAACCCTGCAAGAAACGAGCCAAGAGCAATTCCCAGTACGCATTAGCAAACAAGAAGAGCAATGTAGCTCCCAACAAACCAGCGATGCCTGCAACCATCGGCCACTGACGGTGTTTCATTCGATCCGCTATTTGTACCAAAGAAAAAAATACCCACAACAAACAATTAGGCAACTGATTTCTCATCCTGCACAACAATATGACATTTACCTAAATAGCCCAAAATGGGAGAGCCGACTAAAAGACCTGCAGCAAATAAAGCTAATAAAACACCTGTATCCTGAGACACAGAACCACCATTGGACACTTCTGAATGATATGGATCTGGTCCGGAATCAGGGGATTTGCCATTCTGTAAAGCATCAATGACAAATGGCACTTGAAGACACAGGTACATGTCAAAAAATTGCAGATCAAAGAATTGCATGAATCATGCTCAAGAGGTACATACTGATGGGGACAATGATACTATAGACCATCATCTACTCATAAGAGATGATAATGAGGATCAATCTTTGAAATGCAATCGACATGCATTCACTTACATCTGTGAACAATGACAGTGATACCGTCACTAGAACATAGAGATTGGAAGATCTGAATCGGACAAACACAGGCTTCTTTTCTGCCATTTGCAATTGCAAAGCAAAATTTGAAATTATAGAAACAGAGGAAGGAAACGATACAAATATATAGAATGTTTTAGTGTCCTTGCAAAAAAAAAAAAAATGTTACGGGAACACAACGAATAGCCATCCTGTTATACTCTCAAGTGATGTGACGGCCTGGAGGCACAGTTTGTCAATAAGAAATAGGCTAATTCGGGTGTATTTGAACTCCTTTATGATTCAAAAGCATGGTAGAGCATAGATGTTACTATCTCTCGGGAAAAAGAAGCGTTTCTGCCACCATTGTTCATTGCCAGTGCTCCAAGATGTATGTCCAGAAAAATCAAATTTTTAACTTACCGCACACAATAGGTTGTGATGATGTTGGCATGGCAACTGATCAAATCATATTCCCAGACTGCTGTACACATCAGTTACAAACCTGCTTAAATCAACTGCTTTTGGGTTTTGATTGGGTTAAATTCTATTATGCCATGAGACGTATAAGCAGTATTCTCGAATACTTGTAGTGTATTTAAGGGAGAACCTATCTGACGATGCACCAATCTACCCCCCTTGATGTGTCCTTTTGATCTGTCATATTACGCTACATCCTCTTGGCAAAACACACCCTCGGTAACAGCCGATCATTCCTTCTTTTTCGTATAAATACAGATAATAAAAGCTGCCATAGATCATATTTTCACTTAACAATGTCTACCCTTTCCTTACCTCACAACATTAACTTACAACGCAACATGCTTCATTTACTCCCAACCGAGATCGTTTGGAAAATTATGCAAACGCTGGACCCAGTTGACCTCTCGAGAACAAGGCTTGTGTGTAAGAGATTGCGTACATTCAGTGATCATCCAGCATTATGGAGATGTATTCAGCTAGAAGCAAGTAGAAAGACACAACATATGGAAGATATACCCTTGTGGAATCTGACAGACCTCAAAGCCATCTTGCAACTTCATCTCTCGCATATACAAACAATCCAGATTCGAGGCGTTCGTGACAACATTGTGCAATATATTCTGTTAAATTGCAGCAATTTACAAGAATTGACCATTTCTGGATGGTCGACACTTTCGGATCATGCGTTTAGAATATCAACTACTCCAACATTTGCGGCCTTGAGCCTGCGTCGTTTGAGATTGATTGGACAACGTAGATCAAACTATACCTCAATAGATGCCACCGCACTTGGAAAACTGCTAACATACTGCCCCCATTTGGAGGAAATTACAGTCGTATGCTGCCAGATTCATGTGCAGGCCGAGTGTTTCCTTCAAATGATGGATCAAGTCATGCATCAAGATCAACGGTTATGGATGCAGCAACATCAGCAAGACCAAGGTCAGCTTAATTCATCTTCTTCCCTCAAATCGCTGGTTGTCGCTACAAAACGAACTTGGTCAAGCCATCATGTCATGCGACTCTTTCAACTGTGCTCAAATCTTCGTTTTTTGGGCCTTGTTCCTGATTCAATTGAAGTAGTTGAATATACAGAATTAAACCAAAACAATGACGAAATAACAGCCCCAATGCCTATTCTAGATCATTCGTCTAATGCAACCCATGCGAATGCCAACAATCAGCCTCATCTGCTAACCAAAGATATCCAAGCTATTGACGGTCAGGAAATGTTAGACTCGGATAACCTCATTGTTTATAAACTAAACAATTTCAATCTTTTAAATGAATAAATTGTTGTGTTGCCGTTGAAGATGATGTCTGACGCTTTTATCTTGTTTTATGGGATGATGATCTGAATGCAAGCCATCTTTCTAAATGACCTAGATTAATCTTGATTCGCAAATTATGTCTGTCATATTTTTGCACTTTAATGATACAATTATGATTAGTACTGTGTAAGACCAAATCACAACCGATATCTTTATTTAATCAATAAATAATTATCATTGTCGAACATCGTGGATTGACGTTAAGTTTAGTTTTACAGCTAGATATAGTATCTCTGTTGCGGATGACCATCAAGTGTGTCCTGCTGACCTGATAGGTATCTCATTCAATCTGAACAAGTCGTTAGATTCAGATTTTCGTAACATCACTGATGCCCAAGTTCAAAAGCTACTATATTCGCGCATTTCAAAAAGAAAAATCTGAGCCTCAGAATTAAAATAAAAGCGTCTATCGCTCAGGAATTGTGTTCCGTACAATGCAGAGCATCAGAGACATCAGACAGAAGTGTAATTTACTTACTCTTCTGATAACGCAGCCCACTACGCCGTCGTTTTAGGTCGAATTCTGTGCAAATCTAGCCATTTTCAAGCACGAATAACTCATGCCACAAAGCGTTTTGAGCGCTTGAAATAGCAACACACGCCTCCTCTTGGCCACGCTTTACTTCTTGATGCTTTATCTCAATTTTTTTTTGGTTTGTTGCAAATTCATGAAAATCATCGTTTTTCCATGAGTATTAGCAAGGGAAAATTCTTGAAAATCAAACGATTGCGTTTTTCACGTCAAAAGTGAATACTTTTCCTATGATACATATTAGATCAAATTGATCGTAAAGATGAAATGCAACATTGGAAACTCTTTCTATGAGACTTTCATATGCTAAATTTTGACATATTCACAGAAAACCTGTTTTCATATTTTTGGAAATTGCTCATTATTGTTGGTCTGAAAGCTGAAAGTAATTAGCACCATTCGATGCGGCTTCTTTAGTCCTCTAGAGATGTATTAGAAAGTTGGGTGTGACAATCACAGTTTTCATAGTCAAATTCAGCAAAAACGTTTAAAGGATGTGAGATCAAGTCAAGTTTGAACACGAAAATACCACTGCACAATTTCAAATTAAATTGCCGCAATTACTGCTGCTACAGTACAAGGCTGAGACCAAATCTACTGGTCATGACGTCGGATAGGGTACCCTCTCGTTTTTCCATGCACCCATTTTTTACCCATTTTGCAAAACGCGTTTTAATATCAAACCATGGTGGTTTTGGACATCGTTTGATTGATAATAACACTCTAGCTTCCGATAACTTTGTCTTGTACTGTTGGAAGAACTTGATTCTGCTTCTTTAAAGTGGAATATATTAGGTACTATTCGATAACGAGCACTGGAAGGCGTAGAATTAACACTGATTCAGTTTGTTTACTAGGTTTTAATAATTTCTTGCTTGTCTGAGTGAATGCTGCTGCCATTACTTCTCTGTCATCTCTGCTGCCTGCTTCTTTGGTTTATCATGTCTGGTAATTGCTTCTTTGGCCTTTGTCTGGTCTCTGCTGGTGGCATTCGTTCCTCGGTTTGTTTATGGTGCTGGTGTTGCTGCTGCTGCTGCTGCTGGTGGTGGTGGTAATATGGTCTTTCCTGGTCTACTCTCTTTGGTTCATGCTCGTTCTCTGGTCTATATTCGGTGATTGCGTATCCTCTGGTCTATCTACGGTGGTGGCAAGTGGTAATTGACTTCTTTGGTCTTTGTCTAGTCTCTGCTGGTGGCGTTTGTACTTTGGTTTGTCTATGATGCTGGTGTTACTGCTGCTGCTGCTGCTGCTAATATGGTCTTTCCTGGTCTACTCTCTTTGGTTCATGCTCGTTCTCTGGTCTATATTCGGTGATTGCGTATCCTCTGGTCTATCTACGGTGGCGGTAAGTGGTAAGTATCTTCTTTCTTCTGGTCGCAATGATATAAAACTTCTTTGAACGTTTGTATTGTTGCTTCCTTTCTCATGATAATGCATTCATGATGCTTACTTTGTTACGTTTTTCTTCTTCTTTTGTTGGTTGTGTTGCTTTACATTCAACTATTACCATGCATGTTGCTCATGTATGGATTTTTGTTGCAACAACAACGAGCTGTTCTGAACGTCTTTGATGTTGCGTTTGTTATACTTTTCTTTGACTCACTTTGTGTGAGCATCCCTTTTTTTGCCTACGTACTACTATAATACTCCTATAGTAGTATGTTCTTTTCTTCTTTTATTATTATTGTGTTTCTTTGAAGCATACCTTTCTTACGTTGTGGTGGATGTGCCTATCGCTGAAGCTCAACAAGACATTATCCGACACCAGGAGATAGATAGGCTGCCTCCACTTGGTTATCGCTACTTACTTTAGTGATGATTGAGGGTTTCAATGCCTGAACTTAAAGCTAGGTGGTGTAAGTAAGGCATGCTCTAGCATCTGGGGGAAATTTGATGATAGCAGGGCTATATTGCTACTATAGCGGCGCTTAAAATTTTGCCTCACATCAAAACAGAGGGAAACCCTCGCAAATTTTTTTAGGTCAGCGGAGTTTTCAAGCAATTTGATTGGCTCAGAGGTTCAGGGACCGAAGGCTTCCAGCTAGTTGATTTCAGATTGATGTCATGTATGCAGTGAAATCAGGTTTAAATACATTTCACGAAAAAAAAATAAAGCAATAGTAAAATACAATAGAAATCAACTGTATTTTATTTGTGTATAAAATGAACTGAAGTTCCTGGAATTGAGTAAAAAAAGAAGAGTATTTATACATTTGCATCTAGCTTGTAGGTTTAGTAATGATAGAGAGCAATAGGTGCTGCTATTGCGATATCTGGCAAATGTTGTTGATGTTTGATTTAAAGTGGTAATCAATGCAAGAGCACTGGCCATAAGGGTCAATTTGAGTAACCTTGATGGGCTTGGGTGAGCTATCGTCATAGCATGGTTTAATGTAATAACCTTGATGGTTTAAAGTGTGATGTTTGTTATTGAAGTATGGAATCCTTTATCTAGGATATTGTGCAACTATGGCAGCAGGGCATAGTTGTCATATTTGAATATGCTTGCTATTGATTTGATTTTATTTGGATAAAGATAACGTCTCTTATTACGACCATCATGGGTGTGATTGAATACGCTGTGATCAGGAGTGATTCATTCACACGATGTGCGATATAAGCGTGTATCTTTACTTTAGTATTTTTAAATGGGTTTTTGATATACATTTGAGCTAGCGCTTTCATTAATAGATCCAAATAGCATGAATTTGAATGAGTGCTATTTGGTGAATTTCGGTTTTCAATCAAGTTGCGTTTGGGTGGCTATTTCATTACAAACGTGCTAATTTTAAACTATGACACGCATCTCACCAAGAAAAGGAAGGGGAAACGGCCTTCTCACGTCTTATGTTGACGCTAAAAACTTCATTTTGGAGATCATATTATGTTTACTTTGAGAGGTTGTCAAACATTTAAAGGGACTTTCAGATGCTACGTCGGTTAACAAATAATTACATAACAAGGAGAGTGTAAAGTAACTAATTTAAAAAAGCCGGTGTTTGGGCGCTATTCTTTGTTCAAGTGTCGACTTAATCTGTTTTTTTTTATTCATTAGCCTTTGTTCCCTTGTACCTGCTTTACAAATGGAGACCTCGTTTGGTTATCTACGAAGCCTCCTTTCAAAAATTGGCTTTGACCCATTTACATTGGGAAAAGCACTTTTTTTTAACAACACCACGAAAACATCTATGTGGCGTTCGAGTATATAAAATAAATTTAGGGCGTGGTACGGCTAACAGCAGTGCACAAAATTAATTATATATATGGCACTGTAGCAAAAGTTAGACTTAAGCGATTGTTTTTGGACAGTCTGACAGGGCTGACCTATTGGGTGCTGTAGATCTATGAGGACGACGAATGCTAAGATTAGAGTAAAACTTCAAAAAAAGATAACTTTTGGTTCTACGTAATAGATATTATTGCAGTTATGTTGATACAGATTTGTTGGTTCATGCTTTACTGTGGAATAAACCTCTCGAACTATATATATACCAGGCTTCTCGGAATAGAAGCTGTAGGATATCTATCAAAAGTTGTACCGTTCGATGCGCATTTCAATTCTGTACAAACTCTTCATGGACTGCGGACCATGATTGCGATTAAAAATGTTAGGTAAAGCGATCAGTAGGTACAGGTATCCGGCATGCACAATAATGCTGGCAAACTGCTAATAGAACATTGCGGATCTTAACCTGAGAAAACATAGCTGATTGCTGATGTATTTTCTATTTTTTTTTCGTGGTATTGTTAAGTTCAATTTCACTGAAACAACATCAAAATTTTAACTAGTCTCTCCAAACTAGTTGGAATTTTCTGTATTGTCTTATGGTAGAAGAAAGCCAACTTCTTCGACTTTGTTTCTTAGGCAGCAAAATGATTAAGGGAGGTATTTATCCCAGGTAAGGCCGCCTAGGATTATAACAAGATGCTTTATGACCTGAAAATCAACTCTACGTTCATTTAAGAGATACCATATCTTTTCCTTGCATTATCCTTGTCATGAAGAAAGAACTTTGCATTATAAATAACAGCTTCAAATTATATGTCCTGGGATTTTGTTCTACTAACTTTTATTATTGTTGTTTAGTATGAAACTGAAAAAATTGGCGTAGCTGGCAGGAGATAGTCTGTAACATCTATATAAGTGCTGTTTAAAGTTATTGCGTTAACATTGTCTTGATTCGGTTTGCTCCAAGCATCTGATGAGAGCCTTGATTGATCTACATTATTTAGTCCAGTAGTATCTGATTTATAATGGTTTGGCTTAAACATCAAATGCTGATTGTAATGGGGCCCAAATTACTACTTGGTAAATGAACTTATGGCTCTTAGATCGATAAAAGATTTCGAAACTTCCCAGACCTTTATTGCGGTTGTGAGCAGAGGTAGTATGTACGTTGTGTGTAGGTGTAATGCTGTCGTTATTTTGCAACAACAAGCAAAATCAAGTTAAAAGACAGTGAAAAACAAACTGTGGAGATGTATGGCACTCAATAATAATAGTGATCTCTCCAATTTACATATAAGAAGACTTCTACTACTTTATCAAGTGGTACAAAATTGATAACTACAGAAAACGATGCAAGCTATTGTGATGAATGCCGATTGAAGACTAACTAATGAGCTTTATTTGCTGTAACCGGAATATAACCCCCAATTTCGACATATCTAAAGTGCTAGAGATGGCATTACAATGGTCAGTGCCAGAATTACAAAAGTAGGATCCAATGTACAGGAGATATATCAAAGTTCGTAGAACCCTCAACTTTTGTACTGCATTTTCGGATTACACCAAGCTGTACACCGCGCACTTCACAAGCTAAGGGAAATGATGAGCCATGGGGACTCCAGGTGGATTGCCTTACCACCTTTCAGAATGTAGCATAGTATTCCTATTGAATGCGGTCCTATTACATGAGGTGCCATACAGGGTCCATTTGATTCTTGATTATGGGATCTACATTTCTACATTCACTGCCATGGATACTCTGCTCACTACTATATAGGACGAGTAATCTCAATCTGATGTTAGACATAGCTTATGACATGCTAGTGATCTATTTGATTTCAAAAGCCAAATTTCAATATTGTCAAGCGCTAACAGCATAGAGCGACTCCAGCATTGCAGTACATATAAGCCTTCCTCACAAGTGCCTTTAATTGTCTAAAGCCCTTCCTCACTTACAAATCATGCACTGCTGTCTCGCAATTGGCTTCAGATGTTGTAAAAGCTGCTCTTCATTAGATCTCCCACTCGCGTCTCATTGGAAATTTCTTTCGAATGCCTTGGATAATCATCCTTGCATTTCCAACCCATGGTTGCTCAAATGATGCCTGAGATATACCCTGTAGAAAAGCCAAAAAATCATTGCAATCTTTTCGCTCGTTAGGTTTCATGCAGTTGTTCAGTATCTTAGTAACAAATAGATTTGTTTTGTAAGATGTTACAAGAGAGCATGTAATATATATACGCAGGATATGAATCTTGCGGTCGACGTGACATAAAACGTTGGATATATGCTGCTGAAATGTATGGAAGCAGTGAACGATGACAGCGAAAATAGGATGTGGACTACATAACTGACTCTGTCTATTGTCCAACAGTCAAAATGTGGCAGATGTCTGTTGGGAAATGTGAACTTGACAACGTTTGCTAGATGGTTTGGATATCCCGATCGCCACAATCATTCAAATAGAAAGTTTGATGGTATACATTCATGGATTCAGGCTTCGTGTTTTCTTCCAAAATATAGCTATCGAATGTCCATATCAATCGATCATTGCAATGAAGTGTAGCATTGTATTAGAGGCTTTGTGGAAGGGCAAGATCAGTAGTCCCAAGGATGCACTTTCGTGACTAGATCAAAGTGCAAGAAAAAATTTATTGTTTGCTTGTTAAGACTCAGAGAAGGTATAAAAGGTTTGTTTCCATGGTTTTCATTCAAGTCTTTTCTTTCATCTAACTGTATATTAAAAATATTACAAAAAGGTAAATATTACAATGGAAAGAGATGATTTGTAGTGTGGTTGCAAGTGATGATTAGTACACTATGGCATAGTTCAACAGACGCTGGTCTTACTAACCTAATTGAATGTTGACAAAAAATTCTTTCGCCCCTGTCTGACTACATCCACATTTCAAATCTAATCTCTTTATTAGCTGATTGTATCAAATATACTAATTGCCTTTTGATTATTCAGGTATAATCGTCTTGGTTTCTCCTTGATTTTTATATTTTTTTGCTATATATATATATATTTATAATAAACATTTATGTTCAAATCAAATCTTTATTTTTTGTCAAACATTTGGAGTGGCTTATTGCTCTTTGAGTTGTATATGCATGTTTGTTTAGTCTTTTTAATTACAGTAAGAGGGCTACGCACCTCGTTCTATGAATCGCTACAAGTATAATCAACATGGATGCAACCTGTGATTTCCTTATTGATATCTATTTCTGAAGCATCAATTCTCAGACCTAGGGCGATAAAAACTTCAGGGAAGCATCACAGCAAACATCAGGAGACTGATCTGAGCAATATTCTAAATCTATTGTAACAATTGCTTTGCTCCAAATTGATTCGCTGTGTCAATGAATCCCTTCAAGTGCCTCAAGTATTAATGATAAGGAATGATTGATAAGATCAAATATCAGATCGATGATTGTTCCTTGAAGTGGGGTATTTTGGTTTCCTTCAAAACTGAAATAAAACCTACGAAACTTGCTACATGCCGTGTTTATCATTTTGGATGATAGCGTCATATCATTTAATCCATAAAAACGGAATAAAAGCGGATCAATGTTTATCATAAAGAGGATGGTAAGAACACAAAAAAAAAAAAAAGAAGCGACTGGAATAGCCCTTGCAGAGGTGAAACTAATTTGATTCAATAACACGCTGTATACTTTACATGGCTATAAAACCCCCGTTGAAAGTATCAATACTCTCGACCTGTCAGTGCCAACAAGTCAGCATTAAGGCCAACATGGACGTTGGTGTGGAAAAACACTTGACCATAAGTTGGCACCATTGGTTATAGACTCTGCTTGTGTATATGCCAAGCAGTTACGGGTTTAAAATAGTTATGGAATAATGGTCTTCATCGTTTGGGAGCAGTAAAATGATTGAAACATCGCATCATATAATAATGAAGCTTTGATTAGTTTTTCATTGACTTGATTGCTTCCTGAGCATGCAGATACAAGGACACGTTTATGACATGCTCAGTAACATTAAGATTAAGAAGGGCACATGTTGTTTACAGGCGAAATATAGATGGCTCAGACTATTGTTGCGTGTGATAAATAAAGGCATGGTTCATGTAGATTTCCTCCACTATTCAAATTCCTTTGAAACCTACGTATAATTCCACTATTTTTGTGGTATATATTGACTCAGAAGAGCATTGTCATAATAGATGGATGATAACGTATCGCCTTCATCTATCAGTGTCTGTGCCTGAGAAAAAATGCATTGTCATGATCAACAATATCTTACTAAGCTTCCGTAAATACATAGCACGCTGTAAGCAATTTGTACATGTAGCCTACTTGCGGCCCCTCCACGTATTGCATTACACGACAAAGCTTCTTGGGTTTTTTGACACATGTAATATACATCAGACCTGTACTGAAAGAAAATAGTGGTTCTCATGATTGGGATGGGTTTGCTCAAGGTTTTACATCACGTCAGTTCATAGTTGCAAAGAGGGCTTTGTGTGTATCCATGACTAACCGTTTGTCGCAGTAACACAGCAACAACAGTAAAAACTTATCAAGATGTTAGACCCTCAATTGCTCTATCCAAAAAAAGAGCTTCATCCAGGATAAATGTATATTATACCTGAGAGGGCTGAATGATTGCGCTGGCACAAAACTCACAGCATCATAAAGGGCTTTGCTTTTTGTTTGTTTCATCTGAGAGAACAAGAAACCCAACATTTTGATGTCAATTTAGCTAACTTTTTTTTTACTGCTATAATGAATCCAAATACAATTCTTGGTATTTTTGCAAGCAGTGGTTTCAAATCTTGCTTGTCTTTGCTTATCAATAGTACAGCCAATAATGTCGATTCAATTCCCTTGCTTTAAGGTAAAACACATCATTTACCCAATCACAGGTATATTAGTAAAAACTGTGCCTGACGGTGGTAGATGCTACCAAGTTGCCCTTGATTTACATGATTTAACGTTTACTCGAAACACAAAAACTCCTATACTGTATAATATAGCCGATGCGTACATCAGATAACCTAAAAAAAAAACATATATATAAAGGAAGTGGATGCTATTGTGGGTTTTTCTTATTCATCATCAACTCTTGACTCTATTCAACATGAAACTTGCTACTTTGCTTCCTTTCCTCGCTTTGTCTATTACTGCTGTCTCTGCTTTTGACAAGATTATTGCTTACGCTGATAGTTTTACTGACAATGGCAACGACTACCGTGCTTCTAAGTTCCCTCCGTAAGTACCACTCGTGATAGCAAAACATAGTACATGCTCTGACCATGAGTGTATCTAGTTCGGGACCCTATTTTGAGGGAAGATTCAGGTATGGTATAAATAACTAACTCTATGAAAATCACGAGCTAACATTGGTTGTTTTGTTAGTAATGGCCCTACGTGGTTAGAGTATGTCAATGAAAACTTGACAGGCATTGCAGTCATCAACAATGGTCATGGAGGTGCTACTACGAACAATGCACAATGCTACAGGCAAGCATTTGAATGAGATAATTTGTAATTTTATGCTGATGTCAATCCTTTCTTTGTCGCTTTCCAGTTCTTTCAATGAGTACATTGTACCTGGCCTCAAGGAGCAAATCTTGACTACCTATGTCAACGGTACTGCTGATGATTTGTATTTGATTTACATTGGCTACAACGATTTGAATGCCATTGTCAACCCTGATCAATATGTTATTGTCGACAAGAACTACACCAAGGAAAAGGTCTGTCAAAACGTTGTCGATAGTGTCGAGCTTTTGATCAATATGTATGGAGCCAACAACTTTCTTGTTATGAGTGTCCCTCCTTTCGATCAATGGCCCGTTGTCAAGGATGAAGATAAGGAATCCGCCAAGAAGTTGGTTCACGATTACAATGCTCTGGTTGAGTCCGAGCTCCCCAAGAACCATCCCAATGTTACCTTTCAATTTTTGGATGACAATGCCTGGTTCGTTGAACAATTGAAGAACCCTGAAAATGTTGGTCAAGAAACTTCCAATGGTCCTTGTGCTTGGGGTATCGGTAACACTACTGCTTGTGATGACCCTGAGAAGCATTTCTTTTTCGACAGCTACCATCCATCTAAGGAAGTTCATGCTGCTTTCGGCGCCTGGGCTACTGAGCAAATCAAGTCCATGTATAACATCAAGTTGAACTAATTTTAATCATATATACATTTACATATTTACACATTTTTATTATTTTAACATAAAGAATAACGAGAAAAAATCAAACATAAAATCAAATTACCATTGCAGAATATCAGTGTTGTTGTTGTTGTTGTTGTTGTTGTTGTTGTTGTTGTTGTTGTTGTTGTTGTTGTTGTTGTTGTTGCTGTTGTTGTTGCTATTATAGTCTATCGTTTTAGGGGAAGATACAAATGTTTGCTCTTGATTGTTTCTTTGATCAGGATCATCCAAGAAGCCAAGCAAGACGCTTTGAGACGGTGACATTGGCAAATCGAGAGAGGTAGTAGAATTGGAGTGTCTATGCTGCTGTTGCTGCTGTTGTTGTTCATAGATATAGTTGGAAGCTTGTTGTAGAGAATTGGAGGTAGACATGAGCAAGTCATTCAGTTGCTGTTCTTGAGGAGATGGCTGTGGTTGTTGCTGTTGTAGATTACCAAAGTACGAGTCCCATTCGTCTGTATTCAGTGAAGTTGGCATGCCCCAGAAAGCAGTGCCTAAAGGATCGAATTCTTGTTGTTGAGATGGGTTAGGGATGATGCCAGGAGCAGCAAAGGGATCCACAGTAGGTGTGATGTTGAGTACAGAGGTGGAGGAGGATCGCTGGTTGCTACTGGCTTGGTTCTTTTGGAAAAGCTTGGAGTCTAATGAGGATGATCTGTTATGATGGCTGGATTGACGAACAGATGAGATGGGTATAGAAGAAGTAGGCGTTGGCAAATATAATGAGAAACTCGAATTGAGGTCTTTCTGAGGAGCAGGTGTAGAATTGCCTGATGAATTGGATGTGTTCCATTCGCTATAGTCGGTTGCCATGGTGGATTGCATGGCTGGCATGCTGTCGGCGTGGTTGAGTTCAGGCGAATTGGGTACAGCGATACATGGTGGTGGGCTTGGTTTGTCGTTGTCCAATTTGGGCACGTATTTATCGCACTCGAGCTTGATATCACGCAGACCAGCCAGCTCGCCCAAGATGTTGCAGCAACGAGCAGCGTTCATCCAAGTCACCTCCAGATCATCGAGTGCACGCATGATGCGATTGATGTTGATTTTGGCGTCAAAAGCACGATTGAGGTCTACCGAAGATGCCATTTTGATAAAGATGATACCAGCTGTAAACACAAAGAAGACTGAAAAGTTGTGCACATAGCGCAAGTGGTTCTCGCCCAGCATGATGTTGACAATGTCCAATATCGAAGTAGCTGCAGACTCGCAAATCTTGTACGAAGGCAACGAGATGGGCAGATGCGATTGCGTTGGGCCAGGGATGAATGAACGGTGCAGCAGAATCATGGTTGTATAGTACGTCAGATGCAATTGACAGATGGCAGATGGAGGATCAGGGCCCTTTTCACCAATCTGCGTATTGGGGAGCTTGTATTGAAGAGCGAAAGGGAGGTTGCTGTGCCATTGCAGAAGCTGTCGATGCAGCGTGGTCAGAATGTGATCAATGTACTGAGAATCCGTGTGGTGTTTGGCCTTGACATAGTAAATATTCTTCAGCACGTGTCCCAGGATTTCACTGATCTTTATGTTTTGAGTAAACAGTTCCAGAAGCTTGATTGGAGGTCTAGATTGATCTTGCTGTTCTTTGAAGGCAATGGGCTCATCATCATCCACAGCTGGAAAGGGCACATCGCAATCCCGCTCTTCAAAGTTGGAGGAACGGCCATAGATGGCACTGGTAACGCGGTCGACAATGTAGCAGCACCAAAAAACTCGCTTTCTGCGCTCTCGCTCTTCAGGAGAAATGTTCCAATGATCGCAGTTGCGATTAAGGCCTAAATCTTGAGCCATTCGGAAAGCCATGCCGCTGTACAACCAAGCTCTTGCAGATTTCATAGCGCCCTGCTGATGGCTGGCCATCAATAGCAATGCCTGCACAGTGGAGATCTTGGGAGTGTCATAGTAATCGTCTAACAGACATTTGGCTCGTTCGTAAAAGATATCACCGGCCGTGTCAGGTGCATTGGGATCAGATCTCACACGTTCATCAGGGGTTACTCGTGACGCAATGGCATAAATGGCATTCAAGAGAAGAGGAGAAACAGGTTCCAGAGGTGATGCTGAGCAGACCAAGCGTCGCTTGTAGAACATGGGTAACACAGGATAAAAGTGAGTGAAATACAATGTGATTAAATGCTCAGATAGGTCCTTGGGTGGCAGTTCAAAGGGATCGACATTGGAGTACCGTCTTTTGCGAGAGGGCTGTAGCTGATCTACCTTGTATTGATGAGCGTATCCCGAGAAGTGAAAGGCACCATTCTGATACGTCCGACTGTTGGAGAGCAAGTAAAATCCAGATGACTTGCCGAGATAGCGAACACCACCATTCTCATCCATGGAAAGCTGACCTGTGCTGTCATTTGCAGGAGATCCGACAGCAGTAGAGGATGATGTAATTTGTTCATCGGGCAATTCGCTATAGCTCAATGTTGGGCTATCAAACAGTGGAGACAGAGGTGATGCTAAGGCTGTATCATTGGAAGAGGCTTTGGCTTGTTTGTTGGTGTTGCGACGCTGTCTACGTTGAGGTCGTCCTTTGATCTTTTCGCCTCCAGGTGTCTCCAGCGGCGATTGTAGTTCTCTGATCAACTCGAGTGTACGGGGATCATCCTGCTCCTCCTTGACGATATCATTGAGATAGGCTTCTAGCTTATGCAGTCTATTTTCAATGGCTTCAATATAGCCTTTGGGAGGGCCTCTCTATTATGTGCCATTGACACATGTTTAGTCAATTTGATTTCCGAGTAATTTGTAATAATAGTGACTCACCTTTTTGGTTGTATCTTTGTATGAACACTCGAGATGAAATGCCTGACAATTTCCACAGACAGGAGAAGCACCATCGCACTTGATCTTCTTTTTTCTGCATAAATCACTGCTTGGATAGATTGTGTATTAGTATTTGGGTGCAAATTCAGAAATTTAATTTCAGGTCCATGATGTAAATCACAGATGGAAATGTGGGGTAACATTTAGAGAGACAACTTACCAGGCACGACTCACTCGCTGTCGTTTGATGGCGGCTTCATCGCTACTAATTGACATGATGAAAGACTAAAGGTCGAGAAAGAGCAGTGTTTAAGAAAAAACAAAAAATAAAAACAAAAAGTAAAAGAGGAAGAAACAGAGTGAAAAGAGCACAGTTGCACACAAAATGTTGTTGGAATCAGAAAACTCAGAAGCAGAGCATGTTTGCGTTGTATTTATATCCATTTTTCCAGGCTCTGCAAATGCCCAACAAACCCTGAACAGAATCTCTTCAAGTGCTATCTGTTTGTCCTGTTTATCCGAGTCTATTTTTGCTGCAGCCAAGTTAAATGTGCTTATTTTGCTGCACTGCGAAATTACAGTCAACCCAAGTCAGAAAAATGTTTGGTCAGGGATGAATCAGCAACATGACCATGGACAAATATGGTTAATTTGGCCTCTTTTGACAAATAAAAACACTTTAAAAACGAGGCGCATTCTTGTAAGACTTGGTACCGTAAAATCCCTGAAAACTCTATAGGACGAGTATTGTATATTTATGGGTAATTGCGATAACATTTGCTGCATTTGACAATCTGCTAAGACAGATGAGTAAACCCTATGAAATGACATGTATGTATTATCCTGTATGCATCAAAAATGCAGTGGCACCATGGGATGTCAAATAGAGGAGTTGAAAGAATCGTACAAGAAAACGTTTAAACTTGGCATTTCATCATTATAAGCATCATCACTGAATTCGGAACATTTGGAGCAATATAAAATGCCAAGAAAGGATCAATTGTAACTTTTGAGTCCTCTATCAACACGCATCTTGGATTTGAGCAATCAACGCCCCATTTTCCAAGTTTATCCCGCACATTGTAAATAAGAGGCATCAGATCCAAACAAAGGGAAAAGGCTAAATAATTTGGAGCTCATTAGATATAGATAAATTTGGGTTTTATGATTTGGTTGTTTTATAATAAAAAAAACTAGGAAAAATAATATATATATATATGGTATTTTTTAGATATTCTGTGTTTGGTGATGCTGTGCTTGGATACTCGTCATAATTGTCATAAATAGCAAATCTGTATATTGTGTATTTTACATGTAGATTTAAGCACTTGGTGTTGCGGTCTCGTTGCTTGTTTGCTGGATCAATGTTGTCAAGCGACGGAGGCGTTTAAGATTAAGCTATCAGAACATAACAAATGGTCAGTTTTTTTTTTTTTTTTTTTCTGTTCTAGTTTCGCAACCATGGTTACATACCCAAGATGGTAAATATATCTCTGATTTGGTATCCCTTGGAACAGGTACCTCAAACGGATTAGAAGTATTCTCAATTGAGACAGAATCCAATAATAGCACATCACTCTTATCTCCACTGACGACATGCGATGCTACTGCTTTCAAGATTTCAGGTTTGATAGGGTTCTCATAATCAGCAGTATAGTATTGCGAAATCAGCTTTTGGATCTGTGTAGGTGACAAGATCCAGCAAACGTCGTAAATGTTCTCGATATCTTCCAGCGTCGCCTTTTTGAATTGAAGCAGCTTGGTGGTTTGCATCAAATGTTCCAATTGAAGTGCTCCTTCTGGGATGTCATGGCTCTTGCACCACTCCTCAATTCGCGTGATATTATACTGAATTTGCATTGCTAAGAAACCCGCAAACAAAGATGAGTCAGAAATGGCTATGCACACAATCTATACCATGTATTTTGTTACCTCGCTTCCAAGAGCAAAAGTTCTTTCTCATGAGCAAGTCGTTGAATGCAGTGACACCAATCAGCTTGAGCAATTCCGTCAAAGCTTGTGTAGCAACAGACTGTTCAATGTAGTAGCACTTCATTGTACGCCAAACCTTGTTTAAAAAGTTTAGGAGGTCATCCATTGAATAGCTTGGCTGCGAAGACCCAATCAGGAGCTTGTTAAAGAAACGGCCATTATCGCTTGTAATGAAGCCTGGCAGCGATTGTCCCTCTACCACAGCTGGAATCACCATCTTGACCAGATGCTTCTTGATCTCCTTCATCCAAGCATGGAAAATATTGTCCTCCAAACACTGCATCTCGAATTTGATGGTCTCCATGAGTTTACCGAAATCATGTCGTCCAACAGCCTTGCGTTTATCTTGGAACAATTCCTGATCAATCTCGACATGCGCAATACAGATCAAGGACAGCAATTCGTGGACATTGGTCAACCAGAAGGTACATGGCACCACGGCATCTTCATCCGTAAAGCTCAAAAACTGCTTTTGAATGGTATCCATCACATTAAACAAGAGTCTCTCGGATTCCTGAATGTAGCCCAAGTGCCACATTTCATTCACACAGACGCTGATGGTATGAGCAGGGAACAATATCTCCTTTTGGGATGGTGGGTTTTGCAGCGTGGGTAAAGGCATCTTTACTGATTTGATCAGTCCTTGTAAAATCTCTTCCTGAAGAGCTTCTTCATTGCGTAAAAGAGCATGGATCTCGTCTTCAGGACTCTCATCAATGGCACCTGCCAGTCCTCCGCCCGATTTGTTTGCCATGAGCGCGCCAACATGATCAATAGAGGTGGGACGAGGATTCTTGCTAAGGTTTTCAGCATTGCGAATGTTATCAATCGAGTTTTTGAGACGACTCCCGTTAGCCATATCAGCAGAACTGTTGCGGCGAGGACGGCGGTGATTGGGCATGGGCAAACTGGGGCTATTGCTGCTAACTGCTTGTGGTGGTGCAGGTGAACGGCTTCTATGACGAGATGCGGATTCTGGATCTAATGAATGCTGTGATGGAGAGATGTTGCGCATGCCAGGTGCAGGTGAGAGACCACGCAAGGTGTTATTGGATCCTTGTCTTCGGGGAGCATGGAGGGCTTGTGACAATTGAACCTTGAGTGCGGCCAATTGACTTCGAAGTTCTGCTACTTCTGTTTCATCTGTAGCATGCTTGGCACGCTCATCAGCCTCTTCTAGATTCTTACGTAACGAAGCATTCTCTGCTTGTTCAGCCTCTAATTGACTTTTGATCTGGGTCATCTCCCGATCCATGCTCTTAATCTTTTCATTTGCAACACGGTGTTCAGCCGTAATGGCAGTCAATTCAGCTTGCAGAGCGTCATGTTGGGCTTGAGGCACAGTGGGTTCTTGCAGTCTTTCATCCAGGTTCTTCGCACGACGCTCCATCTTTTCATACTTGTCGATCCAGTTCTTGATTTGAGCTTCCAGCTGCAGAGAGCGCTCGTGTGCCAGCTTCTTTTCGTCACGGACCGCTGTCAAGGATTGCGTCAGTTCCACGACCTTGTTCTCGAGAGCATAAGAAACTTCCTTGAAATGACTGACAGAACGAGCTTCGGTTCTCAGAGCAAACAGCTGTTTACGAGCCATGTTGCGACGAATGCAGGATTGAATATGAATGACAAATTCTCGTTTGGCCTTGTAGCTCTTTCTTGCAAACCAGCCTCGCACCAGCTTTTGGATTTGAACAGCTGCATGGTGCTCGCGTAAAGCGACATGATCACGTCTGGCCAAGTAGGAACGGCTGGCAGTCTGTAGTTTGAGGATGAACGATTGTTTGGACAGGAACTCTTTGCGAGCAGTGTATCTACGCCAGTGCTTTTGAATCACGATAGCAGCCTTCTCTTCGCGTAATGCTTGCATTTGAGCGAGTGCTACCTTGCGACGAGCCACACATTGGATTTGAATAGCCAGCTCTTTGGTGCGAACATAGCGAGTACGATAGATGAAACGTCTCATGTGCTTTTGCAAAGTCACTGCACATTCGTTAAAGCGATCAGATCTCAACTTTTCCAAGTAGGCGAGCTAATCAGGCATGTAAGTAACGCATTCAAAAGCAACCACATAGTAAACTTACTTGGCCAGCACGGAAAAAGATTTTGGTGGTACCCACCTGGAACTTGTCTTCATCTTTGATCGAGTTTTCAAGAATCACTGAACACAGTTGTCTGACCTCAGGCTTGATCTTGGGATCCCAATGTTTGGAAGATACAAGAGCAAAGTATCGGTCAGCAAATTCTTCAAATGTCCATCGAGATGGGTAACCTGCACAACTGATACGAATCGTTTCAAGCACACCACAAGCACGCAGTTGTGACAGCACCATGCTAGGATCAAACTCCCATGCTACCTTGGCTTCGTTGGGTTTGATACAACGAATGTAATGGACATTAGTACCGCCAATCGTCTCCATGAGGTTGATCAGCGATAGCTTAAAGATGGAACCAAGCGTGGGTTTCCTTGCAATCATACTCATACGCTTGTTGTTCTCGGGCTATAGCAATGGTCATGTCAATAGACATGTGGCATATACAGTCAAATCAACTTACAGTGGGGCTAGGGTTACTAGCAGCTGCTCTATCCAACACTTCAACCAAGAAATCGAATTCGGAGCCTTGCAAGAGCGCTAAATGCTCATCAGGTACAGTATCCTTGTTCTTATCAATGAAACTCTCGGCCTCGTATTGCACATCCAGTGCATAATGGGCAATTGTAAAGGCATTGTTGGAGAAACGAGGCTTTTTGAAGTAGTTTTTGAAGTTTGGCCCTTCAAAGTTGGAGTACAGTTTTTGCACAAAGCCTTGATCTGAACCAGAAGGCAGACGAGATTCCTACACATAGACAGCACTTGACATCAACACATATTTTACGCATAAAGTAAACGTAACTCACCTCATCCAACAGTGACAAGATACCCAGTTTTCCTTCAATTAGCTCGATACACTTTTGATTATCGCTGAATTCAATAAAAGTCCAGTTGATCTTCTCTCTGACATATTCCTCTTGCTCCAATTTAAACACATGTTGGTTGAATTGCTGCTGTAGTTTTTCGTTGGCGTAGTTGATACAGAATTGTTCGAACGAGTTCTTTTTGAAATGCTCGAAACCATAGATATCAAGAACACCGATAAAGTTGGCCACCTGAGATGGATCAGGACAGGATAGACTTTCATTGGTGACCGAAACAAGCCATTCGAACAGATTAGCGTACACATACTTGGCTACTGAGTCCTTCACAACATGTGCCTGAGCGGGACTGAGATTTGTAACAATCTTTTCAGACCGAGTGACAATTTGTTTACGAACAATCCACTTTCTGAAATCAGCCGTTTTGATACCAAGCAAGCGAGTGGTGGTCAACAGGGCGCTATCTGTTTCAGACAACATGGCGTCGCCACGGCCGGTGATGGTAATGTTACCCAAGTGCAATAAGGCTGCCAGCAATCGAAAGATCTTCCATTGCAACTGTACCGAGAGACCGATCGTGGACAATGCTCTCTGTGTGGTTTCGAATTCAGCAGCATCATCCACACCAGGAATGACACCCGTACCACTTTGATTCAAATAATGAAATTGGCTATAATCACCAAGTTCGAACTCCTTTTTCTCTGATAGAGGGATACCTGCACAAAGCTATACAAACAATAGGGTCAATAAACATTCCCCTTTTTAATATAAACAAAAAGCAAAATGTGTACCTGGTAGAAAATGTGATAGTTTCTTTCAATTTCAGGTTGATAGATCAAACGAGAGCGCTCCAATAAGTAGGTTCTGATCTTTGCACCTACGATATTGGCACCATCATCAAACTGGATTTCAATGTATTTACCAAATCTAGACGAGTTGTCGTTTCGAGTTGTTTTGGCGTTACCGAATGCTTCCATGATGGGATTAGTAGCTGTAGCAAACAGTTGATTAGTTTGAGAAATACGAGCACGATTTAATAGCTCTACCTAAAATCTGCTCTTCGACTTCTGTCATGCCACCGTTGGATTTCTGTTTCTTGCCTTGCAGCTCCTGATCATCCGCCGTGGCGAAATACCGCATAATGTACTTTGCACTCACAGTTTTACCAGCACCACTCTCGCCCGAGACGACGATCGTTTGGTTTACCTGCTCGCGGATCATACAACGATAAGCATCCTCGGCGATGGCGAACAAATGGGGTTCGAGTTCACCTCGTCTTCTGCCTGAATATTGCTGAACGATGTCGGGATCATACAGGGCCACACGATCAAAAGGATTCACAGCAATCAAGACGATACCAGAGTAGGTGTAGATCAATCTTTGCATATAACGAGTACGGATCGTATTCAAAACTGATACATGACACACACACACATGAGTTTCCACTGCTTATCGCCCCATCTGAAAAAATTGCTATTTACCTGCGGGTTCGTTCAAATAACTGAGGTTTGTCAGATCATCCGTATATTCCATCTTTGGTGGATTTCGAAGTGGTGGTAATTTTGATCCGCTGTTCTTTTCGACTTCCTTCAAAGTAGATTCAAATACATATTCCTGTTATTTGTTTAGCATATGCAAGCTGTTTAATATCACGTTGCTTATGTGTGTATGGTGTATGTGTGTGTGTGTGTATATACATACTCTTTCGTCATTATCACTCTGAAACACTATACGAATATTCTCGCCCTGAATGGTATTTGAGACACAGGTGGTGGATACCCAAGCTTCTCTATCATCTTCAAACCAAGCCTTGGTGCCCTGAGTGTAGACCTCGACTGCTTGATGAACGTTCATTTCTCTTTCCGTTTTGCGCGTAAGTTATCTAGTGGAAGAGAAAAACAAAAAGGAAAAAGTGAGGGAAAAGTGAAAGAGATGCACTTTCTTCATATAGCTTTGTAACAATTTAACAGTCGTACGACCCTAAATGAAAGGCCCAGGAACAACCAAATTATAGTTGGGAAAGCGGACCCAAATATATTGGAATGGGATACACACATGGTGCTCTTTGCCAGGATAGCGTTCATTCCTCTATTCAGTACACATGACAATACTACTTTATGTCGTACACAAGCAGCGGCAAGCTTCTCGCACTCTGGAGTTGATAAAATGCCATATTTCGAACAAAACACCATTCCCGGTACTCATGGAGGTTAATTACACTGAAACTAAAAAATTGTCATCCAGATGGATGTTGAGTAACAGGCTTGTATTCACTTTGGTGGTAAAGATACAGATTTAAGCTTTTGAGGAAGACTTGCATACGGTTAGGTCTCTTACGAGTTGTAAATCGCTAGTCAAAAAATGTCTATCGCCTTAGTAGAGCATGTTAGTGGTAAAGCAATCTCGTCACCCAGTTCAGCATGGCGTATCTTGCAGCTTGATTCTAGATTACTGATTGTCAGCTAGGCCTTGCTCCGGGCTACGAGTTCTCGGATTCAAAGGTTGAAACTTAATTTTAGCTCGTTTTATTCGACATCGAGTCTGCAAAGGGCTATATATTGCCTAGGGTATGTAAGAAGGATGACAATTTTGCATTTCGCATCAAGGCTAGCTATTGCATGAGCTATTTGCAACAGTTATATCTCCTCCATATTAAGAAGCGCACAAGAAGTAAAAGAAAGCATCAGTGTAAGCTATATCACTTTCTAATTTGCAATCTTCTCCTTATACGCCTTCAAGAGCATGGATTATCTTCATGATTACGATGGCATTATTAAGAATCATCAGCCAAAAATGATTACATCTCCGCTCGACATTCTGTCCTGATTTGATGGTTTTCCAATGTTTCGAACACGATTCGACCTATTTTGCCAGATTCGACCATGTAAATTGTGATGATCACCCCATACTCCCTTATGCAGCCCGTGGTGGTAGGGCGAAGTGGTTAAGCATCCAACATGCCATCTGGATGATCCCGGTTCAAATCTCAGTGAATGCATTTTAGTGATTATTTTGACGTAGTACTGATGTCCTCGTTTGGTGTTTTGTGCTCTTATCCAGTATCCATATTTTGACGATTCGCATGATTGTATTGGCTCTAGGTGTCGCACCTGATTAGTAGTAGATTTCTTTCCCAACTTAGTTCATTATATATCTTATGCCCCTTCATTGCAGACATTGGGTCCACCAACAGTCTTTTCTTTCCCTCAGTATGACATTTTAAGGACTTTAGATAAAACCTGGAGCGCGACTCCCCTCCAAAAAAAAATACTCCCTTATGCTTTCTTGGAATGCTTTGCAAGACGCATCCAATGGTGCCAAGTAAAGTAAATGTTTTGAATCAACTTGTTGAGAAATTTTATAAAATACGAAATGAGGTGTCTGGCCAAAAAGTCGAAATTTTACATATCAAAATTGCACAAAAGTAGTTTCAAGGGCGGCCCTGGATCGATAGAATCGTTTTGATTTGATATATATCATAGTAAAAGTCTTTATTTTCAAGGTGAAAAATGCGATCGTTTGATTTTCGAAGAAAACCATGAGGTACTCCTCATGCTTTTTGGTCGATTTTTGATCATTTTTTTTTGGTCCAAAAAGTTGAGCAAAGGTATCAGGATGTTGCTACCACTCAAGTACAATTGTTTGGCGTCATTCCGGTGGCTCATAAAGGTCTACATGTCAAGATATGAAGGCTTGAAAGCTGTCAAATTTGGTTATGTATTGCTTTATAGAGTTTATTTACACGGCATGAATCACATCTTTGGTAACTGAAATCTTCTGGAAGGGCAGCTCTGCAGCATGTGCAGCTTCTAATTTGAACAGGAGGCATATTGCTTTTGGTAAGACTAAATCATGCAAATTTTGATACGTTATGTTGTTGGTAAGCTTGATAATAATGGAAATGAGTAACCGAATTTGCTACTTGAATACTATGGTTTTACACCTTTGCTTGGCTACGGTGAAAACCTATGAAGACTAATATTACCATATGTTGAATCAGATGCAACCTCGCTACCTTCAACGACAGTGTCGCCCTGCAGGCTGTCGCTGTAGACATTTCAAATCAGTAATAATAAAAATATGCTATATAAGTAAATTTTAAACAATCCATTGTTAATAAAGGAGATGAGAAATCGAATTTGCTGCTTAGATACTAATATGAAAACTAAGTTGCCAGGCATTTGCCAGGCACGGTTCATATATGATTAGAGTTTTTATATTAAATCACTATCAATCAACAATCGAGTTTTTTTTTTTAAAAAAACATTTTAGCTGTTATTAATTTTGCAATATTAGCCAAAGGACCACGGCAGTGCGAACCATCTATCTCAAGAGTAAAAATGTCCATCGTAACTTAATAAATTTATGGTCCCTACTACTAGACACTTTTAAAGCCTCAAAAAGAAAAGAAGCTGATCTAACAAGTATTTTGATAGGCTGACGTTATTGAATATAGAATGCAAGGAAAATAGCATGGCTATTGATAGTGCTATGTAATTCGCCACCTACTTTTCATATGCTTCAAAAGCGTCTATTGCTGTATTGCCTTCATGATTAAAAGGATTGAGTTTGCTAGCCGGCCCCACCAGCCGCCAAAATCAAATAAAGCTCAGAAAGATTTTACTGTTCAAGATTGGCCAAATTTTGTCCTTTTTCGACTCTTTTAATCTCTTCTGAGAGATTCGACTATATAAAACGTGATAATCAGCCCGTACTTCCTAATACATTCTTGAAGCACTTTTCAAGGCACTTCAAATGGTGCCAAGTAAAGTAGATGTTTTGAATAAACTTACTGAGTAATTTACGAAAATATGAATAGAGGTTTCTGGCTAAAAAGTCGAGATTTTGCATATCAAAGTCCCACAAAGATGGTTTCAGGAGTTACGTTAGGTCGATGGAAACATTTTGATTCAAGATATAGCATAGTAAAAGTCTTCATTATCAAGGTGAAACATGCGATCGTTTGATTTTTGATAAAAACCATGAGGGGTGCCTCATGCTTTTTAGTCGATTTTTGGCGATCTCAAAAAAGTAAAGTAAAGGTGTCAGAAAATAAGTGCTAAATGAGAGCAATTGTTTGGCGCTACTCTGGCAGCTTGAAACGTTTTTTAACGTGAGAAAACGCAGCCGAAATGCCCTTAGATTTCGCAGTGTTTTGCTTGTCTATCGGTAGTAAGAAGCGGTGCAAGTATGCTATACACCCCCCTGTATAACTTTCTCTGATTGATACAGACCTGGAGCATCCTAGAAGACTCATATCCATCGCTGTTGGCAGTTTATAACACCCTCAGGTGGCGGTATACAGTTAAATAACACTATCAGTGCTTAAGCGTGTCCCGTTAGCAGGTCATGCCTGAACTTGTAGAGATAAAAGTGTTATACCTAGTGTACGCCAATAATCATAAACAGGTATCTTTGCTATTTTAAAGGTTATGCAGCTTGTATATAACTTAGGAAATGCTTTGTTTGGGCTTATTAAGCCAAAAGTTACTATGGCTGGGCTTTCAGAAAACGCTTTTTTATGCTCAGAAAGCAGCTTCAAGAAGTATAAGGCTACGAATTTCCTATATCGCAAAAACGCTATCCGTAAACCATGTAGTCAATGAGATTTTACTCCATGAGCATTTTAACATGGCGTCGTAAATGCATTCCATGTCCAGATACCAATGATTGAAGCTCATGAACCTGAAAATTTACCGTGGTGCTACTTGAACCGTGTTACAAATGTACCCCTCTTTTGTGCTCATGCAATATATCTAATGAAATGTAACACAGCTATAAAGTAAAATCCAAAGGGTTACATTTATCTGTGCACAGCCAGCAAGGAAATCTTCTCATTCATTTGTTTGTCAGAAATGTCTATAAATTGATGTAAAAATAGACGTCTTTGCTTCTTCTTCTTATCTATCTCTCACTCATCTCTGTATCTTGCACTAATTACAACCATGTCCCTCCCTGATTTCATGACCAACCCCAATGCCGTCCTTGAAGACAAGGATCATGAATGGCGTTATAACCGTATTCCCGATTATACCAAGGTCAATGCTACTTATGAAGAAGGTTTGTTGTCATTGTTCTAAATGGTCTCTGGGTACATGAAACTCAAGTTGTGTGAATACATAAAGAAAAGACAAAGACCCATGAAGAAGGTTCTCTTGAATGGCTTGTTTCCAACTTGGTCAAAGTAAGTTTCCATACACTGCTGGTGCTCGGATGATGGCTAATATCAAGCAATAAAAGAACTGGGAAAAGGAAATGTCATACAAGCTTCGTGCTGACCAAATCCGTACCATCAACAAGGACAAGTACCGTTTCTCTGTCAATGGTAAGGAATGGCAATCCATTGATTCCATGCTCCAAGTAAGTTTCTGAGCGATAAGCTGTTGTTTCTGATAGCAGTTAACCAACAGCAACAACTGTATCTTTTACATAGATCGGTACTTATAATGCCCTCATTGGTGATACCGAGCTTTACAAGGCCAGTGAGATGGATTTCAGTGAATCTCACAAGCTCTTTAAGAGAGCTCTCCGTGCTTTCTCCTGGGAAGTTATCTCTGTCTACAGTGGTCCCCCAGTTGTTGCTTTCAAGTGGAGGTAGGTTGCAATTACACGTTCATAGAGACCCATCCCACTGACTAGGGCATTCATAGACATTGGGGTTTGAACAATGGTGATTTGTCCGTCAAGACTGGTAATGGTACCAAGCTCGAAGCTCATGCCACCAATGAAGTGATTGAAGTCTTTGGTGTCACTGTTGCCAAGGTCAATGATAAGTTTGAGATTGAAGAACTCGAGACTTTCTATGATCCCACTGACATGTTGAGACAAATGTCCAAGAACAGAAAGGAGGGTTCTGTTAACCCTGAAGAGCTTACACCTTCTGGAAAGTGTCCCTTCAACCCCAAATAATTTATATTTATGATGTATACCTATTACCATTATTTATTCAATAAAAAAGAGGAAATGTACTCTGGTCGTACCTCTCTTCTCTAATAAATTTAAGCTTTTGCAATAAACACATGAATACATTGCACAGAGAATTTTCGGGTATAGTATCACAAAATTCGACGCAATCTCTCTTTTGCTTGTATTACTGCGATAAATTGATTTTATTGCGTTATATAAAGAACCAAAAGATAAACGAATGGATAGGCTGTTTGTTGTGTGTGATATTAATAATGTTATTACTATATAATTAAACTACTGCTACTATTGATGTTGTTACAAAATACTGCCACCCTCGAGATATCGATCTCGTTCGATTTGAGCAGGTGTTTTTTCCTGACTGGACTCCTCTTCCATCATCCAAGGTATGTTGCCTCGGGTTTTTTGCCCTTTTCGCATTGTACTAAAGAACTTTTTATTGACACTGGATCTTCCAAGACTATCGTCGGGCGATACAAAGCCTTGTTGTGTTACGGATGGTTTGTTGGTCCTCTTTAATGCTCGACCGTTCCATGTTTTTGCATTGGCAGAATAGCCGCTACTGATCCTCAAGGCTGTTGCTGCACTGTTGCCTCCGCTGCTTTTGCGACTGTGGCCTCGACTGCTTTCAGCGCTGCTGTTGCGTGGTGATGATATTGCAGATACGTCTGTCATGGGTGATGTTGAGAACCGATTCATCAAAGGGGGTTTATCGTCGTATGAGGACTCTTGGATCTTGTTACTGCCATGCATTTTACTACTGATGGCATTTTGACGAATAGCAATAGGTTCACTGCTAAGACTACTACATATAGCAGATTCATTTGCAGGCACCATTGTTCTAACCGTGGAAGAAGAGAAGGATGCCGAGGGTTCTGGGCCTTGTTGAGGTATGAACTCTTCTTCGCCATTATGACGAGCCAACAAAGAGGCACGCTTAGCTACTTGCTGAGTGAGCAGTGATTTTGACAAGAGTGATTGCTGTTGTCGAGGTACCAATTTCGAGGATATGGTCGATTGAGTGGATGTTGTCGCAACACTATCAGTCTCTGATAGCATGCTGTAATTTGATGCGCTTTCCTTCATATTGGTAATCCACGTGTCTTGAAGCATACGTCTGATGGTATCCACTTCTCCTTTGTGGGTAGTTGATGAGCTCAAGGGTGAATTGGGCATGCTGTCTTGTGCAAAATTGTTCTCTGCTAATTTTGCAATGGAGGGCGATGCTGCTTCAATCTTGTTGCTTCCAGAAGGCAGATCATAATGGCCTTGAGGCAATGTAGGCGATTCAGGGTGAGCCATGTCGTCCAAGGCAGTCTTTTTAGAAGATTCGTCCTTGTCTTCCATGTCTTCATCGTCTGTCAGTGCATATTTTGTAGAGGATTCTGATGTCTTTAGATAGGAAACAGGCGGTGCAGGTCTATTGCTATTGCTTGACGTTGACGTGCGCACGCTTTTCTGGCGGATCAAGTGCTGGGGCGGGTCGACATTGACATCTACAGTGCTTTCAACTATTGACATGACAGGCTCGGAATCTAGCTCCATCTTTTGGCTGTCGACTGGAACCACCTTGTTTGACAGAGATGTGGAAGAAGAGTAATCAAATAGCCCTTTGAGGGACCTGTTGACACCGTTAGTAGCATTAGCAGTAATTGATCTTAGTGTGTTTCTCCCTAATGTGCCTCTTCTAAACGAGCCATAACGCGACACACCACAATTGCTGTGATTTGCGGTATCATCCTTTAGATCAAAGAACAGTGAAGCGTTTGAGCCGCTTGCTTTTGAGAGAGTACCAGCAAAAATGGAAGCAGAAAGAGAAGCTCTGTATTGATTAGGAGTGTTGCTTGATATGCTATCTAGGCCCGATGTAATATTCAGGGGTAAATGATTTTCATTGACATGTTCAGTGGTGGCGGCGACAACGACGACAGGTTTTGAATTCGTGTTTGCACTAGTTTTAGGAGTATCCCACCAACCAGCAATATCCACTACACTCTTTTTAGCTGCTGAAGGTGCTGTTGCTGCTATGGAAGATGAAGCAGCAGCATGAGAGCTACTGGCTATAGCGGCAGAGGAGGGCAGAGGAAGCGCATCCTCATCAAACAAGATGCTTTCACGCACAAGACGTCGCATAGAGCCAGATGTGATGGTGATATGTTCACCATTGCTTTTAGGACCACGAGTACTAGTATATCGAATAGATCCATGTTTTGATCTTTTACCGTTGCCATTTTCATCATTGTCGTCCGCTAAATCAGTAGTGGTGGGATCTGTTATGACCATGGACCGTGTCTTTGTCTTTCTGGAGGCAGAGCGAATAACACGTTTCGCAGCTCGAACAGGTTCCTGTAAGTTTGGATTAGGAGTAATTGGAGACTCATCAGCACCCAGCTGGATGGATGGATTTGCCGTTGATTGAGTAATGACGTTGATGTCTTGTCGCTGTGGTGGTGGTGGTGCTTCTGCTGGCGGTAGTGGAGAAGGCGCGGATGACAATGCGGGTAGGTTCATGTCAATGACGACCTTTGGGGAATCCTGCTTCAAAGGCACGATAACAATGGCATCTTCCCCTGATTTTCCGCTAGATGAATATTGTTCGTCTGAGAATAGCTGCTGGACAGAATTCCTATTTGATTTCTGCTTGACTCTCAAGGACTGCCTCAGGGTGGATTTGATGGTAGCTGCCTTTTGTTGCACATTTGAGTAAAATGAAGGCATATCGAGATCAATTGAAATAAAGCTGTTATCTTGCTTGCTTTTGCTGTTTAGATACATGTCATAGAAATCTTGCGCATCATCGCCATCCAGCTCCATCTTATCAGAGAAAAATGATGTTGAAGGGGGTGGTAATGGCAATGAAATTTTGATCTCCTGTAGAGGCTCAGGAGGTGTATAATCTGATTCGTTGTAGTCAGATGCGGGTTTATCCGTTTTCTCGTTTGATTGAGGAGTAATTGCTGTCGCTGCTGTTGGTTTTGTCTTCTTGGCGATTGCAATTGATGCTTGTGCTGGTGAAGGTGCTGCTGGAAGAGCAGAAGGCAGTGATTGTGGCAATGAGGCAGTGATTGAGGATGAAGATGTCTCTGATTTGGGGCTCAGTGTCTTGTGCTTTTGAGTGACGAGTGTCTGAAATGAAGAGGTCGACATGGACTTTTTCTCGTCTTCTTTTCTGTGTATCGTATCCACTGAGAGTGATCTTGATCGATGCTTCTTCATATAGAATACGGCGACTGCGACCAACGCAATGACCACAACAATGATAATCACAATGGCCCAGATTGGCAGCATTTGCTGAGTTTGTGCTTGATCCACCTTTTTTGATTCGAGTTCGTTAAAAGCCATGGGATAAAATGACGGTTGGCTGCTTACCATGTCTTTGATAATGCTTTCGAAAATGAAGAAAGAGGAAAAGAACAAGAACAAGAAGGAACCTAAAATGATTTTTAATCAAGCAAGCCATGGACGCATACGAAACGGAGATGATTGTTATTTAAAGGGGATTCTTGTCATTAATGAAAGGAGACATTAATAGTGTATACATATATGCTAATGGTTTATTTTTTTTACAAGTGGTAGTAGTGCAGTCTTGTTGAAAAAAAAAAGAAGGGGGAGGGGGGGAATACAAAGGGTTGTCATGCATGGTGTGTTGTAAAGTGTGTACTATTGATAAAGCGAGGAGTCTGCTGTTTCTCTGTATATAACAAGATGATGCTATCGCATTGATCGTAAAAATACAGTTGCACCGCGCCTTCCCCACAAGCTAGGACGATATACTGGCTCTTCCACTTCCTGGACCTCTTCTTGCTGTTCTTCATCCAGACTATCTTCATTGCTGAGTACAGTCGATGAATTGGGATAACCGTGTGTGTTGATCAAGCTTCTCTCTGATTTATAACCACCGTAGTCAATCCAATCAATCAGCCAATCTTTAAATGTCATTCGAGGAGTGCACGGATAGAAATTACCATGCCATGTGACAATCCAAACCTCTCCTCGACAGCTTCCCTCGCATATCAGTATCCAAAAGTGGTCATGCGAGTTGAGTGATGTACCCAGCGTAATGTATCCTCCAATGTTTCGGTGTCTTGCTTGTACCAACCTCATTAACAAGGCTGCTTCCTGGTCATAACGGCTGCTCATGTCATGGCTGTACATCACGTCGCTTCGATTGAATGTTCTTGCATCCTGATCATCAGTCATTATCTTGACATCGTCGTAGGGAAATGGCTTGTGGAGCACTTTCAATAGATCAGAAAACCCAAGAGGATATGCAAATGGTGTCTTTCCAAATTGCAGGATGCCTTCCCTACAAGCAGCTCCCCCTATACCAACGCCGTTGCCGACCTTTAGCAAGTACAAGCGATAATCTGCAGGAAATCTAGAGCACCTGCCATCAGCCCTGCTATGTTGCGTTGTCTATTGCGCTTTCTATATTACCTCAGTGAGTGTGTTGCTTCAAAGTCAATCAAATCCTCTGCATTCATGCAAGATTCAACATGAATTGACATGTTGAACATTTTGCGCCTTATACACTGCATCTCTTCATGTATCGATTCATGCGTTAAACCTGGCATGGGGAATGGTTCAATTCGGCTTGATGATAAAGTGAAAAAAGTAAGAGGAACAAGAAAAAGAGCTACTGACAACTCGGTTGCTTGAAGAATCAAGCCCGAATAAATACAGTTACCGCAGCCTGATTTTTAGTGCTACAGCTAAAATAAACCCCATTCTTTCAATGATCCCTCATCATTATCATGCATCTCTAAATGATTTTTATTCTTTCAAGGATAAGTTTTTGTTGAATATATATATTACAGTTGTTTTGTTGCTTAGTTGCGGCCTCCACGGCCTCCGCGAGATCCACCGCGACCACCACGGCCTGATGAAGAACGATCGCTGCTAAAACCTCCACGACCGCCACGACTGCCGCCACGTCCACCACGACTGCCGCCACGTCCACCACGGCTACTACCACGATCCGATGAAGAACGGTCATTGCTAAAGCCGCCACGACCGCCACGACCGCCACGTCCTCCACCGCGACCGCCGCGAGATCCACCACGACCATCTTCACGGCCCTCAAAGCGAGGTCTCTTGTGTTGATCGTTGCTTTCTTCTCCGTCAAAGGATCTCTTTTGTCCACGCTCTTCAGGCTTTGCACCATTTGTTGCTCTCTGGTTTCTTCTGTCAACGACATCCTTGTTTTCCAAAGAGAACTCCACAATCAGTCGCTTGCCATCAAAAATGTCAGGGTTATTGTTGAGGTATCTTAACGACGCCAAAGCATGAGAATGTGTGTTGAACTCCAAGAAACCGTAACCCTTTGAACGAAGCTCATTTGTTGCGGAATCAATTCTATCTTTGCTTCTAATGATCTTTGCCTGTTTCACGCGAGGCAACAAATGCCAGCCATCTTCTTTTTCATCCTTGGTGAGGTCATCGCGTTGTCCAGCCTTGACCTGGTTCTTGAATTTGCTGATACTACTCATACCGAGTGCTCTCAGATCAGCGTCTGTGACCTTGATGGGCAGGTTACGGATGGAAAGACGAGTTTTGGATATATACAAGGAGGGATTGCTGCTGACAAGCTTCTTTCTGCTAGAGAAGGACATTTGACGCTTGGATAATTCAGCAGGTGTCATGGTGGCTGCCGCGGGTGTGTCAGGGAAGACCACACCTTCACGCATCAGGTAGAGGTTGCGCTTGTCTTCCTTGCGCTTTTGAGACAAATTGTCGTCCTTGATTTGCTTGGCTTGTGTACGATCCACAGCGAGTGTCACATCCAGCACACGGCCATGAAGAGTGAATTTAGCGCCTTCACCAGATCCAGATTCAGGGGTAATAATACTTTTGTACATCAAACCCTTCTTCTTCTTTTCACGCTTTGACAAGAGTTGGTTCATGGCTTCCTTATCATTGGTCTCGTCTTTTTGTGAAAGTGCACGCAATGCTTCGGCAGCCTCCAAAATGGTGTCGACATCCTCCTTCTTGCGCATGCAAACAAAACCAGTACCACGAGACAATTTGGTAACAGGATCTCGGGTGATTTTGGCATAGACAACAGGGCCCCATTGCTTGAAACTAATGGATGCGTTAGTAACTAGTAGCATCTCAGAAGGAAGCCCTACTTACAGTTGCTTCAAATCTTCCTCGGTACTCTCAAACAAGAGATTACGAATGAACAAAGTGGTGCCATCAGCTGTTGTGGGTCCAGTCTTTTTGGCGGCCTTCTTGGCTTCAATATCTTCCTTGTCTTCCTCATCACTATCAGCTTCTTCTTCATCATCATCATCTTCATCATCATCTTCATCTTCATCGCTGTCATTTTCATCTTCATCATCATCGCTATCGTCATCGTTATTGTCTTTATCGCTGTCAGCCTCAGCTTCCTCATCACTATCATCTTCATCAGATGAACTACTGCTGTCATCCTCATCATCGTCATTGCTGACTTCCTTCATTTCGGTATCTTCATCATCTGCAGTGGAGTTGGCAACGTTAGCAGCAGCCTTCTCGTTCTCTTCAGCTTCACGATATTGAGTCTTGGGAATAGACCAATCCACAGCGATGGTTCTGCCATGATGTTCAGTGGCATTGATTGCTTCCATTGCCTAGTAACATTGTGCGTCAGTAAAGTGATCAATAGCTCTCCACTCAAGAACACTTACAGCTTTACCCTCCTCTACTTTCTCGAATTGAATAAAGGCAAAACCACGAAGAGGGCCACCTTCATATTTGCGAGGCAACTTGACATCATGCACTTTACCATACTTTTCAAACAAACTTCTCAAATCAGCTTCCCTGTACTTCCAAGGCAGATTACGCACAATCAAACGAGCATTGACATCGAATTCCAAAGGTACTGAAGGCTTCTTGGATTCTGTATCAATAGCAGCGATGGGTGCAGCTTCCTTCTTGGTATCTTCACGCACAGTCTCTGATTTTCTTTTGGCGAGTTCAATCTTGAGCTTTCTTCCTTGAAATTTGACATTCTTCAATTTGGTGATGGCGGATTGAGCATCTTCTTCCAAGGCGTAATGAACATAACCAAAGCCTTTATTTTTGGGTGCTTGTCCTTCGGCAGGAGCAACTGATTTGTCGGTCACTACAAAGCATTTACGGATAGGACCAATTTCACCAAAGAAATCTTCGAGATCTTTGCTGGTAGCTTCAAAGGGGAGACCTCTGACAAACAAGGTCAACTTGGCGTGAGGATCTTCTGAGGACTCCTTGTTGGTCACTCTTTTAGCAAAGGTCTTTTTTTCGACTGTTTCTTCAGACATGATGGTGATGTATTTGCAAAGAAAAAGTGTAGATTTACAATTTTTTCAAAAAAGTTTGGCATTTCTTTTTTTCGACATTTTTGATGTAGTGGCTTGATGTGGCCTCAGTCAAACCAGTCACCAGAAATGGCAGGTGTTTGCATGATGGTTTCCTTGATCTGCGAGGGGAATCTATGCAAACAAGAGTACAGGATGTTGTTGAGAGGTAGCGTCAATATGCGTGCTTTTTTATTATCATGGATCATTCTTTGCGTAAGTGTCTAGATTAGGAAAAAAAACAATCAAATTTGTAGATCCCTGTCAATGTCCATGCTCAAATGTCAAGCGCATGCATATACTCTAGAGTGAGTTCACTGAGAGTAATCGAATACATATGTATCATAGGCCTTACTTGAGCAGTAGAATTATGCAACATTAGCACCCCAAGGATGCAATGGCACTATTAATGGCACAAACTTGGTCCTCCAAACACGGACAATTTTAATGAATTCATCAATGATGAAACCGGTGCCGAACAAGCAAGCCAAGGCCTAATATTGCCAAATAAAATGGCATGATGACAGACGACTAATCTGATGGCATTCTAGATCTTTCACAAAGTCTCCTGTAGGACCATGCAGGTAGATATTAGTAGATCAAAGTAATACCAAGTGTTGTCACCGACGTCAGCTTCTCAGTAATAAGGTGCCAAAAATTAGTGATAGTATCTTTTTTGATAAAAATGAAGGCAATGTAAATTGATAGTTGTCGCATGGTTGCTATAAATACCATTGGGTATATACATTTCTGGGTATAACTTTAAGCTTCTTTGTCGTTGCCTAGTTAATCCTAATTTCGCCATTTAAGGAACTTTGTGTCCATTCAATCACGCAAATATGCTTAAAACAAGAACCGGTATTTTTCGTTATTGACGTAATCGAGAAAGGTTTATTTATCAAGTTGATTGATCCGAGAAAAAGCTCGCCCAATTTATGGTTCGATGCTTCATTCTGATCTATGGTTTTAATAGACCAAACCTCTCTGCCTTGCAGCCCACAGCAGGCATTGCTCATACAACAAGTGCTGATCTAGCAAAGAAAAGGCTCCAAACAGGGCAAAAATACTCGCTATTCTCGATAATTAAGCTAATTCCGCACAAATTTGTAAACGTGTTGATGTAAGTATTTTGAGGCGCAATTTATCAATGGTAAGGGTGGGGGAACGCTTACAAAGACATTACAGATTGAGCTGTATCAAATGATTTTGAATATGGCAAAAACGATTTCCCTATATTTTCCTTTTATACACTTCAAGCTCTATGCTTGAATTATTCAGCAATCTTGAATTACTCATATATAAAGACTGGGTCTCATCCATGACCTCCTATTCATATCTATCATCAAACCATTTCAACAATAAATGTCTATTACTACTGCTACTACAACTGCCGCTGCTTCTGCTGCTACTAAGGCTATTTTCTCCCCTATCAAGATTGGTAACAACACCCTCAAGCACCGAGTAGTTCTTGCACCGTAAGCATACACTTACAATTACTTGCATGATCGCTCTTACTTACTCGATTTGTGTAGTTTAACTCGCTTCAGGGCTTCGTTTGAAGCGGTTCCCTCTCCCCTTCAAGTGGAATACTACAAACAAAGAGCCACTGAAGGTGGATTCATGATCACTGAAGGAACTTTCATTCATCGGCTTGCTGGTGGATACGTTCAAGCACCTGGTATCTACAATCAAGACCAAATTGATGCTTGGCGCAAAGTAACCTCTGTTGTCCACGAAAAGGGAGCTTTCATCTACTTGCAATTGTGGCATATTGGTCGTGTTGGTGCTAGCAATTTGAACCCTAACAACGAAAAGCCTGTTGGACCTTCAGCCATTACAGTTACTGGAAGCAACTTTTACGGTGGCGAGTATGAAGAGCCTCATGTCCTTACCATTGACGAAATTCAAGAAATTATCCAACAATATCGTCAAGCTGCGTTGAATGCGGTTGAAGCTGGATTTGATGGTGTCGAAATTCACAGCGCTAATGGCTATCTTTTGGATCAATTCATCAATTCTGGAAGTAACAAGCGTACAGATATCTATGGCGGGTCCATCGAAAACCGCACAAGATTTGCTTTACAAGTTGTGGATGCTATTGTTGATGCTATTGGAGCTGAGCGCACTGCTATTCGTTTCTCTCCTGGTTCAAGCTATCAAGACATGGAAGATGACACTGTTGTGGAAACTTGGAGCTATTTGACAAGTCAACTTCAACAGAATCATCCCAACTTGAGCTATTTGCATTTCATTGAAGCTCGATCTGGATACCGTCAAGACCATTATGTCAACTCTGAAGACTCCCTTGAACCTTACAGACAAATCTGGAAAGGTCCCTTCGTCTCTGCTAGCGGTTTCTCTACAAATTTAGAACATGCTTTTGATCTCGCTGAAAAGACAGGCAATCTGATCTCTTTTGGTCGCGCTTTCATCGCAAATCCTGATCTCGTAGAAAGACTTCGTAGTGGTTGGGAGATCAACAAGTATGATAGAAGCACCTTTTATGCACATGATGCTCATGGTTATTTGGATTATCCTTTCTACAATGAAGGCAAACAGTAATCATTATTCATATAATATAGACAATTATCACATAAGCAATCAATAAATACATTTTAATGAAATTAGATATAAAAGTGCACCAAAAAATCAAACTGAATTAGTCCAAATACTTCATGTGGTGTTTTTTTTTACCAGGTCAATATCATTCTCATAGGCTCTCAACAACGTCGGTTACCTTTCATGATTAGGGTGGCATTATTAAGAATCATCAGCCAAAAATGATTACATCTCCGCTCAACATTCTGTCCTGATTTGATGGTTTTCCAATGTTTCGAGCACGATTCGACCTATTTTGCCAGATTCGACTATGTAAATTGTGATGATGACCCCATACTCCCTTATGCTTTCTTGGAATGCTTTGCAAGACGCATCCAATGGTGTCAAGTAAAGTAAATGTTTTGAATCAACTTGTTGAGAAATTCTATAAAATACGAAATGAGGTGTCTGGCCAAAAAGTCGAAATTTTACATATCAAAATTGCACAAAAGTAGTTTCAAGGGCGGCCCTGGATCGATAGAATCGTTTTGATTTGATATATACCATAGTAAAAGTCTTCACTTTTGCGGTCAAAAACACGATCATTTGATTTTTGATAAAAAGCATGAGGTACCCCTCATGGTTTTTGGTCGATTTTTGGCCATGTTTTTTTGGGTCTTCAAAAAGTTGAGCAAAGGTGTTAGAAAGCATGCGTTAGATGAGAGCAATTGTTTCATGCTATTCTGGCGGCCTAGGACAGCTTCTAACACGAGAAAGCACGGCTCAAATACCCTTTAATTTTGCTGTGTTTTGCATAAGTTTGAGTGGTAAGAGAGGTTGCTTGTATGCTCTCTGCCCGTGTATGCATTGTTTCTATTGCTACATAAAGTATCTTACAAGAGTTCGATTCATCGCTATGGGCAGTTTATAAGGCTCACATGAAATGGTAGGTAGTCTATGTAACAATAGGGTGACATGCACGCGTACTTGAATTAAATCATGTCAATTTTGTGGTGGTGGCAATAATTTAATGAAATAGTGATAGTAGATGTAATAGTAGAGAGAAATAGAAGTAAAAGAAAACAAAGTTTAGTGTTCTATAGACGAGCAATGTTGTCATTGACATGTCAGCTCATCAGGTATGTTGAAATTAAAATAAAAGGTATACAAGGTAGTGGGTGATGATTAAGAAAGCTTTTCGATTATTGGATCAGCCATTTTACGACGTCGCAAATAACTACAGTAAACACGTTATTATCAAGTTGATCATGAATAGTTGAAATGATTGTACCTTTTGGGCTGAGGCTGACATAAGACCTGAATCATATTTTTCAATGGGCTGCTCTTGCTGTAAGGATTCGCACGTAATTCAGGATACTTTGCTCTAATGATATCTGCTCTTATCTATTTTGTAATGATCAGCCTTTCTGTTATCCTTTTACTTGCTATATCCATGTACCTGCTCATGTGTACTAACACCGCGAAGAACAAGAGAACAATGATACAAGGTAAGTCCACCAACCAGCCACAATAAAACAAAGCAATAGATGGAAAGTACAAAGCTTACAGGCGCTTGTGAGAACACCTCGCCAAAACTTGCTGGTTGATCTACTTGGTTTCTCGAGATAAACAGCAACTCATAAACGACTGAGCAAATGACAAATATGCAAAGCAAGGCAGAGCTTGTGATGAATGTGAAAAATGAGCGGTAGTTGCGTTTGCCTACACAGTTGTTCAACCAAGCACAATGGTGATCCTCAAACTCTACCGTGTTGATTGTTGGTACATTTACAAACCATGTAAGAACTGCATATGTTTGCCTGCTTACCAACACAGTTGTTGCATTGTCTACAATGACTTGCTCGAGGAGGACGGTAGATCATACATGTATCGCAGTATTTCAGTGAATAGGATGTATTTTTGATCCAAATTTCTTTGGGTGGAGCTTCTGAATCGACACTTGCACTTTCATCCAGAATATCCTGAGCGATTGGATCCAAATTGCGAGGAATAATCTATTGATTCAATAGATCAGTGGTTGTTGCTGCTGACGACAGAGATTCCGAAAAGAAAAAAAAAAAAAAAAAAAAAAAAAAAAAAAAAAAAAAAACCTACCCCTGGATCCGTCCAAGACGTCTTTAGCATTGAGACAAAAGCAAGCACAAAGAGATAAGCAAACACAATGGGCAAAGCTGGATGAGCCTGGTTCCATAAGAATGGACATCTGTAATAAAGCCCAAACAAATAAACAATGATGAATATGATATCATTGGAATCAACTGAGCATGTGGGGTCTTTTTTTACATACGTGAAAATAGCAAATAACACAGTAGGAGAGATCAATATGAATAATGCAGCAACAAAGGCCCGATAATCTCTACTTGTCACCAGTCTTCCACCAAGAAGAAATCTTGTATGTCCCGGGAAGATTTGATAATTACGATAAGGTTGCTTCTTTAATACATACCGAGGCTGCTGCTCTTGTTGCTGTAATGATACATGCTTGGAATTTAAAGTTTCTTGGGAATCCTCTGCCGCTGCTGCCGATAATCCAGTGTCTGATCCTTCTGTTGTATCATTCATTGAATTTCTCTTTGGATCGATTGCTTTGAGGCTGTATTCCTCTGTGGCTGTGGTTAAAGTTTGCTCGTGTTTGGAATAAGATTGTTGATGTTGTTGCTGAAGGATGGGCGCTGTACTAGCGTAGCTAGTGACATTTGAATTCGATGTGAGGCCTGATGATTGATGAATGGGGTCCTGTTCATCGTCTTCTTTTGTAGTAGGCAAGTGATGCATAGGTGCAGATTCGAAATCAAAGTCTTCAAGTGATTCTGGCTCGAATGAGGAACTGAAAAAGGTTGGCTGAAATATAGTAAATGACGACTGTTCTTGAATACGTTCAATTACTGAATGCCGTTTTTGAGCATCCATCTAATTATACAAAATGGGTAGCGCAAATATAACGTATATACTGCTGCTAGAGAATAGGAGGGAGAGGAAGAGGAAAGAGTAGAAAGAGAGGGAAAGGGAATTAAGAAAAAAAAAAAAAGGAGGATTACACAAAAGCGTGTACCAAGTAGTCAACTTGGTATTAGCTTCTGTGTGTATCCACCCACACTCAAAGCTATAGCTTAAAACTGATGAATGAAATGAGCCCCGATCATGTCCTCTCTCTCTCTCTCTCTCTCTTTCTCTCTCTCTCTCTCTCTCTCTTCTTTATCTTTTCCTCTCTTCCCAACATCATGGAGATATCTGTAAATAATCCCTCAATCAAGAATTGGTTAAGAAAAGTGATGCATACCGAGAAAAATACCAAGGCACCAGGTACTTGATATCATTGCTAGCAACACATTTTGTCAAATCTATATTCTGACATTTAATACAACTACTGCCAGATGTCTTTGGTGTGCCCCTCTATCAAAGTCTCCAAGTAGCCAATACACTAATAGCTTATGAAGATAAAGATTCTATTATTGGCACTATACCCATTATTGTAGCCAAATGTGGTGCCTACTTGAAAGATCAAGGTATGTATTTGTGTGTGTGTAATACCTAAAGTACATGCAGATCATTAATTTCAAATTGTAATATCATGTAAATGTATACAGGTCTTTACGTGGAAGGCGTCTTTCGAAAGAGTGGCAGGTAAAGAGTGATCTACTTACTATAGAATGTGTTGCTCACTCTCTCTAAAGTGCCAAAAGAGTAGGCGAATTGCAACAGCATTTCAACTCATCATCTGATTTTGGCATAGGCCTGAATTGGAGAAGACTCGGGTACACAGTTCATGATGCTGCCAATTGTTTGAGGCGTTTCCTCAATTATCTCCCAGAGCCCGTTATCATATTTTCGCTGTATGAGCCCTTTCGAAGTATAGCAGCACAGCAACCGCATATCGATGTAGATCAGATTGATGGGCGTATGTAAATTCTGGACATGATGCATGCACAGTGCAACTCATTTATTGATTATGTTAGCCACCACTGCGTTGATGATACAGCACTATCAGAATTTGATCGAGCAATTACCACCTGTCAATCAATACTTACTCTTTTACTTGCTGGATCTCCTTGCGCTGTTTAGCAGATATGCCAAATACACCAAAATGAGCTCCATGTCACTCGCATCCGTCTTTACCCCTGGCATTTTATTGAATCCAGAACACGCAATGAACCCATCTCAGTACAAACTATCACAACGTGTCGTTCAGTTCTTAATTGAGCATCAGGAGCACTTCCATTTACCTCGAAATCAACGACAGCAGCAACAAGACAGCAATGCCAAATTAACCCCATCATCTCATATAAACACAGCCGCATCAACATCATCTTCATTTCAGCAACAACAACAGCATTTGATTCGAGCAAATACAGTGCCTGTTCATAGTAAACATCGACTGTTAAACGATGATTTGGTGTTGCAAATCATCAAATAAAGAAACATTATCAGGAGAGTCTTTTAGGATGGCAACAATTTCAGGGAGCCGTATATATATATATATATATATGATATACAACGAACCCGACTCAAGCCCAGGCTTTTTTTTTTTTTTGTTGTTGTTGTTATTGTTGTTTACTCGTGTAGATGATGACAGTTCCTTCCAGCAATAGATCCTCTTTCTCGTTTCTATAATGCAATAACTTACTTGCACATGAATGGGCAGCACTGTATACAGCATTCATTATAGATAGCACCGATGCTTCTAGACGGTAAATTAGATCCAAATTCGCTTTCATTTCTCGCATTTTGATCTGGTCATTTAATTATAAATGTATGACGAGGTGTAACGTTATTTCGAAATGTTTAATTGATAGATAATTTAGCAGCTTTTTATTTGATCACCATTGAAATGAATAGGTTAAACAAGGGCAGCGGTGCATTCAGACGACTGTACAAACTGATTGCCAGCAAGTTTTCTGATATCTGCGCCATATATTGGCAGTAAATGAACATCTATATAAATACACCAAGTTGTGCAACCACAAACTAGTCAGAATATCTGACCTGGGATCTCTCACAGCCATGAGTTTATGCAAAATTCACAGAGTGAGACATTCAAGTGTGTGTGTTCATTTGCTTACGTAGATGAAAAAAAGGCTCGGTGAATTGCTAGGGTGGAGCAAAGCAACAAGAGAGGCGAATTTCCACTCACCATTTCTCTACACTTTTTTTTCCGCTTGCATTATCTTACAACAACACCAGCAATGGTTGCCGCACAAATCAATTCTGAACCTCACTTTAAATTCATCACACCTAGCAAGTTCATTCGAGCGTAAGCGTGTTGTGTTACAGCAATCAAACAAGCGGCATCAGTATTCACGTCTCTTTTATAGAACTCCTACTATGGCTGTCTGGGGAGCTGCCACAGCAGCAGCTCTGGCATTGTTTGGCTCTGATGTACCTCTAGCCAGAAAGGATGTCTTGAGTAAAATTCCAGTATTTGGCCGTTATTTCCCTGTTCAACAAGATAAACATGAAGAAGAGGATTGATGGAATTTCCCCGCGTTCAGTAACCTAACAAACAAACCGTAGTGTTGTTGATACATTTGTATTTATATTCCATGTTGCCATGAAATAAACTCTCTTCTTTGTTCATTTTACTTTACTTATTCAAAAGCGTAAAGAAGATGGTGCTCATCAGAAGCCTGTTTTTGCTGATTTTCATCACAGTTGCATTGGCGCAAGATGTCGAGGATCCAGAGCCAGATGCAACGCAATCCGAGCTGGATGATCAGGCCATTGTATCCAGTGTCATGTATGCGCCCGTACCCACCAACCGAATTGCTGTCAACAGACACCAATTGCCGCCACCAGAGTACATTGCGACCAGTGGAGAGCAAAAGACTGTCTGCAAGAACCACAGAACCGACTTCTCAAAGGACACCACTGGATGGCAAGTGGAGAACAGTATGCAGGATACATATGACATTATTAGCAATGGCCTTCAGTTTCATCTGTTATCGCCTAGCAAATACATTCGAATGCATGACCAGAACAACTTGCCCTACAACGAAATTGGAGGAAGAGGACCTACACTGAATGCCACGAGCTACATGCGCTATGGTAGAGTGTCGGCTACACTGCGCTCAGCAGGAACGGGTGGTGCTGTTACTGCATTCATTTTGATGGCAGATGGAGGCGATGAGATTGATTTTGAGTTCCTGGGAGGAGATAAGGATCTAGTGCAGTAAGTAGAAGAAGCTCGCATGCTGTCTGCGTATTCCCATCTAAATGTCCCATTGCTACACAGGAGCAACTACTTTTGGGGCCAGTCCAAGGAATACAATGTCAATGGCGGCATTCACAAGGTCGAGGGTGGCCACATTGACACTACATTTCACAAGTACACGATTGACTGGAAGCCTGACAGAATCGAATGGCTTGTAGACGACAAAGTTGTGCGCACTAGAATCAGGAGCGAAACATGCGATGCAACCGGTGTATGCAAATTCCCATCCCAACCAGCGTAAGATTGTTTGCTCAACATGTTGGCATGAATCCGAGTATAATTCTCCATTGACATATTTCATTTTATTTAGACGAGTGCAATTTGGATTGTGGGATGGAAGTATAGAGTCTGGAACAGCCGAGTGGTCAAAAGGGCCTATTGATGTAAGCGTGTATCAGCGAAAGAATGGCCTGCTTGAAACTAACAGGAAGGATTTCATAGTGGTCTGCTCCTCAACATGGCATTCAAGCATTCATCAAGAGTGTCCAAGTCGACTGTAATCCAGAGTATAATCAAATTGTCAACTAGACAGCGCTCGCTCTGTCTGTCTCTGTCTCTCTCTGTCTCTCTCTGTCTCTGTCTCTCTCTCTCTCTCTCTGTCTCTCTCTCTCTCTCACTCTCTCACAGAAATCGGAAATTTATAGCTAAAAGAATGTCTGATTCTTATTTACGTATTTATAATAAAAACTAATATTTTGTACCTAGACCTTTCTTTTTTCATTCAAACCAATGGATCTTTACTTTCATCGTTCTTCTCCAAAAAACAAAATGCTATCCCTTACTGCTGCACTCAAGAAGAAGACCAGCGCTGTGGGCCCTGAGCAAAATTATAACAGAAAATTGACGCCCAAATCACCTTCCATTACCGACTTCATCTCCAAGAAGGTGTCATCCATTCATGCAAAGAAGATTTGGCACCAAATCGTTCCTCAGCAACAACAGCAAAAGGCCACCATTTTGTTTGACTCTAACGACCATTTGGCGGACACTGCCTCCATTCCACCTACACCGCCACCCAAGAAATCATCCACCATGCCAAACCTAACCATCATCACAGATACTGAGCTGATTCACCGTGCTTTGCCCAGTCTACCCAGCGTGGAAAATGCTATTTCCATTGGATCTAAATCGTCCTCGTCTCGATACGGGCTTACAAGAGCTACTACCTGGGTAGGAAAGTCCATCCAGAAATGGCTGTCTAATTTGGAGGAACAACGAAAAGCAGTGATGATGGATTTGTCAGATTTTGAGCACAATGACGAAGAGGACATCTTATACTCCAGCTCGCTGTTACCGAATGCACTAGATCAAAAGCTGACGCTTCACTGCCGCAGTAAGTAGACAGGGACAAAGTAGTACCATCCTCACTAGAGTAACCTTGGAATATAGTATTACAGGTCACAAACGTTGGATCAGCAAAGAGTAAGTGCGCTACACGACTATGCAAATGATATCATGGACACTCACATGTCATGTAGATTATCACTATACCATGAACATGAGGGTCACCAATAACCAAACACAAACACACATGGGTGTCATGAAACGGGTGGCCAAAGGTATCAGTGCAGCACATCCTCGCGCAGCCCTGTCATTGTAAGGATGATTACATAGCCCAAGCATAGGGAAGAGGCCACTAATAGCATAGTTAGTAACGTTCAGGGACGTTTCCAAGTAGAATGTGATCTCTGTATCAAGCCGTCTTCAAGCAATTCCATTGTGAACCGCCTCAAGTCATTTAGATCAAGACTGGATCTAGCAGATCAGGAGAATGATGAAGAGGAAGAAGAAGTGCATCAGGGGCAATTGGTGCTGGACTCTGGTGCGGATCCATTATCAAGCTTTGCTAACAAGGGCATCGGAAGATACTCTATCCATACATCAACCTCTGTAGCATTGGAACTGACGATTGCATTCTGGCTGGAAGAGGCTGGCAAGAAGCAGGAGCAGGAAGAGGCCGACGATGAAGAGGAAGTGCGCACGCCTATAGATCAGGATGTGTTGCGTTATTGTCAAGCAGGAGACTATTTGACATTCTACGTCAAGGGCGGCACACATCCCGTAAGTATCTGTCTAGCCAAATTTGATTTATGCTAACCATGCTACTCGATAGTCATGGAACAGATACTGGGTCACCTATCAATCCAATCAACTCGTCTTAAGACTGAACGAAAGAGGTGCTCCTGTCGACAAGTTCCATCTGAAGGGACTAAACCATGTTGACATCAATCCCTCAGACGACATCAAGGAAGAAATCTACCTAGGCAAGAAACATGGCATTGTGCTCACATTTGGCAGTAACAACGTCTATCTGTTTTGTGATCATTTCAAGAGTGTGCGTTTCTGGAAGTGTCTGCTTGAGCAGCATGCGTCCACTACAGTGCATAGTAATAGAAATCAAAAGAAATACCTATGGGTGGCGCAGTGAACTGTTATCATGTTATTGGCTAATAAAATTTTTTATGTTTGATACCTTAATTTGGATTTCGAACTAAGGAAAAAAAAAAAAAAAAAAAAAAAAAAAAGCTACTCTACAACTAGAAGCGAGAAGAAGGGCGTAGCTTTTTTCCCTTTTTCTACTCTTCTCTTTTTTTTTTCTTTTTTTTTTTTCATTATAAACAAGAAAACTATGAACAATGGATCATCAAACACAGGAAGCTTAGATCAGCAATTTGGTAAATACAGACTGACATTTGGAGTCAAAGGGGGGGGGGGAGACTGACATGTGGGAGTGATTTGTACTTTACAATGGCCTTCAAACGACATGTTTTTTTCTCACTGAAATCAGAGCATGTATACTAACCAACTCTTACTTTTTATAGCTGGTATGAGCATGAACAACAACAGCAAACCTGCTTCTCGTTATGTCCCTCCTCACTTGAGAAATCAAGCTAATCGCCAAAGTAACAATGAAAGTCAGCCTTCTGCTGCTCCTCCTAGAACCAACGGCTGGAATGATTGGAACGGTAATGGCAGCCAACGTGCTGGCGGCAGTGGTGGTGGATGGAACTCTTCCTATTCAGATATGCCCCGTGGTGGTAACAGATATGGTGGCGGAGGACGCTCTGATTTCTATGAGCGTGGCTCTTATGGTGGTTACCGCAACAACCGTCAAGATTCCGGCTACCAACGTCGTGATGAAACTCAAGGTTATTGGAAGGATGGTGTTCACCACATTGGTAACCGTAACCCTCGTATTGAAAAGGATCTCTTTGGTACTCAAGATGATGCTGTCACTCAACACACTGGTATCAATTTTGAAAAGTATGATGACATTCCTGTTGAAGCCAGTGGTCATGATTGCCCTGAATGTATCACCACTTTCACCTCTCCTCCTATGGACGCTCATTTGTTGAGCAACATTGAATTGGCCAGATATACTACCCCTACTCCTGTTCAAAAGTACTCTATCCCTATCATTGATGCTGGTAGAGATTTGATGGCCTGTGCTCAAACTGGTTCTGGTAAGACTGGCGGTTTCCTCTTCCCCGTCTTCTCTGAACTCTTCTCAAAGGGCCCCATTTCCCCTCCTGCTGAAGAGGAGTCTCGTGGCTACCGTGCTCGCAAGGCTCACCCTCAAGTTTTGATTCTCGCCCCTACTCGTGAATTGGTCTCTCAAATCTATGATGAAGCCAAGAAGTTTGCTTACCGTTCTTGGGTCAAGCCTGCCGTTGTCTACGGTGGTTCTGACATTGGCGCTCAAATCCGTAACATTGAACGTGGTTGTGATTTGTTGGTCGCTACTCCTGGCCGTCTTGTCGATTTGATTGAGCGTGCTCGTATCTCTCTTTCTCTCATCCGTTTCCTCGTCTTGGATGAAGCTGATCGCATGTTGGATATGGGTTTTGAACCTCAAATCAGACGTATTGTTGAAAAGGAAGACATGACTCCTGTTGAAGATCGTACCACCCTTATGTTCTCTGCCACTTTCCCTCGCGATATCCAATACTTGGCCCGTGATTTCTTGAAGGATTACATCTTCTTGTCTGTCGGCCGTGTCGGTTCCACATCCGAGAACATTACCCAAAAGGTTGAGTACGTTGAAGATGAGGACAAGCGATCTGTCTTACTTGACATCCTCCACTCCAATGAAGCTGTCGGTCTCAGCTTGATTTTTGTTGAAACCAAGCGCATGGCTGATGCTCTCTCTGACTTTTTGTTGGACCACAACTTCCCTGCTACTGCTATTCACGGTGATCGTACCCAACGTGAACGTGAGCGTGCTTTGGAGTCCTTCAAGACTGGCCGTACTCCCATCATGGTTGCTACTGCTGTCGCTGCTCGTGGTTTGGATATTGCTAATGTCTCTCATGTCATCTCTTATGATTTGCCTACTGATATCGATGATTATGTTCATCGTATTGGTCGTACTGGTCGTGCCGGTAACACTGGTTTAGCTACTGCCTTCTTCAATCGTGGCAACAAGAATATTGTCAATGATTTAATCAACATTTTGGAGGAAGCTAATCAAGAGATCCCTGGTTTCTTGGAATCCATTGCTAGAGAAACCCGCTCCTTCGGTGGTCGTGGCCGTGGCCGTGGCCGTGGAGGCAACAACTTTGGTGGTAGAGATTACAGAAAGTCCAACAATGACTGGAACTCTCCTGCTCCTTCTCGTGATTCTGGTTTCCCCTCTTTGGGCGGTGGACGTCCCTCTCACAATAACAACAGCTATAACAACAATGGTGGTGGTAATGTTCCTCTTCAATACCAAACCAAGACCAGTTGGTTCTAAGTTTTTGGATCATACTCTCTATTCTATCCGTTTCTTTTTCAATCTTTTTCTTCTCTCCTTATCATTATTATAGATTTATACAAGTTACTTTTTTTCCTTCCACTCTCAAAACTAAACATTTCTTTTATTCGTTAATCTTTTTCTTTTATGTTTTTTTGCAAATCCCCCCTTTTTTTTTCTTATATACTTTTTACCACAACAAAAGCTCCCTCTTCACTTTCAATCCCATCAAGCTAAACAACAACAACAACAATAGCCAACCTCCAGTAGATGTAAATAGATATTTATAAAAAAAAAAGAGAATTATCATGTACAAATAAATTCAAAAAAGAAATAAAAATGAATAAAAAGAAATCACTGTATTGCACTTTCACCCTTCTTGATCAAGATGTATATTGTATATCATCTACTAGCAGCCGATCTATCTTGCTACGCTCAATGTGGGCGTCGACCTGCGGGCTCTTGTCAAAGACAGTTAAATCAGATATAATAAATTTTTGGCATATCAAGGAGGCATTAAACAATGCATTATTAGTAAAAGAAAGGCCATATCAGAGCAAAGAGGAGGAGGAGAGGAGCTTTTTGCTTACGCTGATATCAAGCGAAGCATATTATTGAGACAATGTGAAGGAAAGTTCAGTTTTCTAATAGTAGAATTGCCATACCATTCGCTGCTGCAGGTGCTCTTAATCAGATGGCGCATAAAGCTGGTCATGCGCAAATATAGGACTTGTGCAAGAGCTACAGCGACGTTTTTGAGATATTGTCATTGCAAAATACACCTCTTTTATAAGGAAAAACTCCCAAGAAAAAAAAGTATTCGGGCTAAGCAATTGTTCTTTCAATAATTCTATAATCCCCAGTTAATCAATATCGCAATCATTATTGTCATCATCAGAAAGGCATTTGGGCCAGCCAGCAGCAGCGACGCCCGCCAAAATTGATTCAAACTCAGTTTTTTTTTTTTTTGTTCAAGATTGGACAGATTTCGTAATTTTTCGACTTTTTAAATCTATTTTGCGATACTCGACTATATAAACTGCGATAATCACCCTACGCTTCCTAACACATTCTTGAAGTACTTTTCAAGGCGCTTCCAATGGTGCTAACTGTAATAGGTGTTTTGACTGAAACTATTGAGCAATTTAATAAAATTTGAAATGAGGTTTTTAGCGAAAATACCCATATTTTGCATATGAAAGCCTCATAAAAGTGGTTTCAGAAGTTGCTTTGGGTCGAGAGAAAACATTTTGAATTAGTATAAACCATAGTAAAAATCTCTATTTTAGAGGTGAAAAATGCGATCGTTTGATTTTCGATGAAAACTTTTTTTTTTTTTTTTTTTTTTTTTTTTTGGTGGATAATATTAAAGACTTTATTAGTAATCTGGCGCCCAATAAAGGCTTTAAATGTATCAAAATACGAGACAAGTGTATGTAAACAAAGTGACTTGCAAGAGAAAACTAGAGTGATAATAACTACATAACAACTATAGACGGAGGGAGATGTTTGTCCCAACACAAACTACCAGGCGAAACCAGACCGGATAGACTTCAAGATTGTAACTTCAGTGAAGATAGTTTTAATGGCTATCTCTCCGCGCGGGCACCCTTGTGTCTCGATTGCGCAGCTCACGACTGAAACGCTTCAGGTGCGAAAACCACTCTGACAGCGACCCCGAAGGGCATTTTCGATGAAAACCATGAGGTATCCCTCATGCTTTTTGGTTGATTTTTAGCTATGTCTTTTTTTGGCTCAAAAAGTTGAGCAAAGGTGTCAGGAAGTTACCACTACTCAAGTACAATTGTTTGGCGTCATTCCGGTGGCTCATAAAGGTCTACATGTCAAGATAAGAAGGCTTGAAAGCTGTCAAATTTGGTTATGTATTGCTTTATAGAGTTTATCTACACGGCATAAATCACATCTTTGGTAGCTGTAGTTTACTGGAGGGGCAGTTTTGTAGCTTGTGCAATTTTTAATTTGAATAGAATGCATATTGATTTTGGTAAAAGCTAATTCATGCAAATTTTGATATGTTATGTTGTTGGTAAGCTTATTAATAATGGAAATGAGTAACCGAACTTGCTGCTTGAATACTGTGGTTTTGCACCTTGGCTTCGCTACGGTAAACCCCTCCTATAAATCAATGCTATCAAGTGTTGAATTAGATGCGTTATGTTCTTGGTGGACGGGCTAAGCCCCTCTCTCCCAAACTTCCTCCCCATTCCCCGCTTTGCCTGTGGTTTTATTAACCGTGTACGGCACACAATTCATTAAAATTTTGAAAGGATATGATTGGGTTCTCTACTTTTTCTGAATTTTTCTAATCACACGATGGTATCAGCATAACATCCAGAGAAGTTTATCGGAGAAGTGCAATTAAACAACTTCGACCATTGCCCTGAGAAGATCATTGATGGGATTCGGCAATGGCGCAACCAACTGCAATAATGCTGCAGGATGTCAACAAATCTGAAGAGGATCAAGCGGGGTTGACATGTTCCTGCCCTGATATTGTGCCCTGAACAGTTTGGCAGCTATAGTGAGAGTAATATGTCCAGATCAAATCATACTAAAGGGATACTACAGGTTATATTTCATAAAAGGCTTCTTTGCTGTAGCGTAGTTTCGGATGTGGACAAAACGACGTGTAGCTATCGTACGGTAATCTGGAGTTTGGCGAGCATACCTCGGTTGATAAGAAACATGACAAATTTCAACGCCTCATCCACAAGGAATTGACTAAACTTGTGATGATTTCTAATCAAATCCACTTTCTATTTATTGTAACAAGAAATCAGAAGATATATGTTCTACTTGTTGTTTGTATAGGCTCACTTACTAAAAGATGGCATGTTATGCTTGCTAATCAACTCGCGCAATACAAAGAGTTTTGTACATACATATTACCATTTTGTTGCAAAGCCCTTGGTACATACCATGCTTCAACCAGAGTTTTGGGTAAGAAAATTAGCTTGTCCAATGTATAAATAGATAAAGCATTTAATCAGTGGACATGTAGAACATATGCTTAGTAGTGCAGGTGTAAATCAGTGCTTTATCAGTCATTATCGTATGATGCCTCTATGTACACGTATGCACATGAACATGTATAACCCTTGATTGAGGCATTTCAGTATTCTCGATCAGTGAAAAATGTAACACCACGCAATGATTTCCCCAGGAAAAAATAAACGTGCGTTCTTTTTGTTCTTTTTTCTTATGGGAATTTTGATGATACGATGATGTTCTCTTGACAAGATGTTTTGAGGGTGAGAAAGTTGCCATCCTTTTTTTTTTTTTTTTTTTTTTACTGCGTTTTGACTCCATTTGGACGAGGCATATACGAAACACCGTGCCAAAACGAACGATATTTCGTGGGGTAATGTTCAAACGTGGGAAAGCTGCATCATACATTACAGTGAGATACAAACTAATTGCATTTGGATCAGACAATAAAAATTTGATTCGGTCCTTGATGTCCATTTGGTAGTGCATGTAAGCGAAATAGCCCTTTTTCTACCCCAGTTTCAAGCAGTTTATTCTATGGCCCTGCATATGTGTTGTTCTCTCATCTTGGTGGTGTGTATCAGCACGAATAGTAATTCGCACGACATTATATTTTTACGTGGATAGCCCTTTTTTAAGTGAATCACTGTGTTACGATGAAATCAAACACAAATCAATGTAACATAAACTGAAAACGGTATTAATTAAGTTGCATTCGATACTGCCATATTATCTCATCTCACACAATGTTGTGTTTTTTTGATAACAGATAACAGAACCTATATCTTGTTGTATACAGTCGTGGGATAGGTAGAAATGCCATTCAAACAAAATCACCCTATAACTCACATTATGGGCTTTTTCCATCTTCTAATGTGGCATCTGCTGAGATTGGGATGGAGCGGATCGTATCTACTGTTTCCCTTACAATGAAAAGCGTAATTTTACACAGGCGATTGCAGCGCCGTGTTAAAAAACGCACTAATCAAACCAAGTCTTCACTTTTGAGTCATTACCAAAAAATTGATTCGGCATGATTCAAGTAGTACTGAATATATTTGTTTATTCTCTCTACCCTCTTTTTTTCGTGAGAAAACTCAATCTTGGTTTCATGGTATCCCTGCTCGGTCAGATGAGATATCTGAAAGAGGAGGCCATATATCTGATCTCACAGATCAGATAATGACAGATACGTTGTGAGATGTAGCATTTTTTCAGTCCTAGTGTTTTATGAAAAAGCAATCGACACCAACCATTTAATAAATAAATTCAGAAACCTTCCATTGGTGGTACACAGCATACAGACCATCTGCGTTTAGGATGCTAACATCCAATAGAAAGAGATTGTCGATAAAAAAAGATAAGCTTTCATCAGAGCATATGACTTTTTGAGAGCAACCTCTTGCCTAAATATAGACATTATGCTTACTATTGGGTGATAGGGTAAATCCACATATGCCAAAGGAAATCAAAGAACTGCAAGAGCAAATTTCATATAAAAAGGGATTCATCATTTCACGAAAATTGACACTTCATTCCACATCTTCTTTTTTATCCCTTTTATATCTCTTTTTATATATAAATGACATCTTCATTTAACGAAAAGAAGGCCGAATATCAAGAGTCTGTCAACGAGGTTGTCAGTGGTAAATATCATTTGTATTCAATTGTACATTCATCACCTTATTAACATGGCATTTAACAGAGCATGAGATCGAGTACGGCCAAGATCAATTCATTGACGTCAACAGAGAACATGCTGGTTCATCTAAGATGGCCTACTTTAACATTGTTTGTGTTGTCGCTGGTACTGGTACCCTCGGTCTTCCTGTTGCCTTGAAGCAAGGCGGCTGGTTGGGCGTCTTCATTCTCTTCTTGTCTTGGTTCATGTCCATTTATACCGGTATCATCTTGGTCCGTTGTCTTTATGCAAATGGCAAAGCTCGTTTGACTACCTACAAAGAGGTTGCAACTGCTGCTTATGGCTGGGTTGGCGGCTGGGTCGCCTTCTTCTTCAATACCTGGATTGTTTTGGGTGCTCCCGTCTTGTATATGGTTTTAGCTGGTACAAACTTGAATGCTCTTTGTAAGGGCACTGCTGGTGAAATTGGTAATGTTCCATGGATCATTATCTCTTGTGCTATTGTTGCCATTCCATTTGTTCTCGTCAAATCAATGAAGGAAGTCGCTTGGATGAGTGCTTTCGGTGCTGCCGCTACACTTATTGTCGTCTTTATCTGTTTGATCTGTGCTGCCATTGACAAGCCTAATCAAATTAATGTCCACCACGATGCTGTTGTTTGGGACATGTTCCCCATTGCCTTGAGTACTATCAGTTTCTCATTTGGTGGTAATGTCGTTTATCCTCATGTTGAAGCCTCCATGAAGACACCTCGCGACTGGCCCAAGGTTGTTGCTGCTGGTCTCAGTACCTGTGCTGGTATGTACTTGATCACTGCTATCTCTGGCTACTTGGTCTATGGTGATAGTGTCAAGTCTCCTATCTACAACTCTATTCCCGATGGTGCTGCTAGAATTGTCGCTATCGTTGTCATCACCCTACATGTCATCCTCGCTGCTCCTATCCTTGTCACCTCATTCGCTTTGGATGTCGAGGAGATGATGAACATCACTGTTGATCGTTTCGGCAAGGTCAAGGAGTTCCTCCTCCGTGCTACTGTTCGTCTCCTTACTATTGCTGTTGTTGGTGTTATTGCCTGTGTTGTTCCTCATTTTGGTGAATTGATGTCTCTCATCGGTTCTTTTGCCAACTGTGTTCTCATCTTTGTATTCCCTGTTGTATTCTACCTCAAATTGACTGGTGTCCGCAACAAGCCTTTCTACGAGCTTGCCTGGTGCTTCCTCGTTGTGCTTCTTGGTCTTGTTGGTCTTATTTTCGGTACCATGGAATCCATCAAGGAATTGATTGCTGTCTTCTAGATATAGAGAATATATAAATCAAAAAAAAGCTCTCTCCTCTTTACCACTGTACATATAATACGCTTATCAAACTTACCGCCTTAGCTTTTTTTCACAACCAATCTAAATAAATATTAATCCTTAATACCCATTATTTTCGTGTCGCATAATGCCGAGTATACACACTATTCTTCTTGTGCTTCTCAATATCCTGCGGAGCTTGGCATCAATTAAGTTTTGGATGTTGTCTCAACACTAATGTTCTTTTGGACTTGAACTATAAATGCTAGATCATACCAGCTTTTTGCAAGATGAATATATTTTAGTCATCTCAACATATCAAAGTTTGAATCCTGGAGCATAAGGGGATTAGATTACCTGTAATGCATTGTTGAATCATGGCTTGATTGTTACAATTTGGCTGTGAGAATGGCGGAGACAAATGTATCGTCATTGGTGTAATCAACAGCATCTTCTAATTACAACATCAAATAGATCAAATAAAGAATTAAGTAAGCCAGCATTTGTATTACAACTTACTTTATAAGGATTCGTGTGTAAATGAGTGTATTGGCTGAACCCTGTAATACTGCTCTCTACAAATTAGAATTAGACCTGGACTTCAGGAGTTAGTCTGTAGCTATAAAAGAGTTGCCATATACAAACGAGAAACAGTGAAATATGCCAGTAGAATCATACAATGAGCTTTACAACTGGTACAGCTTATGCTTCATTGTATGATAAAAGGTTGTTTAAAGAGCTGCTGTTTTATTAAATAAATACAAAAGTGAAAGAAAAGGAAACAAAAAAGGGTATTCATACAATAAATGTATAGCGCTCAAGAGCTATAAGCAGCAATGAGTTCCTTGACAGCTTCTATTGTACCGAAAATAAGACCAACAATACCCATCAGACAAACGAGGAAGCACCAGGCAAGCTCGTAGAAAGGCTTGTTTCTTACGCCTGTGAGTTTAAGATAAAGGATGACAGGAAACAAGAAGATGAGTGTGCAGTTGGCAAAGGCACCAATCAATGACATTAATGCGCCAAAGTAAGGAACAACACAGGCAATAACAGTGACTCCAACCATGGTAACGATACGAAGAACAGCACGAATAAGGAGTTCCTTGACCTTGCCATGTCGCTCAACGGTAATATTGAACATTTCCTCAATGTCCAAGGAGAACGAGGTCATCAAAAGCGGGGCACTGACTAAAACGCTCAAGGTAATCATGACGATACCAGTGATCTTGGGAACACCGTCAGGGATAGAATTGTAGATGGGACTTTCAGCTTCATCGCCATATACCAAATAACCAGAAATAGCTATAATGTAATACATGGCAGCACAAGTAGCGAGACCAGCAGCGACTACTTTGTTCCAGTCTTTGGGCCTCTTCATGGAGGCTTCCACGTGAGGATAAATAACATTGCCGCCTAGATATCATACACAATGTTAGTATCAAGCTAGACTTTTATATGTGTACAAGCCTACCAAATGAAAAGGAAATGGTACTCAAGGCAATGGGGAACATTTCCCAAATAACAACATCGTGGTGAACATTAATTTGATTAGGCTTGTCAATGGCACACATGATGAGGACAATAAAGACAACAACAACGATAGTAACCACACCAAAGGCACTCATCCAGGCAACTTCTTTCATAGTCTTGACAAGGGCATATGGAATAGCCAGAGAAGCAGCACAGATGATGGTCCATGTTGTGGCACCGAGTTCAGCAGGCGTACCAGCTGCCAAAGCATTGATGTTGCTTCCGCAGAGCACAAGATATAGCACAGGTACACCGAGCATGATCCATGTGTTGAAGAAGAATGTAACCCATCCGCCAATAGCACCAAATGCTGTGGTAGCAATAGCTTTGTATGTCGCGAGGCGGCCCTTGTCGGTAGCATACAAGCAGCGGATCAGAATAGAGGCAGTGTAGGTGGACATGGTCCAAGACAGAAACAGAATGAGCAAGCCAATCCAGCCACCTTGACGCAATGCCATGGGAAGACCAAGAATACCAGTTCCAGCTACAACACACACAACATTAAAATAAGTCATCAGAGATGAAGCGCCATGTGTTCTGTCAATGTTATTGAAGAAGTTGTTGCTCTCAAACTCAACGTCTGATCGGGATCATGTCAGTATCATTAGGCTATTATAAACACAGTCTCTGGCATTTGAGCGGTACCTGTGCTTGAGATGGAGTTGCTTGAAGTGGCCAATTCCTTAAGCCCAACGTCGGCAGTTTTTTCGTTTAATGACATGTTGTAGGAAATTAAAGAGTAGATAGATAGAAATACCGTCCACTTTCTATTCTCTTTTTATACTAAATATCGAATAGACATCCAGTTTTCTATCATAACGCTGTTTTCTTTTCAAGAACTGTCAGAAGCATTTCATGGCTGTTTTGAATTAACGCACAGGGTGAATTCTCATGCGGAGTTGAGGCAAAACATCTATTCCTTCCATGGTTTATGTTTTGATATGATGAGATGCATTGTAATACACACTATGAATGGGCTGCTGAACTCGACTGACATTGCAGCATGTGATCAAATCGGCTGAAAAAGGCATATTTGAATCTTAAATCCATCTGTATCAATTCCTCGTGAAACAAAAAAAAAATCGACAGAATATGGAGAATCGAAATAAAGAAGCTAATGATTTATTTTAATGTGAATATATCGTACATCTCGTTGAAACGCAATAGTAGCTCGTTTTTTTTATATATCTTTTATTCCCAGAGGCAGACATCTACTTTCATGTAATGATAAAAGAGGCAAATAGTGATCTAATGCTTTATAGCCTGTACATGACGCATCAAAAATCAGGCTCTTATGTTGAGACTTTGGTCAGGATCACAGTTTTTATGCTGCGTTTTCTCTATCAAAGTCGTCCTGAAGAATCATATCGTCCGCAATTGATATTATCTACTATCAATTGCGGCAAATCAAGTACGCCGATTCGTCCTTACATCGCAAGTTCACCAACTTAAAAAACAAATTGATTTGACAATCGATTGCTCGTTAGAGGTCATTTGACTGTACGTATATCTCACTTACTTCATGACTACAGCCATGGAAATCAAGAATACAAGGATTACCGAGTTTGTGGATGCACAGATTATAGTTTCTGATCTCAAAAGTGAACGCGTTTCAAACCTTGCGACATAAAATTGGATTCGTATTAAAATAGTATTGTATGTACTATAATGATTGTGGTATATATGTACAGATATAAGGAAGAAAATAAGAGTCTACATCTAAATTTAACTAAAGTCAATAATCAGCTGCTTGATGGCTTCCATTGTACCAAAAATAAGACCAACGAGACCAAGAAGGACAACGAGAGCACACCAAGCAAGCTCGTAGATTGGCTTGTTGCGAATACCGGTAAGCTTGAGATAGAATGCAACGGGGAAGATGAAAATCAAGGTACAATTGCCAAAAGCACCAATCAGACTCATCAAGGTACCGAAATGGGGCACTATACAGGCAACAACACAGATAACAGCCATGAGAGCAATACGGAGAGTAGCGCGAATCAAGAATTCCTTGATTTTGCCAAAACGCTCGACAGAAATGTTGCACATTTCTTCAACATCGAGCGAGAAAGACATGGTGTAAATGGGAGCTGAGGTCAGCACATTGATGGTGATCACAACGATGGCCACAGTTCTGCCAGCGTTATTGGGTAATGAGTTGTAAATAGGATTCATGACGTTAGTACCATAGACGAAATAACCACAAACAGCGACAACCATGTAAAGAGCAGCACAGGTAGAAAGGCCACCAGCAACTACCTTGGCCCAGCTCTGAGGTTTCTTCATTGATGATTCAATATGAGGATAGACAACATTGCCACCTAAATTTCATACAAGACGTCAGTATCATCCAAATTTTGCTTCTGCAAGTACGCAAACTTACCAAATGAGAAAGCAATAGTACTAAGTGCAATCGGGAACATATCCCAGATGACTACATCATGATGAGCATTCACTTGATTAGGCTTGTCGATAGCTGACATGATTAAAACGACAAGAACGGTGACGACAATGGCGACAAGACCCAAAGCACTAATCCACGCAACATCTTTCATGTTTTTGACGAGAATGAAAGGAATAGCAACAATAACGCAAGAGATGATAATCCAGGGAGTGTCGCCAAGTTCACCAGCTGTACCTTGGCAGAGCTAAAAACGCCATGTATTTAGTAAGATTGCTGTTTACATGGTACAAATGTCGTCTTTTTCTATCTAACCTGGTTGATATTTTGACCAGAAAGCACAAGATACAGGACGGGACCACCAAGCAAGATCCAAGCGTTAAAGAAGAAGGTGACCCAGCCACCTACAGTTCCAAAAGCGGCGGTAGCGACATCTTTGTATGTTGCAAGTCTCTTGACTTCACCTCCTCCAGCATATAAACATTTGACCAACAAATTGGCCGTGTAGATTGACATGGACCACGCCAAGAACAAGATCACTAGACCAATCCAGCCACCTTGTCTCAGGGCCATGGGTAAGCCAAGGACACCAGTACCAGCTACGACACAAACAACATTACAGTAACTCATAAAGGCTGAGGCACCATTTGATCTGTCAATATCTCCAAAATTTTTCTCACTGGCAACTTCAGAGTCAAAGTCTATAACAAGTAATCAGGATCAATGTGCTGCTTTGTGTGTGCTTTTTGTGTGTGAGGCATACCATTTGATGTAACACTGACTCTTTTACTTTCAATAGCCACCAGATCATTGGTTTTTTCGTTGTTCATAGTAGAAGGACGTGTTGATTTGAATATATAAAACGAATCAAAAAATTTTTAAGTGATGATTCAAAATGGACCCTTATTTAAATCAAATTTTTCATCATGGCGGGATGTGTATCTTGAATGAAACTAGTTTTCTTTTCATTCTATTTTTTGTTCCTCACTCTTCCGTTTTTTCTGCTATTGCGAAATAACGCAATTCAGAGATGCTTGCTTATCATTTGATAAACTTTCATTTTCTAAACAAGCTTTATATTTTATATGGAAAATATCGAAAAACTGAGAATCACACCTTGATTTCACTGATCCCTTTGTATGGAATCGGTATTTGGATTTTTGCATGTATGCAATTGAAATTGACATTTCCAGGTAATAGCAATATTTTATAAACGTCAATTGCCATATTTACCAGATGACGCCAGATTAAGTTTTTACACATACTTTCGCACGCAACACAATCAAGCCATATGTTACTGAATTACCTTTTTAAGTTTGATTACAGAAATCAGTGTCGCATGACCATAGAAAACAGTTTATGGAACTGGTTTTTGGATCTGGTAGGGTTGAAGCACCGATATTCTGTATTTTGTAACCATGGTTTCACAATTGGCTTTTTCTTGTAACAGTAAAACTTTTTTTCTATGAAGAAATTAAGCATTGATTCAAATGACAAGTAATTAGATAGAGTTTCAACAGATTTTAATTGTGTAAATGCCTATTTTGCTATCAAATGAGTGGATACATCAAGTTGCTACTTTGTAAGAGCAAAAACTCCGGCGACATCCCGAAAGAAGAGGGGTCCATCGTTCTTGAGGTTCTTCTCATCTACTAATTGGTGTATATACGCAAGCAGTCGAGAATGGGAATAGCACGTTATATTACTCTATGTTGATTTAAAATAGTCGAAATTGACCTGGATGACATGAAATAAGCTTCTATGCAGATAGCAAGTAAAAGAAAGTAGATGTTTACGATACGTGATCATTTTGTAGCACTGAGATTGTGCCTCTGGTTCTCCGGATTTTACCCTGGTAGTAGGATACAGACAGAGCAGCGGGAATTTGAGGAATGAGCAAGTCAGTAATCATTCTAAATGTTCCTTGCTTTTGTAATTTTTGAATGAATGCCCTCATCAAGCTAAGATATCATTGGACTAATAATGATGTTTCTTATAGTGAATAATGCTAAATGGATACAAAGTTTATGGAAATTACCTTTTACACTCGTGGCTCAAAAGTCTAAAGAAATGCAAGTTGGCATGCAATTCCTTTTATCCTTGACAGACCAAACAAATTTTGTACGCCTTTGACCAAATTTGGATTGCAACAGCCATGCGATCAAAAAGATAAGTTTCTTTATAAATTTGGAACACACATTTGACAGTAAGTTGCTGATACGATATGAGATATCCGCAATATAGCACAATAGTAAATGCTACACAGTGAACGAACCTCAGATCATCAACTTTATGGTATCTTTGTTGGCGCTCACACTCAAAGTATCAACTATTGAATAGGGTGGACAATTTTGCAGTTCGCTTTGAGATTTACATCTGGAGAAGCATTTCGCAACAAATATGTCCATCATATATGAGATTGCATAACAAACGTAAAATAAAGCAGCCAGATTAAGCTATAGTACTCTTCAGTTCGTAATTCCTTCCTCATAAGCCTTTCAAAGTATCAAATGCTTCCATGATATAAAAGGCATAAGCGTAACTAGCAGCCTGCCGCTTAAAAATATTCAATGATCGCCAACGATTCTGTTTTGATTTGCTAGATTGAGAACTTTTTGAACATGATTCGACCTATTTTGTCAGATTCGACTATGTAAATTGTAATAACAATCCCATGCTTCCTAATACTTTAAATAAAACCTGGAGCTCGTCTCCCCTACAAAAAAAAAAAAAAAAAAAAAGCTTCCTAATGCAGCCCCTGGTGGTAGGGCGAAGTGGTAAAACTCCCGTATGCCAACGGGAGGATCCCGGTTCAAATCCTGGTGAACGCAAGTTGTTTGATTTTTGACCTAGTACTGATGTCCTCGTTTGGTGTTTTGTATTCTTATCCATTATCTATTTTTGACGATTTCCGCAAGATTGCATTGGCTCTAGGTTTCGCACCTTATTAGTAGTAGATTTCTTTCCCAACTTAGTTCAAAATATCTTATTCCCCTTCATTGCAGACATTGGGTCCACCAACAGTCTTTTCTTTCCCTCAGCATGACATTTTAAGGACTTTAAATAAAACCTGGAGCTCGACTTCCCTACAAAAAAAAATGCTTCCTAATGCATTCTTGGAGTACTTTTGAAGGCGCATCCAATGGTACCAAGTAAAATAGATGTTTTGAATAAACTTATTGAGTAATTTACGAAAATACGAAAAGAAATTTTTGGCCAAAAAGTCGGAATTTTACATATCAAAGTCCCGCAAAGATGATTTCAGGAGTTGCGTTGGATCGATAGGAACATTTTGATTCAAGATATACCATAGTAAAAGCCTTCATTATCAAGGTGAAAAACGCGATCGTTTGATTTTAGACAAAAACTATGAGGTATATCCCTCATGGTTTTGAGTCGATTTTTGATGATATTTTTTTGATCCCAAAAAAATGGAGCAAAGGTGTCAGCAAGTAAATGCTAGTTCAAGGCAATCGTTTGATACTACTCTGGCAGTCTAAAACTGTCTCTAACACGAGATAACACGGATCAAAAACATCCAAAATTCGCTGCGTTTTGCATATATGAGAGTAGCAAAGACGATGCTAGTGTGCTATACACTTGGATATGGGTTGTTTCCATTGATACAGACGTGGTGTATTCTACAAGAGTCAGAGATATGGTTACAGATCGTTTATGGAGAGTTTTTATACGACAGTGAAAGGTGAGGAGTGCTAGTGCATATTAATAGGACATGCATCCACCTAACCCTGATTCTCGTTTCAGATTCCAACATAATTCAATATTTGGAAGGGCGCCGATATGAACGGTTCACATGTGTTTGATGCTTGAACCACATCAGAGAGAAGGTTCTGACCTAAAAGGCCAATCTAAACCATACATTTGCTTTGCAAGCAAAAGCTATAATGCAAACCCTCATCGCATTCCATAGACAAGAAACAAGCCTTCGCGGATCTCGTTTTAGTAAGACCACATTAATGTGTTCAGCGTACCCTCTAATATCGTGATTTGACACGCTGGTTGAAGCATATTTGCCACAAACAATAATACCATGCATATAAAACAATGCGGATCAAAGATTAGATCAATCCATTTCATTGTGCAAGCGTCCATAATATCTAATTTGCCCAATTAATGTACAAGAATTGAATTGCATTTATATTAAATTGTATTAAAATTCACATGTAGTTTACTATTCAGTACATTTTTTGGTGATTTGTGTGGCACTAGACTCTGATGAGCCATTGTAGTGCGGTGTTTTTTTTTTTTTTGCAACAAGAATACAAATCTCGACTGAATGGTTTATATACATATTCCCATCTCACATATTCACACACACACACACACAAACACGCATGCACATGAACGGCAAGGATAGGTAGGCTATCTTTTTTTAGATGTATCACAAGTCAATTATCGTAAAGGCTTATTTTATACTGTAAGGAGAACAGTATAAAAGGTGTAGTGGAGGGGGGAATCACAGCATATTGTGGGGCCGGGGTTAATTTACAATTTTGGTGTAATCGTAGCTGCCTTTTTTTTTTTTTTTTTTTTTTTTTTTTTTTCACATTAATGTGTGATTTTAAATCAACCTTCTTTTTCCTCTTCTTTCTTTTCTTTTACCTTTTTCTGTCTATTTCAGCAAAGGGAGTATATTTGTACTCTTCTTTTTTTTTTCTTCTTCTTGTTGTTGTTGTTGTTGTTGTTGTTCTCTTTCTTACTTTATTCCCTTATTGCTTCTCTCTCATTCTATATTATACACAACAGCCATAACAGCAAGCCAGAAAAATGCCCTCCAATATGCAAATGCAATCCATCTCGGGCATCATTACTCAGATTCATGTCACTATGGAAGAAGTGCCACCTGCGTTAGTCGGTGCATCAGTAAATGTCATTGACGATAAAGTTTATGTATTTGCGGGACGATTAGCCACATCTCGAAAAATGACAAACTATCTCTACATACTTGATCTCAATACGCTTTGCTGGACTCGTCATATTCCCCCACCCGATTCAGATAGTCCACCCAAAGCACGGTATTTCCACTCGACCAGCGTATACAAGAACCAATTAATTATATTTGGCGGTATGGGACATTCGAGGATATCCAGCGAAGGATTATGCGTATTGGACGATGTAGCTGTTCTCGACATTGAAACCATGTGTTGGAGAAAACAATCCATTCAGCCTTCGTTGTATTCGCCACAAGCAAGATACGCCCATCTATCATCGGTTGCAGAGGACAAGTTGCTGATTGTCGGCGGCCAGGATTTGGATAACAACTATCTGGATGAAATGAATGTGCTGAATCTCAAGACATGGGAATGGGAACAAGTAAAGGCGTTTGAGAAACATGTGGGTGCTTACAGATCCATTGCTGTCACTGCTCCACCCGGTACTCGGTTTCCATCATCAACTTCCATGAAGCAACAACACGATGACATGACAGACGAGCATCCAGTCAGTACCAACGAATCAAACAACACAACATCTGACGATGTGCGGGCAACTTCTCTTCGACAATTCAGCACAACCACACTTCAATCAATAGGTGATGAAGCAAGCCCTGTCTATCTCTATACCAATTACAACTTTGCGGATGTTAAACGAGAGCTGCAAGTGATATTCACCAACAATAGCCCCAACAGCTCAGCAGCAGCGAGTACCACTTCACCACCACCACCACCACCACCACAGCACCCATCGAGCACCATTGTAGAGGATTGCTCGCATTACATGAATGGATCCATAATGCCCCCTGGGCTACGATTCCCCACAGGTCACACCCTCGGTAATCATCTGATTTTAGCAGGTACCTATTTATCGCCTCAGACACAATCTTATACTATTTGGGCTCTTGATCTCGGTAAGCTCACTTGGTCACGTATCGAGACAGGCACTGTATTCAACACAGGATCATGGAACCGTGGCGCACTTCACACAAGATCAAACCGATTCCTCGTGTTTGGTAACTCAAATAGAAGCCTGCTGGACGACTACAATCACCGACAAGTCAATTTTGATCACATCGCCATGGTGGATTTGGAAGCATTTGGAGTGTATTCGTTGCCTAAAGCAACCTGTTCCTCATTGGCTCAGGAGATGGGGCTACGACTTTTAAATGAACCTGCTGTTTCTGATTTTCACATCATTACTCAAGATAATCAGAGTATTCCCGTCAATTCGGCCGTACTATGTCAACGATGGCCTTATTTTAGCAATTTAATGAAGAACAATCACCAGGTTGTCAGCCAGTCAACTTCTAAACGCTCTTCACAACATGTACAGCAGCCTGTAGCGGTGGAGGAAGAAGAGGAAGAGGAAGAAAAGGAGCAGGAGGACAAGAAAGAGGAGGGTCACAGACAAGAGGAGGTGGAGATCAAAGAACATGAACACAATGATGATGAGAAAAAGGAGACATTGGAGTCGTCCATCGTATCAGCTACAGCAGCACCAGCATCCAACACACCTTCACTTTCACTCATCAAGGACATCAATGACACACCGATTGATCTACCCAGCGATAAAAACGAGGAGATGGGAGAGGGAAACGCTACAAAAGCTCAAAAAGAAGAAACGACAGTAGATCAAGAAGGCTCCATTACACTGATCAAAAGCCATTACATGTCATTCCCATACCCTCATGCAGTCGTCATTGCTCTGCTACAGTACATCTACACTGACAACCTACTCACTGCACAGCAATATCAGCCTCACATCCTGTCTCAGTTGTTATTACTATCCGATATGTATGATATCCCGCGTCTACGAGAACTCTCAACACATGCACTCCATCAGATGCTTAATATGTCGACTGCCCCTTTGATTTTTGAAACAGCTGCTCTCTCTCATCAAACAAGTCTACAAATTCGTGCACTCAAGATGATGATTGCAGCGAAAAAGATGATCCAACAGCAACAGCAAATGCAACAGCAACAGCAAATGCAACAGCAACAACTACAGCACAGCAGCTCCATCAGATCAAGAACGGTGTCCACACCTGCTGTCGTTGCAGCCTCCAATTTGATGGATCCACCGGTGCCTATATCACCTACAACCTCATTATCCTCCTCTAGTTACAACAACACGAGCAATGCCACAGCTGAAAATCTGATGGCATCAGCAACGACATCACCCTCTGCCACTAGATTATCCAATTACGACACATTTGCAAGCAATACAGCATCTCCTACATTGCAATCCTTCAGATCAAGAAAGCCATCGCTCAGCAGTAACCGATCCACAGCCCCATCTGCTTATTCACCACAGCAGTTACAACAGAGATCATCTACTTTGAGCGGAATGTATTCGCCGTCTCGAAATGCATATAGCCCACCTGCTACCCCACGCCAACAGAGATCGTATCCCACATCGGAATTGGATTTAAATACTTCAAGTCCCAGAAGATCCTCCAGTCCACCTCCAAAACAGCCACAGGCCAAAGAGAAAAAGAAGAAGAAGGCCTTTCTGGAGGCATTTGGCAAATTCTCATCATCCATTTCATTTCAAAACAGCAACCATACTAATAGCAACAACACTTGAATCATCTTTATATTTACAAAAATAAATCGTACGATAAACTTTAAAAACTTGACATGTTGTGGTACAATGCTTACATCTTACGAGTCCATCATGGACCATCTCACTTCCTTTTTCTTTTTGAGGAACGAAGGCGATGCATTCAGGATCGAGCATTTCTTGACAGAAGGCGGCGTATCTGGCGTTGGTGTTGCTTCGTATTGATTCAGCTTCAACTGCATTTCTTGCAGGCGTTGCTGCATTTCCTGTATCGCCTGTTGCTTTTCTTGCTCCACTTGAATCACCTTTTGCTTGAGTTCTTCAATTTCCTTGTTCTTCCGCTCCAACTGGTTCATCTTGGACTGTAGCTGTGTCTGCAGTGTGAGGTACATGTCGCCATCGTCTTGCATGTTGGGATGTGAAAAGAGCTCAAACTCAAGCAATTGATGTGCTGAGGGTCGATGGTCGGGTTTGTGATCCATCATCCAGAGGATCAGAGCAGACACTTTGGGATACATCTCCAGGAACCCATTAGGAAATATACCACGTTTCAGCTTGTCCAGTGAGTCAGCTCTTTCCATGCCTGTTGTGAATGGCTGGAATAGCTCAAACAAGATGATACCTAAAGAATAGATATCTACTTTTTCGTCATAAGCTTGTGCTGGGACCGCTAATTGTTCCGGTGATGCATACTGTAACAGGGTCAGTATTCAGTATATCGGCGTGATGCGCAAAAAACTTACGGTGCGAGTGCCAACGCCTACTGTGCGAGTACGCTTGGGCTTGGGCCTCTTGGGTCGCTGCTTCAAGTGTTGCTCTAGCAGGCTATTGTTGCTGGCGGTAGTCGCATCGGAGCATGGCCCTAGCCTTGGACTAGGCGGCGTAGAGGACATGGGAGTAGGCACAAGCACTGTATCGCCTGTAGCTTCATCCATCGCCTCAGCAGCCAAACCAAAATCGCCAATCTTGGGTACCCAGCACTCCTCCCACATGTTGATATTGCAATCATTGGGTATGCTGTGCGTGGAAGAACTGGCCGTTGTTGATGAAGACTCGAGACATCCACCTGCACTGCTTGCTCTTCGTCGTCTTCGCTTTCCATCAATGTCACTAAAATAGGCAGACGTGCTAGGCATGCTCAGAAAGATGTTGCTTGGTTTGAGGTCACGGTGAATCAGGCCTTGATCGTGGATATAAGCAGTGCCTTCCAGGATTTGTGCAAATATTTCAATGTTTCTGCGTGTGTCCACAATATCCACATCTGCTTCTTCTGAATACTGCTTGTTACGAAATCGAATATAATCATGCAAAGTAGCTGTTTTCAATTGGATTTAGTACATTTACGGTCTAATTCGTGTAACAAACGAAAAAGCTTACTTGGGCATAATTGCATTTGAATAAATAAAGTCCAGCCGCTTGACTTTTTGATGGATTTGCTGTTGCTGCTAGGTTTCGGTGATAACTGCTGCTGCTGCTGCTGTCTAGAGGATTGCGATCTAGTAGTATTGGACCATGAACTGTTGGATTCTGCACCACCAAAATCACTGGTTGAGCCTTCGCCAAACTGGATATGCGACATACCACTTTCATCGTCGTCATGGCAACGGCCAAATGAAGAAGCACTCAGATCACTAAATGTAGGATCTCTTCCTCTGAATATGCTGTTGCTGCTTTCATTTGATAGCGATCTTCTGCCCAAGTAAGGTCTAGACGTGTCATCTTCCCAATCAGAGCCATCCGTGGCCAAGGAATCATCATTGGTCGAATCATCGTATTCCAGCCAAGAGGAGTAATAACGAATGACATTTTGGTGCTCCAATCTTGCCAGGTTTTTAATTTCTCTGAATATCTTTTCATAGGGGTTCTCCTTGTTTTGGTCGCTCTCTTCAATATCGCTGCCTAGTCGAATCTTTTTCACCGCATAGTCAATATCGTCCAGTTTATTGCGAGCTCGGAAAGCGCTTGCGAAGCCTCCTTTGCCTAGCAGATTGATTTCTACAAAGTCGTTGTTGTAGCGAGAGTTTTGCACGCTGAGATTACCAAAGAAATCACCACCACCATGGCCACTGTTGCTGGTATTGTTGGATATAAACGAGTGAAAACTGGATGCTGTGGCCGCAGAATTGCTCATTTTGGAGATGGAGTGACTCAGCATTGTGTCATCGATGGAAGGCGATAATTGCTGATATGCGATCGAAGCAGAAGCAGAGGATGCACTATGACGAGAAAAGTAGTCGTTTTCTTGTTGTTGTTGTTGTTGTTGTTGTTGTTGTTGTTGTCGAGCTGCAGAACGGCTACTACGCATTGCCAAAGATGATGACGATGAGGATGACAGAGTGGAAGAAGAAGGTTCTGGACTCGAACTCGTTGACGATGACAGTGATGAATCAGTTTGAACAGGTGCAGATTTAATCAGCATGACAGGCAAATTATCGTCAAAGCGCACCAAATCCTGATTTCTTACTGTTTGTACAGCAGTGTAAAAGAGTTTATGAAAGGCTTGTTGAAATGCGGAACGAACGCTTGTCATTTCATCTACAAATTCAGCGTCAATGATGCCCAGTGAACGTAAAGTTTGGCAAATAAGGAAGAAGACTTTTCGATTAGCATCAGGTGTGTCTCCGTAGGCTCTGCAGAAATGTTCAATCAGTGAGGCTAGCAGCATCTTGGTTTGGTATCGCTTTGTCGAGCTGTTGGGCGGTTGATTGAAGAGACTGACATCACTGCTATTGGCGTGGTGAGGTGTGGTGGTGTTGGTGATATTTGGTGCTACTACTGGATGAACGTCAGTGTCTACCGTGGCAGACGTGGATGGATCTTGAATGGTATATTCGTAGCTGGTTGCTGTGGTTTCAGATACATCATCTACAGAGACATTGAGGCATTGTGGCTGTTGTGTATGAATGCCGCTGAACTTACCTTCCTGCTCAACTGACAACATGGTGGCATGGCTCTTTTGCATATTACTGCCTGAAGAATCATCGTCCGTACTTGTATCATCTACTGTTGACCTCGCCCAAAACTTATTGACATGATTCTCTCTGGATGATGAATGGTTGGTGCGTAATGTCATGTTGAGTGGAATGATGATGGAAAGAAGATTTCACTAAAAAAAAAAATCAAGACATGGATTTTTTTTTTTTTTTTTTTTTTTCGTTTTGCACCACACAGCAGTTCTCACAGCTGTAATTGGGTGGAACATTCAAGAATACAGCTAAAGAGCGATGCCATTTCGATGTCATACAAACCATTCCTAAATCAATCCGTAGCACAAGAAATGGAAAAGTGCTGATGGAAGCCAAAATAATGATCGCATTCAGCTGGTTTGCTTATATAATATCATCTTGAGCAAGTGCACCCCTCATTAAGAAGCGCCAGCAAATCTCGATGCGATGTCGGGTTTCTCAGTGTGGCCATGTTGATCCAAAGACGTATGCAAGTTTGTTTGAATATACAACTGGAAAATCAAGAAATGTGAAGTATTTATTAAAAAAGTTATGATACAGAAAAAGAATTACGGCGCTGGCTGCCTCTGTGAGCTGGCATTGAGCGTATTATTGGTTTGTTCAGGACGTGTAGTAAGAGGAGGTGTGGCATTGGCATCGAAAAAAGGAGTATGTAAAGTGGGAGAAGAGGGGCTATCTATTTCGAAATAATCATAAGATTTGTAACTAGCAGATCTTTTGGGAATGGTGTTGCTGTGATGCATGTCGTTGTTGCATGAGTTGGATGAATGAATGCTATAGTTGTTGTATGAATTCAGGCTGAGTGATCGGCGTACGTTCTCCCTGATCTTTTCCATGGTCATTTGCAAATTGGTGGTGTTGGTCTGACTAGCATCCATCATGGTAGTCGGCAGTGATGAGTCCATTTGTAGTAGCTGGTCTAGGCTTTCTTGAGGCGCAGGGGATATACAGACCAACGGAAAGGCACCTTTTTTGCCTGTTGTCACGTTGTAGCCCAATGCCCAACCATCATCAAAGTACAACGCTAAACAGACGATATCACCAGCATTGAGTTCCAATTCGTCAGGCAATTGTGGCGGATAGGCATGGACCACCACAAAGAACTCTTCATTAAGGTGTGTGTTGTTGTTTTCAAGGCTTGGCCTCAATGGAGCAGGTATATTGGTAAATGTGTATTCATTCGTGATCTCCATTTTATCATTCATGAAGGGCGAGTCGATCTTGTTCAATGTAGATGTATTGACCATCACACCGCCATTGAGTGTGCCCGTGAGTGTGGATGCTGCTGTTGTTGTGAATCGTTGTTGGTGCTGTGATAAGGGTGGCGGTGGCGGTGGAGGCTGCTGCTGCTGCTGCTGCTGCTGCTGCTGCTGGGCTGTGAGTGTCGCTGACGTGCTTGTGGATGGTAAAAAGTGCGTGAAGGGATTGACGTGCTTATGGTGTCTCTTTCTGCAGTAGTACCAAATGGCTCCAAATACGATCAATGCTGCACCCACCAGACTACCAATAACAATGCCGACGATGGCGCCAGCAGACAGAGACGAGCTGCAGTACGTTACTTGTTGACAGCACTCGTCATTGGTGTGCGTTTGACAATAAGCGCAGGCTACACTAGTGTTATTACCAAACCCTAATATAAACAGTGTTAATTACCAGATGCTATTGTTAATTACTCGTTCATAATTACCACACGAATAAGGTTCATTTGCTATACCAGATATGCAATTTTCGGCAATGGTCCCGTTATAACCCTCCCATGTATTGCACTGATCAGTGAACGAGGCCAGTGATGCATTTCTCTGTATTGAATCTGAACACACACGAGGGTTCTGAGTGATGCGAGTGATGCTGTCGACCCATTCATAGCAGGTGGATTGACACAGAGGGGGCGGTATCAGTCCATTATCGAAATTGCATGGCAACGAGTAGCTTGGATCTTGTATCATGCCAACGCATAGTCTCGTCAGGGAATACCGAGCATACGGAATAGTTGGGTTATAGTTAGAACTGAGACATCCTAATGGAAACAAGTAATCACTTGTTGAATTGACATATTCGAGCAATCGTTCATCAAACTCTTCAATAGTGGTTGTATTGATCAAGAAGGGGTAATCGTACGCAAGTCCCGGCAATCCAACGTAGAACTGAGAAAATGCTGAGCAAGTTTTCGAGGTGGCTAAAGAAACGCAGGTGTTTTCAGCATCTTTAGCACTCGCCCCTGCTAAAAATATTGATATAAGTGTAATTAATAGCATGAAGAAGTCTGCATGACTCTACTCTTTCTATTCTTGGTTTTACAAAAAGAAAGAGAGAAAGAAAAGAGATGAAAGGGAAAAAAAGAAGCGAGATAAGCGAGGGAGAGCGAAAAAAAGAAAGAAATCTATAGAAACAGTGCTTTATACACTTATTACTCACACTTAAGTCAGGTAATACATAGTGAGGTTTTGACACTGAGTTTATAAATTGAAGCCACCATCACCATCATCAAACCTTGAAACCTAGATCAAAGGGAATGTTGTGCTGTTTGCCAAGCGTTTTTCAGGTTCCATCCTCCATGTTGGTCAGAGATGCTCAACAATTGAAAGTGGGTAGTGAATGGGACAAGGCCCTATGAAATTAAATTCGCATTTTGGTTTTATGTCTCGCTCAGTTACACACTCATGTGCACCCATACAACAAAAAAGATGTGTGTGTTGGTGTATCACAATAGCGAGGTTTCATATGATGCTTGTGGTGTTGCTGCATGGAGCAACTGGCTTCTAGGCATGATCTTCTGCCGGCCAACGCCGACTAGCTTCTCTTTCGAAACCCCATCAATGCTATAATCTCTAAGCAGACACATCCGGATAGTCGTGATTTTCTAAACTAAACTACAATTTTTCCAGAATACTTTTTTACAAGATGGTCTGAGCGTAAACCATGGCCCATTAGAATACAACCAGGATGAGAAATCATGAATCAAATGTACAAAAAAAAAAAAAAAAAAAAAACAGTGGTAAGCCGAGGCAGAGTCAGACCAAGGGATTTGAGGGCATGGATGAGTATCAAATGGACACAGCATCTTAACGAGATACAAGCGTGTTCATTTTTGCAACTTCTTGTCATATCTAGCAACTTGTATCAATCACATGCAAATGCTGGTTTAATAATAGTATATACGATAGATCGGCTCATGGAGGGTTTCAGTTGCATTTTATTTCACGCCATATTCATATTGTTGCTTGTCTGGTGCCTTATACAAATATCACATTGAAAACAAACAAACAAACGAGGGTCAATTTATATGCTAGAATTCTGTAAAGAATATGTTTATTCTACTACTGTTTTCATTAATTATAAATAGGAGATTATATAACATTAGATGTATCAACCACAACGGAATGGGTTTCCGATGGACTTCCACCCACAACAATGGCAGCAACAACAAAGCCAGCCTGAACCACCACCAGCAAATCCTTATCATCATCATCATCATCTTGGACAATCCAACAAATCGTTATTATTCAATCATCAGTCATCAGAGATGGCAGCCAGCTCAACATCAGATCAGTCATCTACAGAAGATATCTCATCTAAAAGAAAGCAAAGTTTAGAACGAAACCGTCTTGCTGGTAAGCTGCTTTACTGTCTAGTTTGTGGTTGCTTCTCGTTCATCACCATCATTGCTCGATAGCTTACCGCTGCAGAGAGAGAAAGAAGCATGAGCAGCAACAGATGATTGAGCAAGCCGATTTTCTTTCAGTACAGAATGAATCACTCAACATAATGGTGGGTAATTTAAGAAATGAAGTGATCGCATTGAGAGAACTGCTCTTGGCTCATGATTCCTGTCACTGTGAAGGCGTTCAAGCTTTCATACGACGCACAAGCTCAACATTGTAATATTCAGAATACTAGTAGAGCATAGCAAAATGGTAACTTTTATCAGTCAGTTGGAACAATGCCATAATACTTACTGCTGTTGCTAGTGTTTTTTCTGTAAACGATCCATGTGCGTGCTGAAGGAATGACACAAAAAAGCCTATTTCCTTATTGATAATATGTACTGGAATAAAAGTAATATTCATAATAATATAAATCAAGTGTCTACGGCATACGCATTTGGCAAAAAACCACTTGATCAATATGCACCACCAAAGTGCAATTGAAGCTTCGGAGGCTACACAGCCATCGATAACTTCAACTATATCAGTATAAAATGTGGCAGTGTCGAATCGTCAAACGTGCAGTCGGTTTAGCCGAAAATTTTAGCCAAATATGCCTAGTTGTAGGTCATCATAGTGTAACAGTAACCTTGTGTCCCATTGTATTGTCAATGCTACCAGGCAAATACCATGCTACAGGCTAGCTGTGCATTGAAATACTTCTAAGCAGATGATCCACCAGATCAGTAGTCAATACACCAAGCACTACACAGCAGTCGATCTAATAGACCTAAGTAGACTTTCGTAAATGGGTTTGTATTGAGTATAGCTAGCCTTGACAAAATGATCAATTACATCCCAACCGATATATTCAAATTCTGTCTTGCATATACCCAGGTTTCATAATTTATCAGTATTTCGATTCGTATGTGTATCAAACTACCGTACAATGAAGCTTCAATTCGGCCATCAGGAACTAAACATGTTTCAATAACGATCTGACAACAGCATTAAAACCCCAGGACGGAATGAATACCAGCGCTCTGGGAACAAGTAAGCATTGCATAAGCATATCTCATGCATGCTAACAGCGCGAGTGAAAATATTTTACTATACAACTGGATAGTCGCGTTTTGCTGACAATCATTTATACAATGTTGTATGTATATAAGGTGGCAGCAATTGTTCCTCTTACATTTGGATCAGCCCTTTGCAACAATAAAATCTATTGACTTTAAAAATAAAGTCAAAGTTTAAGAGATAAGAGTTAGTTATACTAATTGTAAAGCCTATTGATTCACGACCCTCATCTTATTGTGTGCTTTCAGGACATCAAAATGCTTTCATGATATGAAAGGCATTAAATCTGCCACCAGCAAGCAGCCGCCGAAAACTATTGTAATCTCCACCAGTGATTCTGTTATGATTTGATGAATTTCAAACTTCTTGGACATAATTCGACCTATTTTGCCAGTTTTGACTATATAAATTGTGATGATCACCCTAAACTTCCTAATACATTCTTGAAGTACTTTTCAAGGCGCTTCCAATGGTGCTAATTGTAATAGATGTTTTGACTAAAATTACTGAGCAATTTGGTAAAATACGAAATGAGGTTTTCAGCGAAAATAGCTATATTTTGCATAAGAAAACCTCATAAAAGTGGTTTCAGATGTTGCTTTGGATTGAGAGAAACTTTTTGATATGATATATACCATAGCAAAAGTCTTCGTTTTAAGGTGAAAAATGCGATCATTTGATTTTCGATGAAAACTTTTTTTTTTTTTTTTTTGGATGATATTGTTTTATTAGGATAATAATTAGAAATAAAACGAATGCATCAAAGAGATGGACAAGTGTATGCGAGCAAAGTGACTTGCCATATATAAAGCTATTATGATAAATCTAGTAAGAAAGTTGCTTAAGATTTGACAATCTTAACACTTCGGTTCTGATTTGGCGGCTGGTTTGGATTGAATCAAAAGGCACGTGGTTGTAAAGCTGTTGATAATGGTTTCTCCAGATAATACGCATGATGGTGGCAAAGAGGTCAAAGATCGTGATGTGAATATCCAAGTTGTATATGAAATATCGATCCAGTTTGAAGAACGTGATTGATTTGTAGATAAGATGTGGATCTACGGACTTGGGGTAACCAAGGAACTCGTTGAATGAGGAGTCCCATACATCAAGTTTGTGAACACAACTGATCAGGAGATGGTTTTGAGTCGATTTTTGGTGATATTTTTTGGTCCCAAAAAAGTGGAGCAAACATGTCAGGGAGTTACTGCTACTCAAGTAAAATCGTTTGGCGTCATTCTGGTGGCTGAGAACAGCCTACATGTCAAGATATTAAGGCTTAAAAACTGTCAAATTTGGCTGTGTTTTATGCATTTGTTTACCAATAGGCGCGTTTCTGTTATGATAAAAAGGCGTAAAGGCATTGTTTACTTTTGTCCAGCCTTAGAGCATGCTGTAATGTCCAAAATTCAGGTGGAAATACAGTATTTGTTGAGTGACACCGTTGTATGGCTGTATCATAGCACAAAAATACAGCTTATTATTGAGTAGATGATGGCTGTAAGACATGCTGGACATTTTAGACGCATTAGATAATCTGCATCTAGCGATTTTCGACTATACAAAGGGAATTTCTCATGAAAATTATATCAACAAGCAGCTTGTATCTAACAACTTCCAATATGGTTTTTGGCCTCTGATGGGAATTCAATAAGGTTGTATGACAGTTTTTGCAAGCTGGTAAACTTTTCAATGAGGTAGTCCACCAACTCTCTAAATATTCTTGGAAATAGCCATCCATTATGGTCATTTTCAGAACCAACGGCGTGGTTTTTGATAGGCTTGTCTTTGAAGGCATCAACACGCTGCTAACAGATATTTTTAAAACACTATATAATTTGATTGTACAGTATATACATTCAATCATGATAGGTTGATTTACCTTTTATTACGTGATGGCATCTCGAGAAAAAGAAATCGCAAATGAAAGGATGCTTTTGTATCCTGGAGATTTGAGAAAAGCAAAGAGGCTGTAGTTCGAGAATTTGCGGGTCAAAAGAGATTTGTGTCCATATCCAAAAGCTGGTGTGCTAATTAAGTATAAGACGATCTTTTCAACATGGCATCTTCACATAATGATGCTATTTATTTTACTGCTTCTCTTTATAAACGTATGCTTTCCATTTCGAGCTTTGTCATATTCAACAATGCAAAGAAATTCCTTTGCCTGTGTATGATAGGATCGTGTTTGTACCAGCCTATATACGATAAAGTTCCTTCCAATTTTTAATTCATTCGCAGATGTAGACGCGCGCGCGAATATACATATGCTCAATCAAGCATTTACAGTTCCCATCATTTAAAGCGGTCCTGAATGACTCGATTTGCGAAACCTGAAAACTATAAAGCAGCACTCTTTTTTTCACTTCTTTCTCATATAGTCTGTCTCTTTCTTCTACTTGTATTCTACTTTGATTCAAGCTTTGAATTGAGCTTTGAATTGAGCTTTGTGTTAGAGCTAGAAATTAGACATAAATCTTGATAGTTTAAAGATTTTAGTCAAGTTTTTCCTTGAAACAATAAATAAAAGCAGATTTAGTGAAAAACTAAAGCCAAAAGATGATACCGTCTACGATTTGGCAAGTTGTAAGAACGGGTTGATCAATTATATAATTGTGCAAAGGATAGCTATATACACAGAATAAGAAGTATTTAGTACCATCCAAATTTGTGCCGCCTATAAACAAAATATGAGAAAACTACTGCTTCATAGGCAATAGATATAGGTATACAACATAAATTAACGAAAGTTCATAAAAATATTAAAGGATCAAAACAACAAAATTTATTCGAAAAAACGTTACATAATCACGTTGACAACAAAAGATCGACGCTCCGTGTCGTACAAAGGGTTCCGAAGGATAAAATTTGACAGCTCAGGGCAGACTCAGATAGTCTATGCTGTTAGTGGTAAAGGGAGCCAGGAATCCCTTTCCCCATGCTTGAAAAGGCTATCCTAACCCTATCCCCAAAGTCTGCTGTGGTTTCTACCACACCAGAGGCTTCCTGCTGTCTCTCGCAGGACCAACATCTATGAAAACTTCTGTTAGTATTATATACTTCACAATAAGGATCATGTTGAGACTTACCTGCGACAAATGTATATAAAACAGTGGTATATACCAACCAGAAATGAGAGACCAAGATGCCAAGTTGACCAAGAAGAGCTGCTGCAGATAGGTGATGCACCAGTCCGATCAGTATGAAAGCATCACCTTGATATACAAAACCTGATACAAGTAGACTAGCCTCACGGTTGCTATTCCGAGTTTGATTCCAGAGTAATAACGTAACTACAGTATAACTATGCAACGCGTCAAAATACCAAAGTAGGATCTAAACAGTTAAAAATACTCACTGTAAGCAGCATCACAGGTTATCATTGCCGATAATGTACGAACTACCAGTGGATATTGCACGCAACTATAATACTAAATATTAGTTGGTATGTCCTATGTAAGTTCTTCAAAAATAAGGAGACAAGCATACCACAAGAGAATATAAAAAAGTTGGAAGAAGAAAGAAAGAGAGAAAAGAAAAGGATTCATCCTCAATCAAACTGTATCTATTGCTCAGATTATAGAGAAAGGTGATTGAGGATGAGATGAGATTGATCTAAAATCAGACTGTAGGAAGCGGATAAGAGCTTCTTGATAGATATCCCTCTTAGTTCACCTATTGTAACCATACACTATTTTAGGTGGAAAAGGATACATCTTTACCCTTCCCAAATTGTCACCAGTAATATCCGTCAACGCGTACGTATCTCGAATGTCCAAGGTTACATTCCGGCATGTAAAGTCTCTATCGTGGGATTCACTATCTTCCATCAGATATATCAGTAGCAAGCACCGCGGCTTTTAGTAGCTGCAGACAGTATAAACAGCTTATTTGAGTATATACCATGGCAAGTTTTGTTGTTGGCATACGAGTGCTTTTCTCTTTTAAACATACCTAGTGGCATCTAATAAATATCCAATGTTGTGTGCGTCGTCGTATGATGCAACGTATGGCGGAATAAATGAACCGGAAACCCTGTACTAGGAAGTACAGGATGGTGCCACATTGATAGCAATTGCAGCCATGTATAATAGGAAATAAGCTATATTTGATGTCAAATATGTATAACCGTATAGAAATAAACAGGCTAATGGGAACTGTACACAGATGTGAGTACCACAGCTTCGAAAATGCGACCGCTACACATAGTGACCTTGGGATGCTCACCACTCACCAGTCAACTCTCAACTTGCTGATGAAGGTGATCCATTCAAAATAAATAAGGCCAGCAAGAGGTAGCGTGAGGAAACAGGAATGCGTAAATGTGTATAGTATAGATGTCTAGGCTGATGGATGTTTCATCGTACTACTTTATATTCTGGAGATACAGTTTCAAACGAGGTTCAACTCAGTGCTAGTTATTAATTGTAGAACAGTGGATGGTGCAACATATCATGGCTGTATGCGTGATCTAAAAGAAAAGCTTCCCTAAATATGATTAATAAAGAAAAATATTGAGTATGACGATAATGTCTTGACATGCTTTGCGGATTTGGTATGATTCCAGGCTATTGATGGATACTAGACATGTTTATGAGTTATGCTTCCAAGGCTATATGACTGTAGCTTGCTTCGTTCTACTTCATCAAGCTGTTCAATCTAAGGTATGCGTATTCTCCCCGCTTGAAAATGTCATCGCCATCATGTTGATTACCTCACAGACTAAGCTGTGACAGTAACCAAAAATGCCTTGTTCAACATACAGCCAGAGTATATTCAACTTTTGTGAGGCTCTATTTCCTATCTCATGCCAAGTATTGAATGAACAGAACAGTTTCCAATGTCGCGGCTTTCATTTTTAGGCTATCCAACATGGAATTTTGAAATATTGATGCTAGAGCTTTGAAAGTAGCATGTTTCTATGAGAACCTGTTAGTTACAAGTGGTTACGAGTAATAGATCAATGGAAGCAATGTTGGGAAACGCTGTATTGAAAACCGCTTGGTTATAGCTAGCTTCGTTGTGGTTTAGCAAAGAGTTGTTGCTGAGAATAAGAGGATTTTCGAAATGATAGGCTAATTTTGAGTAATGAGCTTCATATGAAAACCTGTTAGTTGCCAGCAATTCCGAGTAATAGATCGATAGATGCGAAGCTGGGAAGCGTTGTAATGTATTCAAACTCGTTAACTGATAACTTGCTTCGTTGTGTGATAAATTCGTAATAAGAAAGTCGATGATAATAATCAGTTGCCAACTCTATCTAAAACGAAAAGCAAAGAACTTCTTTATTACAGGGCATCCAACTAGCTTAAATATGATAGATCCCTGGTCAATGACTACTATGTTGAGATGGTATATAGATAGCAGGCCACTGGGGCCTCATTGATTGCTGGTATAGATTGTTAAGAGCCCACATAAGTCGATATACTTCATGTAGTAGTGTAGGTGGATCTCTACATTTTGATATTGAAGAGGTTGAATCTATTGTAATCCCTAAGACATCCGTGCACACACAATTCACTAGATTTGTAAACATAGATGTGATGTGATACGATAAACATTATCTATGTTGCTATACTGTAGACATGGCTTGAGGAGAAAGCGAATGTAGCCTAAAATGCATGCTTGTATGCAACATTGTGGTTGTTTGGCAAAGGTTTTAAGCCATAATGTGCACCTCACCACGAAAGGCGGACAGCTTTTCCACATCTTGGGTTTATAATAGAGGTTTCATAATGTACAATACAGAACATCTGGGTCATCAGACAGAAGTGCAATTTACTTACTCTTCTGGTAACGCAACCCGCTACGCCGTCGTTTTAGGTCGAATTCTGTGCAAATTTAGTCGTTTTCAAGCACGAATAATTCATGTCACAAAGCGTTTTGAGCGCTTGAAATAGCATCACACGCCTCCTCTTGGCCACGCTTTACTTCTTGATGCTTTATCTCAATTTTTTTTTTTGGTTTGTTGCAAATTCATGAAAATCATCGTTTTTCCATGAGTATTAGCAAGGGAAAATTCTTGAAAATCAAACGATTGCGTTTTTCACGTCAAAAGTGAATACTTTTCCTATGATACATATTAGATCAAATTGATCGTAAAGATGAAATGCAACATTGGAAACTCTTTCTATGAGACTTTTATATGCTAAATTTTGACATATTCACAGAAGACCTGTTTTCATATTTTTGGAAATTGCTCATTATTGTTGGTCTGAAAGCTGAAAGTAATTAGCACCATTTGATGCGGCTTCTTTAGTCCTCTAGAGATGTATTAGAAAGTTGGGTGTGACAATCACAGTTTTCATAGTCAAATTTAGTAAAAACGTTTAAAGAATGTGAGATCAAGTCAAGTTTGAACACGAAAATACCACTGCACAATTTCAAATTAAATTGCCGCAATTACTGCTGCTACAGTACAAGGCTGAGACTAAATCTACTGGTCATGACGTCGGATAGGGTACCCTCTCGTTTTTCCATGCACCCATTTTTTACCCATTTTGCAAAACGCGTTTTAATATCAAACCATGGTGGTTTTGGACATCGTTTGATTGATAATAACACTCTAGCTTCCGATAACTTTGTCTTGTACTGTTGGAAGAACTTGATACTGCTTCTTTAAAGTGGAATATATTAGATACTATTCGATAACGAGCACTGGAAGGCGTAGAATTAACACTAATTCAGTTTGTTTACTAGGTTTTAATAGTTTCTTGCTTATCTGAGTGAATGCTGTTGCCATTACTTCTCTGTCATCTCTGATGTCTGCTTCTTTGGTTTATCATGTCTGGTAATTGCTTCTTTGGCCTTTGTCTGGTCTCTGCTGGTGGCATTCGTTCCTCGGTTTGTTTATGGTGCCGGTGTTACTGCTGCTGCTGCTGGTGGTGGTGGTAATATGGTCTTTCCTGGTCTACTCTCTTTGGTTCATGCTCGTTCTCTGGTCTATCGACGGTGGTGGTAAGTGGTAATTGACTTCTTTGGTCTATGTCTAGTCTCTGCTGGTGGCGGTTGTACTTTGGTTTGTCTATGATGCTGGTGTTACTGCTGCTAATATGGTCTTTCCTGGTCTATTGTCTTTGGTTCATGCTCGTTCTCTGGTGTCGCTCGTTCTTTGGTTTGTCTATGGTGCTGGTGTTACTGTTGCTGCTGCTAATATGGTCTTTCCAGGTCTACTGTCTTTGGTACTTGCTCGTTCTCTGGTCTATCGACGGTGGTGGTAAGTGGTAATTGACTTCTTTGGTCTATGTCTAGTCTCTGCTGGTGGCGTTTGTACTTTGGTTTGTCTATGATGCTGGTGTTACTGCTGCTGCTGCTGCTGCTGCTGCTGCTAATATGGTCTTTCCTGGTCTACTGTGTTTGGTGCATGCTCGTTCTCTGGTGTCGTTCGTTCTTTGGTTTGTCTATGGTGCTGGTGTTACTGTTGCTGCTGCTAATATGGTCTTTCCAGGTCTACTGTCTTTGGTTCATGCTCGCTCTCTGGTCTATATTCGGTGATTGCGTATCCTCTGGTCTATCGACGGTTGTGGTAAGTGGTAAGTATCTTCTTTCTTCTGGTCGCAATGATATAAAACTTCTTTGAACGTTTGTATTGTTGCTTCCTTTCTCATGATAATGCATTCATGATGTTTACTTTGTTACGTTTTTCTTCTTCTTTTGTTGGTTGTGTTGCTTTACATCCAACTATTACCATGCATGTTGCTCATGTATGGATTTTTGTTGCAACAACAACGAGCTGTTCTGAACGTCTTTGATGTTGTGTTTGTTATACTTTTCTTTGACTCACTTTGTGTGAGCATCCCTTTTTTGCCTACGTACTACTATAATACTCCTATAGTAGTATGTTCTTTTCTTCTTTTATTATTATTATGTTTCTTTGAAGCATAACTTTTTTACATTGTGTGGATGTGCCTATCACTGAAGCTCAACAAGACTTTATCCGACACCAGGAGATAGATAGGCTGCCTCCACTTGGTTATCGCTACTTACTTTAGTGATGATTGAGGGTCTCAATGCCAGTATTTAAAGCTAGGTGGTGTAAGTAAGGCATGCTCTAGCACCTGGGGGAAGTTTGATGATAGCGGCGGCTATATTGCTATTATAACGGCGCTTAAAATTTTGCCTCACATCAAAACAGAGGGAAACCCTCGCAAATTTTTTTTTAGGTCAGCGGAGCTTTCAAGCAATCTGATTGGCTAAGAGGCTGAAGCAACGAAGGTCTACAACTACTTGATTTCAGATTGATGTCATGTATTATAACTTTGTGTTTGTAATAAAAGGTTATCTAAATAGATATAATTTAAATTCTTCCTTATTTAAAAGTATAGGATAAGATGTAATCATTTGATTTAGCATTCATTGCATAATAGTTCGACGTGAGGAATGTCCTTTAAATATATTTGTGCAAGGAAAATTATATAATAATACTACTTCAACACAGCGTTTGCGTTGCTGCTACAACAGTATTATTCTGGACAACAACCCATCATCAGACAATCTTTCTAATTGTTGAAAACTATAGTGCAGCATTGTATGCTTTAAGGAGTAGTAGTATACCTTTTCGTCAGACATAAATGCATAATAGGGCTATAGATTTATTCAATTTCACATTCTCCTTGCAGAGAAATTGTTGGTTGTATGAGCCCAATGATGAATCTTTTAGACAGTTACAGTAGTACCATTTGCGGCTTTGATGTTGGAATACTACCTGCGATAGAAAGATACCACCCTAACAAAAGTCGTTTCAATTTCGAGGTTGAGGCCATCCAACATGGAATTTTGAAATATTGATGCTAGAGCTTTGAAAGTAGCATGTTTCTATGAGAACCTGTTAGTTACAAGTGGTTACGAGTAATAGATCAATGGAAGCAATGTTGGGAAACGCTGTATTGAAAACCGCTTGGTTATAGCTAGCTTCGTTGTGGTTTAGCAAAGAGTTGTTGCTGAGAATAAGAGGATTTTCGAAATGATAGGCTAATTTTGAGTAATGAGCTTCATATGAAAACCTGTTAGTTGCCAGCAATTCCGAGTAATAGATCGATAGATGCGAAGCTGGGAAGCGTTGTAATGTATTCAAACTCGTTAACTGATAACTTGCTTCGTTGTGTGATAAATTCGTAATAAGAAAGTCGATGATAATAATCAGTTGCCAACTCTATCTAAAACGAAAAGCAAAGAACTTCTTTATTACAGGGCATCCAACTAGCTTAAATATGATAGATCCCTGGTCAATGACTACTATGTTGAGATGGTATATAGATAGCAGGCCACTGGGGCCTCATTGATTGCTGGTATAGATTGTTAAGAGCCCACATAAGTCGATATACTTCATGTAGTAGTGTAGGTGGATCTCTACATTTTGATATTGAAGAGGTTGAATCTATTGTAATCCCTAAGACATCCGTGCACACACAATTCACTAGATTTGTAAACATAGATGTGATGTGATACGATAAACATTATCTATGTTGCTATACTGTAGACATGGCTTGAGGAGAAAGCGAATGTAGCCTAAAATGCATGCTTGTATGCAACATTGTGGTTGTTTGGCAAAGGTTTTAAGCCATAATGTGCACCTCACCACGAAAGGCGGACAGCTTTTCCACATCTTGGGTTTATAATAGAGGTTTCATAATGTACAATACAGAACATCTGGGTCATCAGACAGAAGTGCAATTTACTTACTCTTCTGGTAACGCAACCCGCTACGCCGTCGTTTTAGGTCGAATTCTGTGCAAATTTAGTCGTTTTCAAGCACGAATAATTCATGTCACAAAGCGTTTTGAGCGCTTGAAATAGCATCACACGCCTCCTCTTGGCCACGCTTTACTTCTTGATGCTTTATCTCAATTTTTTTTTTTTGGTTTGTTGCAAATTCATGAAAATCATCGTTTTTCCATGAGTATTAGCAAGGGAAAATTCTTGAAAATCAAACGATTGCGTTTTTCACGTCAAAAGTGAATACTTTTCCTATGATACATATTAGATCAAATTGATCGTAAAGATGAAATGCAACATTGGAAACTCTTTCTATGAGACTTTTATATGCTAAATTTTGACATATTCACAGAAGACCTGTTTTCATATTTTTGGAAATTGCTCATTATTGTTGGTCTGAAAGCTGAAAGTAATTAGCACCATTTGATGCGGCTTCTTTAGTCCTCTAGAGATGTATTAGAAAGTTGGGTGTGACAATCACAGTTTTCATAGTCAAATTTAGTAAAAACGTTTAAAGAATGTGAGATCAAGTCAAGTTTGAACACGAAAATACCACTGCACAATTTCAAATTAAATTGCCGCAATTACTGCTGCTACAGTACAAGGCTGAGACTAAATCTACTGGTCATGACGTCGGATAGGGTACCCTCTCGTTTTTCCATGCACCCATTTTTTACCCATTTTGCAAAACGCGTTTTAATATCAAACCATGGTGGTTTTGGACATCGTTTGATTGATAATAACACTCTAGCTTCCGATAACTTTGTCTTGTACTGTTGGAAGAACTTGATACTGCTTCTTTAAAGTGGAATATATTAGATACTATTCGATAACGAGCACTGGAAGGCGTAGAATTAACACTAATTCAGTTTGTTTACTAGGTTTTAATAGTTTCTTGCTTATCTGAGTGAATGCTGTTGCCATTACTTCTCTGTCATCTCTGATGTCTGCTTCTTTGGTTTATCATGTCTGGTAATTGCTTCTTTGGCCTTTGTCTGGTCTCTGCTGGTGGCATTCGTTCCTCGGTTTGTTTATGGTGCCGGTGTTACTGCTGCTGCTGCTGGTGGTGGTGGTAATATGGTCTTTCCTGGTCTACTCTCTTTGGTTCATGCTCGTTCTCTGGTCTATCGACGGTGGTGGTAAGTGGTAATTGACTTCTTTGGTCTATGTCTAGTCTCTGCTGGTGGCGGTTGTACTTTGGTTTGTCTATGATGCTGGTGTTACTGCTGCTAATATGGTCTTTCCTGGTCTATTGTCTTTGGTTCATGCTCGTTCTCTGGTGTCGCTCGTTCTTTGGTTTGTCTATGGTGCTGGTGTTACTGTTGCTGCTGCTAATATGGTCTTTCCAGGTCTACTGTCTTTGGTACTTGCTCGTTCTCTGGTCTATCGACGGTGGTGGTAAGTGGTAATTGACTTCTTTGGTCTATGTCTAGTCTCTGCTGGTGGCGTTTGTACTTTGGTTTGTCTATGATGCTGGTGTTACTGCTGCTGCTGCTGCTGCTGCTGCTGCTAATATGGTCTTTCCTGGTCTACTGTGTTTGGTGCATGCTCGTTCTCTGGTGTCGTTCGTTCTTTGGTTTGTCTATGGTGCTGGTGTTACTGTTGCTGCTGCTAATATGGTCTTTCCAGGTCTACTGTCTTTGGTTCATGCTCGCTCTCTGGTCTATATTCGGTGATTGCGTATCCTCTGGTCTATCGACGGTTGTGGTAAGTGGTAAGTATCTTCTTTCTTCTGGTCGCAATGATATAAAACTTCTTTGAACGTTTGTATTGTTGCTTCCTTTCTCATGATAATGCATTCATGATGTTTACTTTGTTACGTTTTTCTTCTTCTTTTGTTGGTTGTGTTGCTTTACATCCAACTATTACCATGCATGTTGCTCATGTATGGATTTTTGTTGCAACAACAACGAGCTGTTCTGAACGTCTTTGATGTTGTGTTTGTTATACTTTTCTTTGACTCACTTTGTGTGAGCATCCCTTTTTTGCCTACGTACTACTATAATACTCCTATAGTAGTATGTTCTTTTCTTCTTTTATTATTATTATGTTTCTTTGAAGCATAACTTTTTTACATTGTGTGGATGTGCCTATCACTGAAGCTCAACAAGACTTTATCCGACACCAGGAGATAGATAGGCTGCCTCCACTTGGTTATCGCTACTTACTTTAGTGATGATTGAGGGTCTCAATGCCAGTATTTAAAGCTAGGTGGTGTAAGTAAGGCATGCTCTAGCACCTGGGGGAAGTTTGATGATAGCGGCGGCTATATTGCTATTATAACGGCGCTTAAAATTTTGCCTCACATCAAAACAGAGGGAAACCCTCGCAAATTTTTTTTTAGGTCAGCGGAGCTTTCAAGCAATCTGATTGGCTAAGAGGCTGAAGCAACGAAGGTCTACAACTACTTGATTTCAGATTGATGTCATGTATTATAACTTTGTGTTTGTAATAAAAGGTTATCTAAATAGATATAATTTAAATTCTTCCTTATTTAAAAGTATAGGATAAGATGTAATCATTTGATTTAGCATTCATTGCATAATAGTTCGACGTGAGGAATGTCCTTTAAATATATTTGTGCAAGGAAAATTATATAATAATACTACTTCAACACAGCGTTTGCGTTGCTGCTACAACAGTATTATTCTGGACAACAACCCATCATCAGACAATCTTTCTAATTGTTGAAAACTATAGTGCAGCATTGTATGCTTTAAGGAGTAGTAGTATACCTTTTCGTCAGACATAAATGCATAATAGGGCTATAGATTTATTCA